GGAGAAGTCATAGCACAACTGCGAGCCAAAATTAACAAGTCTTCAAATGTTTCCTCCCACTCAGGATGGCTTTCTGCATTTTTCTCAAGAACTCCCACCAGGTCCGCAGCAAATACTGCAAGGTCGGAATTTACTTCTTCTTTTGCTTTATCAAATTTTGCCCGAATGAGAACCAATATTTCCTGGAAAAGACAGACTATTAGATTCTGCATACAACAAACTCACAAGGCACTAGTAGAGATAAGAGACTCTAGAATACCTCCACATTGTTCGACCTACGAGGCTTCCACAATGGAAAGGGCCGCACGCCTTTTGAGTTCAGCTCATGAGAAAAGCTTTTGATGTCTCCAGGAAACCTCTTTCGAGGAGCACTGGTCATACGAAGTAAGGCTTGATAGCGAGGTGATTCTGACTCTTTTGGATTTTCCCATTCATACGAATTCTAAAAAGATAAACGTCAAGTAACCAAGATCACTTTAAACCAATACACATAGCACAAACTACATATAAACATACATATGTGAAGGAGAAAGGTGTACCTCTGGGGTGCAAAAGTCTGAATTTCTTAGAGGACCAGAGCGTCCAGATGACACCTCGGAGCGACCTGCGAAGTACCATCATAAGAAAACTTGAAAAATAAGAACTAAAACATCAGCAGGTGACGCATAATATCCAGATACAGTTCAGAATAAGATATACTAAGGCGGTAATGACTAATGAGATCCAATTATTAACACATAGATGCTCATCCTTAAAACTAGCATATCTTACAAGCGAACATGCTAATAACAGGTAGGTACAGGAGCGAAACTATTGAGGATGAGACGGGCACAAGTCTCCATCATTTTACAAGCATTCAGCAAACAGCCAATGAGTTTTCATCTCATAATTGAATTCCCATTTAACATGGTTTCACCCACCAACGGTTGAAAGATGTAGCTAGTATCTGAGGACTTACCAGTTCCCGATGAGGATGCTGCATTCTGCAATCGAGATCCTGATGCCGGCAAAGTAGGGCTGAGGCTCCTTGGTGGTCCAGTATCAGGAGACATACTATCGCGATCACTCTTATTGTCACTCGTTCGAGAGCGACCCATGTTCTCTTCAAACTCTACCTTGCTATTCCCAGCTTCCTTCTTTTTATTGCCGCTGCCAGAGCCAGAAATGGCTGATTCCAAGCACGACTTCCCATCAGCACCCATCTTCGACAGTTTGCTCGTGCATAAAAGAGCCGGAGTTTCTCCATCATTCCTGAAATTGAAAAGTCTTTCCTGTGGCAACGGTCCGGATCTCGTCTTGATCCGGTTCAAGCCCAGAGACGACGCCATGATCGGAGAAACAAAAGCCGGTCCTTCCTTAGAGTCCCGCGGCGGCGCTCCAACGGCTGGTTTCTTCGCCTCAGAACTGGGAGACAAGTTCGATTTTCCGATAGAGTGTGCTTGAACTTCGGTTGGAACTTGTTTTCCTTTCGATGATCCATCCTTCTTCTTCAAACCATCTTTAATCTGCGTCTGCTTACACCCGATTCCGGCGAATCCAGCGGCGGAGCTAGGACTAGGGATCGGGGTTTCCTCCTTGGAAGCGGATTTAGGCTTCTTCTTGTCTGATCGTATCGGTGAGTTGGAGCCAACAGATCTGGGGCTATTGGAACTATCGGGGCTCGAAGATCCGGATTTCTTCGAGGAGAAGAAGAGCTTGTTCTTAAACACCATTTTCGATTCCGCTGATTCAACCTAATCACTACACTAGAATCCAACGCAAAATCCAGTTGTCATTTCAACACTCCGGCTTCGAAAGAGGAATAGCTCTCTATCTGTGATCTGATTGATTATCTGTCTCACTGGAGATCTCTGTGCTTCAGGGGATTCGAGGGCGAAGGAAGCGACGAGGAAGAAGAAGAAGAAGGCGTGACTGTAGTAGAAACCGTAGATTTCCTTCCCAAATGTCGCTTAGAAATAAATGACTAAAAAATAAAAATGGTCAAAACTGGTTAAGACTAGATTTGACTTTTGATTTAAAATTTAAGCCAATAAGCTAAAATTAATTAACATAAACGGATAAACCTCATCTTTCAGATATCTTTCCAGACTTTCCTCACCACATTTACCTCTGAAATTTTAACTGATTGCATGTTGTTTTTATTTATTGAATTGTTCAAATTTGCAAGAAGTTAGTTGTTAATTACTTAACTCTTTGACTTCTAATTTCATGTCACTGGAACCAGACATTAGCATACTCACACACACACAAATACAAATAAGAATTTTCTCTTTTCTACCTTATTACCTACGAAATAATAAGATGAGAACTGAAAGTCATCACAGCTTCAGTTCTTCACAAGCGGACCACCGTGACAAAACTGAAGCAAGAAATGAGACCAAAAAAACCCATTGGGCTATTAAATTATGGGTCAGGCGGCCTAATTCTTCATTTTGCATTGTGGCACCGCACAACCCATAAGATTGTTGATCTATTTTAACATTTTTTGGCTTTACAAAAAAAAAAAAAATCATTGACAATATCAATTAGAGTATTTAGTTTAGTTCAAAAAGAGAGTCTTAAGCTCAAAATACCTTTTTTTCACAGACTTTCACCTTTTATCGTTTCCCACCAGTAATACTCCTGCATACTGCATTTCAAGTTCAAGCTTTCCATTATTCCTACATGTATACTACAGTGTGCTTATGACTTATGAGTTATATCAGATATATAAGATTTTGTGTCATAACTTATAAGCCGGATTATTGGTTTCTCGTTTGCGAGATTAACTTGAATTTATGAACTACAAACATTACAAAGTCGACTATATACAAAATAAGTGTTCATTAGCCGAAGAATACATTACTTTCCAAAGTTAAAACCTTTTCCTACATGGTTTAGTTTAGTACCGAGTTAAGGTTTGGGTCTGGCCGATGATAAAGTTTTCATTGTTAACAAAAACTTATTTCTTATTTATTATTGTCTATTCAATATGAAAGTTTCATGCTGGAATTTGATTCAACAACAACATGTACATCCCAATTTTTATAAACAACTTAGAAACTAATAAACATCCCTAAATTCCTAATACTAACTTGTGGTTCACAACATAGCTACTTAGATATCCTCGCCGTTTTCATACTTTTGTAATTTTCAAAGCACTAAATATTTTATATAGTTCTAACTTCTAATTATCCATTTTTATCACTTTATTTTCAATGTGGAGCATAGCGTGAGAGATACATTTATGGCATCTTTTGATATAAAATCTTCTCTCAGTAGGTCCACTTTTGATCTGATCTGTTATCTATATGGAATGTTGTGTTTTTATTTAAATCGCACCGTGGTATTTTCTTATCAATGAAATTATGAAATATTTGATTTCAGATATCAATAAACAGAATACTAGTAGCGACGATTTGCGAGAAATTAATAAATTCTCATACAAATCCTAATAACAGCAAGAAAATAGATAATAAAGGCTGGAGAAGAAAATGACGTGTGCTACATTTCTCAAGACTCGAAATAACGATATGTTGGGAGATCCGTCGAGTTGTTGAGCTTGACTATTTTTTCCATTTAAATATTACACTTCTGATACAAATAAATTCAAAAGTAAGTTACCAAAAAAACAAAAAAAAAAAATCAAAAGACTATTGTCGTATAATCTTATTAATTTAACAAGAAAGTGACGCACGAAATGGCGTAATTTCCTTACCCCGGACCACATGCATCTATAAATACAGAATCAAACGATGTCAACGAGCCATTTTAGTATTTATTTACATGATATTTTTGTTGGAATCAATAATTACACTGATACAAGCCACATATTTATTATTGATTAAATCCAAAAATATATAATATTCCCTCTGTTTTTTTTAAGATGAATTTTCTAGAGTTTTCTAGAGTTTTCACACATATTAGGAAAAGCTGATTTTTAATCATTAATGTATAGATTTTTGCAATAAAACAATTTTTTATAATTCTTCACCAATAAAAGTCCAACAAATACAACTAATGTTTCTTGAAAACTGAAAAGTCATCAAAAAACTAGAAATTTTATCTTTGTAAAACAACAAATAATTTCTAAAAAATTTATCTTAAAAAAACGGAAGGAGTTTTTGAAAAAAAAAAAAACAGAAGGAGTATAATACTATAATATTACACTGACCAATTTGTTTTTGAAAGTGATAGAATAATATTAGAGCTGTGACATAATCACATGGGGTATTAGACTATTAGTACTATCCGGTGAATTGAGGATTTAAATATCAAATACAGAGAGTACATATAAATTTGCGGAAAAGATAATCCAACGTGCAAATGTTTATCTTGGTCAAGACAGAACGTGCACGAAAGTAGTACTAATAATTAATTAGATTTTAAATTTTATAAATCGATTTTACACTCACGCGCTCTATTTCGCATTTTCGCGCGTCAGCCGACAATTGTTTTGTTTCTTTTCATATTAGTACTGAAGCACAATAAAGTAAAACTAATAAAAATTGCCGCTTCATCTCGTGAATCATTCACGTTAAAAAATTAACTGGCAGCTAGTGACGCGGGGGGACATAAAATAACGCACGTGCCTCACCACGTGTCGTGCAACAAGAAGAAACGCCACACGAAGAAATCGCACTGCACGACGTTGCACGTGGTTTTTGACCGGCTGTATCCGGTGACGTAACCGGACCAACTTGTAGCTGGCTTTTGCGCCAATAGCAGTGCGGGAAAAGGAATCTTTTATTCGTTTTGTTATTTTATTTGATTTTTAAAAAACTCGAAACAAATTAAATCGTGCTGTTCACATGTCGCATGCGATGGTTAAAAAGAGGAAGTCGCGGTGTGTGTGTTAACTTCATTCCACGTTTTTCCATTTTTTCCCCCTCAAGCTCTGGTTTGTTCCCTTTTCCGGCGAAGATAATTTGTTCGATTCCGACGACTAATACGCGTTTAATCGTTCGAGGTTTGAGATCGAATTATTACTTATCGTTTGTGGATTCTCTGCTGCTTAACGAATGGAGAGAGATTTTCTCGGCCTGGGTTCGAAAAATTCTCCGATCACCGTGAAGGAGGAAACCAGCGAAAGCTCCAGAGACTCAGGTTATTCCTCTTCGCTTTAATTACCACATCGAAATAGTCGATTTAATTACTGTGTCAATTATGCGTTAGGAGTTACTACTGTAATAGATTAGGATTCTGTTTTTGGAAACCCGGATTTTTATGTCATGCTCGGGAACTGGATTGTCATTTGTCAGTTTGTCTCTTGGAGGAAAACATTTTCCTTAGCTTTCTCGGGAAACGAACTGTTAGTATTCTCTGAAAAACCCGGTACAGAACCATGTTTTAGGTACCAGAAATTAACGAGAACAAATCTCAAGCTTGCTTTTTTTTTTTATATTACAGCCTCCATTAGTTTTGCTTTATGTGGTGATTTTTGTTTTGAAAAGTCTAATACTAGTTGAAGAAAAAGTTTAAGTTTAATTTAGTTTATTTTTTTTGCTAAGAATTTAGTTTATTTTTAGAAAAACGAATACGTAAAATGTTGGAAAAGAAGGGGTTGAATAGAGACGGGTACAAAAACAAATTTAAAATATTGGGACGGTTGGTAGTAGGTAGAAGATTAAATTAAACATACATATAAAAGTGCAAGTTGGATTATTTTACACGATGATTTGTTGATTAATGTTATTGATTGTGTGTTGATTAAGTGAAACTGGCCTAGGGTATTAGAATAATAATTCAAGGTACAATGGGAATGGAATAGTTTTCTCACCACGAGTTATAAAATGATGTCCACTTTGTTTTCTTATAAGCCAAAACGTGCCGATCCATAAAAGTAGTGCATAGACATGTGCTGTGTGGAGTTAAAGTTGAATCTCTCTTTTAATTTTAAATATGAAAATATATTATATTAAATTTTCGTACAATGAATGAACGACTTTGAATAAATGTTTTAAATTAGACATGGTTTTCTAAGGTGGTTTTGTCGCCTCGTTGAATTTGTAAAAACAGTATCAGATTCTTATTTTTTTTTACTTAGTTTAATTGGGTTGGGTGTTGAATCAATCGTCTGTTAATTATGTAAGATCTCGAGACATTTTATTGTGTGACCACTCCCTCCATGTATGACTTTAAACTGACCAAGCTGATTGTTTCTTTATTTTTCTTACAGCTCCGAGTAGAGGAATGAATTGGTCCTTTTCAAACAAAGTCTCTGCAGCTTCTTCTCAGTTTCTATCTTTCAGGCCATCCCAAGAAGACAGACATAGAAAGGCTGGAAATTATCATCTCCCCCACTCTGGTTCCTTCATGCCATCATCAGTTGCTGATGGCTATGATTCAAACCGCAAATCTCCTTACAGTTCTGCACAGGTATTTGCTAGTTTGCATAACCAATGTTTACCAAGACCATTATGCTATTTTTTCCCTGCAAGATTGAGCCCAGTTCTTGCGCATTAAGCAATTAGTTTTGGTCTACTTAATTTGGCACAGGCACAAGTTTCTGTTGTGTTATTGGTAATTTATGGTAATTAGTTTTTTTTAGTTGTTGTTGATAAAAAAGAAAATTATGGTAATTAGTTGTTGAGTGTAAGCTAAGCTACTTATTTATGGATCAATTAATCCACATAATTGGCTTACACTTTTTTATGGCTTGTTTGCCCTCAGGGAGTGAGGATGTTCCCTAATTCCAATCAACAGGAAGAAGCTATGGCAGTTTCCATAACCATGCCTGGTCTCCAGTCTCATTATGGAGCAGGAGGAAAAAGCTTCATCAGCAATAACATAAACTCACAACCTTTGGTAGGAGTTCCTATCATGGCACCTCCAATTTCAATCCTTCCTGCTCCAGGTTCCATTGTAGGGACAACTGATATTAGGTACCCACCTGCTTCTATCTACTCTGTTACAGAATCTCTTATAATGGTATCTATCACATGGCTGACTCAAAAACTTCTTCATTTGCTAGATCTTCTTCCAAGCCATCAGGATCACCTGCTCAGCTGACCATCTTTTATGCTGGTTCAGTTTGTGTTTATGATGACATATCTCCTGAAAAGGTATTATCTCAATCACTCTCCCATATATGCACAAACAAATCATGGTTCTCATTTGCTTAATAGTATCATACCTTAATCACAGGCCAAAGCGATAATGTTGCTTGCTGGAAACGGTTCCCCAATGCCACAAGCCTTTTCACCACCTCAAACTCATCAACAAGTGATCCATCATGCTCGTGCCTCTGTTGATTCTTCAGCTATTCCTCCTACCTACATGCCTACTGTCTCTTATCTCAGCCCTGAAGCCGGAAGTAGCACAAATGGACTCGGAGCTGCAATGGCAACAAGAGGATTTGCATCAACGTACCACAACAACCAAACTCATGCATCCAATATCAACGGTTCAATGGCAGTTTCTTGCTCTGCCAATGTTATAACTCAAACAGGTAAAAAACGAAGTGCTTATTACATGATGCTAAATTTCGCCTATCTTACTGCTATTTTTTCTCGTTGTAGCGTTAACTCGTTCGGTTTCTTATGCAGTGGCTTTACCTCAGTCTCGCAAAGCATCTCTGGCTAGGTTCTTAGAGAAACGCAAAGAAAGGTACACAACAGTTCTTCTTCACAGAATAAACCAGTTAACGGTTTCTTCACCTAAGTTAACTCATCTCTCTCTGTTTTTGTAGGGTTACAAGCGTATCGCCATATTGCTTGGACAAGAAGTCATCAACAGATTGTCGGACACCAATGTCTGAATGCATAAGTTCTTCTCTCAGCTCTGCAACCTAATTTCATTTGCAGTAAGACTGCCTCAAACCAGTCCAGATCCATATTTCCAGTTTCTCAGTTTTTTTTTTTTGGTTACAGAAGTTTAATTTTTTCTTCTCTGGCTACACTAAGTTTCTTCTTAGCTTATATACTACTATAGTGTATACTTCATTTATCAGATTTTGGTCGAATGGAACTTAAAGAGAGCAAATCAGATATTGTACTTTAGAAATTTGTAGAAACTGTTCGTTTCTGCCTTTTTACTCTTTTGTATATATCACTCAAACTCGCATTTGTATTCTTCATACAATGGAATCGGATCGCTTCTGTTTTTTTTTTTTTTTTTTTTAAATTATTGATTCAGGTTGTACTAACTACATGAAGAAGGCTTCTAGAAGTGTAAGCCTGATACTTTGCCAGTTTGCCAGTTAAGAATTGGTTTAAGTATCATTGGTTTAGCATAACATTTAGGCAAAATTCACAGTAGACAAGGATTAATTACTTTCGAATATACAATCTTTTGAACTACATACAGTCTCGGTTAACGACCGGCAAATACAAAACCGGTTTGACCGGTTCACAGCCACGATTCAAAATGTTCGGTTTGGGCGACGTTAATTCGGGCTTTTTCTGAGCAAACACAATCGAAATCAACCAATACGATACGGTGAGACACAGCGAATCACTGTGATCCGGTTGATTCTGAACCGTACGATTACAAGAGCTTTAGGATTCGTTCTCATCACTGCTTTCAGCTTTTCTCTCGAAAGACGACGACTAGTCACATCAGAGGGAGAAGAAGAAAGACGGACTACGATGGACGTGAATCAGGTCGCAGAGCTGGGAAAATTCGTCGAGCAGTTGAAATCAAATCCTTCGATTCTCCACGATCCTTCTCTGAATTTCTTCAAGGAATATCTCCAAAGGTCGTTGATTCTTCTCTGACTTCATTTTTCCCGCTTTCTCTCCGATGAATTTCAATTTTTTTTTGTTCCATTGCTTGCTGTGAGTTTCTGATCGTTGTTTGTTCCCGTTTTCTCGTGCAGTTTAGAAGCTCAAGTTCCCAAAGAGAAAACTGTAAGTCGCTTTTTCATCTGCTCATAGTTTGATTTGTCCACCACTTAGTCAATTGGTTGAGTTCATCGATGGCTGGCTAAATTAGTTCATCTATATTCTGATCGGTGGCTCATTTGTATGTCACACTGAATTTTAGGAAAAAGATAACGAAGATAAGGCAGAGACAAAACCCAGCTCCTCTCCTAAACATGATGATGATGATGAAATCATCGAGTCTGATGTTGAACTGGACAACTCTGATGTAGTTGAACCAGACGATGACCCTCCTCAGCCGGTAGGTGTTGAAAGATATGATCTGTGGTGGTTATCTTCTATATGCATATCTTGCACGATTTGTTTAATTTACTTTCTTTGCGTAGATGGGAGATCCTACAGTTGAAGTGACAGATGAAAATAGGGATGCTGCTCAGTTACTAAAGAAGGAAGCTTTAAGGGAAACCGTACGAGGTGCTTAACCATTCAATTTCTTTTACTTCATAGTCTGTTTAGCTCATGGTTTGCTAATGCTTGATCGGCCATCCAGCAAATTTTGACGAAGCTATAGATCATCTAACGAAAGCCATCATGCTAGACCACACTTCTGCAAATCTCTACGCCACTAGAGGTAACGTTCTTTCACTCTCTCTTTCTCTCTCTCCTTCCCTTTTGGACCGAATATGGGTGATCATTCTGATTTGTTCTAGTTGTTGTTCCCCAGCTCATCTGTTTGTAGCTATTCAAAAGCCAAATGCTGCAATTCGCGATGCGGATATGGCTTTACAGGTGAGCATTTACTTGAGTCTCAGTTGTTTTGTGATTTGGCCTCATTGGTTTAAACCAGCTAAACTATTTTTTTTTTTGGGGTTTAGCTCAACCCTGATTCAGCTCAGGGGTACAAATCAAGAGGTGTTGCTAGGTCCTTTTTAGGCCAATATGAAGGCGCTGCGGCTGATCTTCGTGAAGGATCAAAATTGGATTACGATGAGGATATAGAGTTGAAGCTTAAGAAGGTAACTGTGGAGACCGCTTACCTTTCTTGATGTCATCTTACCAACAGTGTGCTCATAATGAAGTTACCAAAAATATTCTACTTGACAGGTTGAACTTAATGTAAAGAGAATCGAAGAGCACCGCAGGAAATATCAACGTCTGAGAAAAGAAAAGGAACTCCAGAGGGCTGAACGCGAGAGACGAGAACAGCAAGAAGCTCAGGTCAGATTGAGTTATTAAACTCTATGAGTAGTTTTTAAAGAACCTTAAACCATGGAATGTAGCTCTCTTTGAATAATTTTACATTCTTAGCATAAAAGACAGTAACAATATAACCTCATTATCAACTTCATAAGATATCAAACATCTCACGCTTATTGATTTGCTGCTCCTTGCTCTTGAATCCTATCAATGCAGGAACGAGAAGCTCTGTCTGCACTCAAGGACGGTAAACATTCTAACCATTTCTTACAATGCTTCTCTACTTCATTATTTTACTGCAAATGAAACTATGTATGTGTCAGAATATATGTATCTGTGAGTTTTGTCCCAGTGAATCGTCTGCTCTCAAATAAGAATCAAAGCTAGCCACTAAATATACAGTTGATTAGGTTGTAAACCAGATTGCTTAAGATTGTTTATCTTGTCCGGTTCATGTGCATTACTTTCCTGATAAGTTATACATATCCACATTGAGAAAAGCAACTTGCATGTATCTTGGATCTCCATTATCCTCACAGAGCTTCATTTACAGCTTTTGTTGAACCAAAAATGAAATGTACATGTCAAAATGGAGATAACAACCATATTTTCTCTCTGATGATACAGGACAAGTGATTAGCATCCACTCAACAAGCGAGCTAGAAGCAAAGACAAAGACCGCAAAGAAGGTATCTCGTCTGGTCATCATATACTTCACAGCTGCATGGTGTGGACCGTGCCGTTACATGTCTCCTCTGTACTCGAACCTGGCCACGCAGCACCCGAAAGTGGTCTTCTTGAAAGTTGACATAGACGAGGCCAATGACGTGGCTGCTTCTTGGAACATCAGCAGCGTCCCGACCTTTTGCTTCATCAGAGATGGCAAACAAGTGGACAAAGTTGTTGGAGCTGATAAAGGTTCGCTTGAGCAGAAAATTGCACTACACTCTTCTAAGTAGTTGTAATTGCACTAAAATCATTCCATGATAAATCGTACTGCCGGATTTAACATCCACAATACAAATATGAATTGAAGTCTTTCAGGATTGATTGTCGATTTGTTTTGTTAAAATGTAAGTTTGTTACATCATAAATGGCAAATAATGTATTGGTTCAGTATCCGTTTAGCAAAAAGATGCAATATTTCATATTTTTAACATACACTAAACCAAACACTTCACATATCAGATGGTGTTCTAGAAATATAAGGTTTTTGGTTGCCACCGAAAATTGATTATAACATTTTTTTACGTTTACTTAAACTTCTAATACTATTTTTTACGTTTACGTACTTGGTGAAGTGATAAGCTGGTAGATTCGGTTTTTGATTATATAGATGGGCTTAGCTTTAGGCCCAAGAAAAGAGCAATTTTCTGTTTCTTCCGAATTTTCAAGAGTCTGGCGTAGAACTTATAGGTCAATTGATGGATGGGAATGTGAGGCGGTTACCGCCGTGGATGATCGCCGGCGGATCCTCCGGTGTAACAGCTACAAGCAATCCGGCAGACGATCAAAGTGTCGATGTCAATTCAAATCATGAAGCAGATGATGCTCCCATAACAAAGAGAGAGAAACGACCGAGAAAAACCATTAAGCCCAAGGAGAGAGATGATTCAGACGAGCCCAAAAAGGTGGGAATCAAGAGAAAAGGAAGAGAACGAGCTCGAATCAAAATCGATGAAGAAGGATCTAAGCCTAGTATTGGTGATGTCAAGAATCCTGAGATTATTCAATCCGTTACTGGTCCAAAAGATTATAATCTTACAGTTGATGACTTACTAATCTTTGCTGAAGAGGTATTTGATTTTATTCCACAAGTTTTTGCTAATATTGATTTGGTAGTAAAATTAGCTTTTGGTCCTTCGTTCTTTTCTTTTTCTTACTTACTTCAACCATATTTATTCACAGCATGTCAAAGGTGGAGAAGATCAGACAAGAACGGAGCGGGAAAGCTCGTCAATAGATAAGTCCATGCTCGTTGTGGATGAATCGTCAAATACGAGATTATCTCAAGGAGAAACAGAAGAACCTAATGGAACCAGAGATTCAACCGCAGATGACATGTTAAGTTTGCTTTTGGGTCCTTTTTTCAAGAGCAAGAATTAAACACATTGATTGGAATTAGAACTGCGTCAGAATAGGCCTTTCAACATATTTTTTCCACAATTTTTGAGATCTTTGTTTTATATCCAGTAGAAATGATAAAAGTTTCATTTTTCTGTTCTTTGTATGATATCTATTATGAGGTATGACCGAACATGAGAAGGAAAAATTTACGAGCAACTGAGTTCATAAGCCGAGGGAAAACAGCAAACGAAAGCATTGCGCTCGTGAAATTCAATTTTGGCAACTAAAAGGACCGAAACACCACTTTCTCAAGCGAATCAGTGACGTATTGCCTTTATCAACTCAAATCACACAAACACACGAATCCATGGATACAAAGACGCTACACAGAGAGCTTAAGATTGATGCTAGATTTTGAAGTAACGATTAACTGTTTTGAAGGATAAAGTGGAGAGATGGGTGTATATATATTAGTGACGGCCACATCTAAAAAACCCTAATTGTTCGTTTCGTTGTGCCTCATGGACTAATGGGCCTGTTTTATGTTTTCTTTGTTTGGGATTTTCAATTTATAGAGTGTGTTGGGCTTATAAGAATAAATCATTTGGTTTTATTATTTTCTTTTATTTTCTTTTTAAAAGAAAATTTTGTTAAACTCTTTGTCATTCATTAGTCGTGGTTTAAACACATTGGTCTTGATTAGCAAAGCAGTTAGAAGAGCATAAGTTTTAAGGAGCATAAGCAGGGTGAGTATTTAGAAGAGCAGTAAGCTCTTTAAGTTGTATGTTAAAAAATAAATATGATTGGTAGAGCTGTGAGCCTTTTTATTATAATTTGTTTGTGAAAATATTAATATGTATATATTGATATTTATTTTAATGCATTATATATATATTCATTAATAATATAAGATTTTTTTTTAATTATTTAGTAATTATTTCATATTTAAATTATATTTATTAAATTTTTATGACATTAAATATTTATTTTATGAATAATACATTAATGATACATCAATTACGAAATTATAAAATTGTAAATTTAATATAAATATAGTTTTCATTTTTTTACCAAAATATTTTAAGATTTTTTAAATATTATTGAGCTCAATGCTTTGGAAATGCTCATTTCAGAGCAGAGAGGGAAGGAGCAGTTTGGGAGCAGGAGCAGTTTCTAAATACTCTACTAAATGCTCTTTTAAAAAAACTTGATTGAATTAGAAAGAGCCTAATCCTCTACCAATCAAGACCATTGTGTCTCTTCTCTCTTCAACTCGTTTATCATTTTCTCTTTAATATAAAGCATACGTAGTTTCACACTTAGATTTGATTCATAGTCCGAAATTACTTCAAAGAATATAAAAATTAAGAGTTGAAGTGATAAGAAAAGAACAATTACATTTAAATCTAATCATTTTTTGTAGGGCTTTCATTATTTTCGAATGAATAATCAGAAAAATTATCCTTATCTATCTGTCCTCATAAAATTTTACTTTTTCAAATTCTGATTGACTGCTTTATATATAAATTACTAGGTTCTGACCCGTGCATGTGCGCGGGGTTACGCTTCAGTCCTTTTTTTTGTGTATGTGTGTGTGGGGTTTGTTTTGTGTTTGTAACACCTGTCTTTTTACAAAAATAACAGTCGTGTATGCATTTTTTCATTTCTTTACAAACGAAAATATTTAATAAAAACCCCTATAAGATAATAAGATCAACACTAAACTATATGTTACATCATTTTCCTACTTGTCTTTGCTTTTCATGTTTGGCCCCGATCTTGACCCATCCACAATCGTTCTTTGCGGCTCCGCAGCTGTGGTCTCTGCAGATGTTTACCAGAACTTTCGATCTCTCGTATCTTCCTCTGCACTTCGTGTGACTCGGTCTCTCCTGGGAAAAGATTCATTCTACGTCTGCCTTAAAGAAAGCAAAGCTCCTTCCCTAATATAGCACTGGTTCACTCTCATTCACTGTGACAGTCGCTAACGATGCAGGGCTGAATAAACTCTATGTAGCCTATTGTTCCATTTCCATCCATACCAGTCTGAAAATGTATATATATCATCGTTATGTGCTTTAATGGAGATCGCTTCATTATGAAGGTTTAAAAGAGAAGGCTTATGATACTCACAGCTTCCATGAGTTGCTTAACTTCAGCTTCAAAGAGCTTAGAGTCAAGTCTGTGCAGTCCGGTTTTTAGTTGTTCATAAGTGATTGACCCGCTTCTGTCGGAATCCATAGTCTAAAACATGCTTTTAAGACCTTTGATTTCCTCTTTCGATAGACCCTCTGCGATAACCTGCAAACCAAACACACAAATCACAATCCGAAGTTCAGGTCCCAGTAGATATGAGATGAATATTGAGTCATTCATTTAATCACTTATGAACATGTTCCTTCCTCCGCAAAATTGAAAGAACCCCAAACACACACCATAATGTCCTCTCTGTCTTGATGTTGGTACCCAGTCAAGCCCACAACTAAACTTTTAGCCCCTGGAATCCCATTCAAATTCTAAGAGGGCTGATGCCAAATTACCCAATATGATAAACCCTTGAGTAAAACTTGTTACTAATATCTTCTTCTTCTTCTCTTTTTTTGGAACTAATCATAAGAAACTTACCGATTTTTCATCTATAAACATTCCAACATCAAAGCTGTGATCAACCCATGACCTAGTGACAACTGACAACCACCTTCCCACTGCTACGGGCAGCAACACATAACGGATCATCCTATAATATCCCAAAAGCAAAGTACGATCTTTTTCAACTGCGAAGACATAATAGAGAGAGAGAAAAAAATAGAGATAAGACTTACATACACAAACTTATCTACAATGAGGTGAGTACACGTTTCGTTGTATTGCCCAACATCAATACCACCACTACCGAGAAGCTTGGATCATATCTGTAGCGAGATCATTGGGCAAAATTGACACAAAAATATGTCAATGAATCAGAAATCTAGCGAGTAAATACTGAACAACGGAGATTGCTCCCAGAGAAACAATCGCAGAACACGTTCTGGGAAAATCAAAGAGAACGGAGAGAACAGAAATTGAAAGACGATGAGAATCAAACAGAGAAGAAACGGCTTACCCCATACGATAACCCCGTCGGAGAAAAAGTGGCACCTTGTTCTAAAAACTAAAACCCTAAATCGATGGGATTTGGAGACTTTTTTTTTGTATTTATATTCGCGTGTGAACCGGGTCTGCGTGTAATCGTTTCTAAACGGGTCGGTTTTCAAAATTAGAGGATTAAATTTTGGGGGTTTGATGTCTGATCCGATCCGGTTAAAGATCCGGTTTGATTTAAGTTGTATAAAGATCCGCGTGTTTTTCCGAATCAATTCGGGTGGGCTATTCGCGATTTAAAGCTATTCGGGTGGGTTATTCGCGAGTAACCGAGTCAACTCAGCCGAGTTGGCTTTTTTTGATTTTTTTCAGACACTTTTAACCTCTGCTATCCCTGTATCCAAACAGAATTCCTTCATTGACCCATGGGTTTTTTTGTCTTTTTTTTTATAAATGTACTTTTCCATTACTAATATAAGTTACTTATCTATCAAACCGCCAGTCTATAAATTATAAGTTACTTTAAGCGTTTACCTAAATATTTTTTCCAGCTAAGGAAACTTGGTAATTAACACATTTTATTCCATATAAAATATAATACCTTGAGTGAACATGATGTTACTTGTAAAACACACATAATAGACTTTATCATTTTTCAAAATTGAAAGAATACACCATTTTTGGATTTAGTTTTTTTTTATATGAATTTATATGAATTAACCCATTTTATATAATTTATAGACTATGCCAAATATATAGTTTACAAATTGACCTTTAGAGTTTGATTCAACGAGCCTTAAAATGATGGTTTGGATTTAGAATTTGGTGTCTACATTTTTGGGTACAGATTTGTTTATCAAAAGTTTATTAGTTTTACTAAGGTTTGAGATGGACCAGATGGTTGTTTGGATTTAAAATTAAATATTAATGATTTATAGTTTATATTTTCTGATTATAAATGTATGAGATTTAACCAGACTTGAGATGATGATTTTGGTTTGGAATAACGGTTAACTCATAGTCACGTCGTGTCTTTACTTGTTTACCATTTTCTCTTGAATGTGAATAATGCGTAGTTTCACACCCAAGTTTTTGACTTAGCTAACAGTTGAGGAAACATAGCAATTGTTCTAAATAGAAGAAGAGAATGGAGAAATTTAAATCTAATGAATCTTTCATAGGTCTCTTGTAATCCATGCCTGTATGGATAGGAAAAAAACATTAAAATGTTAGGGTTATTTTTATCATGCATGCTTAGCAAGGGGTAAACAGTTTAAATGATAAAATTACTTATCCCAAAATTGGAGCATCACTCTCACTAACGAAACCAAAATAATTTTTGAAGTATATAAAAGTGACGTGTTACATGTATTAAGCCATCTTCAAATCTTTCTTTTGTTGGCATGACATTAACTACAACATCACACTGCATTTTGTAAAGTTTTGAGATACAATAGTAATTTTTTTTTGTAAATTTTGCGACATTCGAAAATGATATTTTTGGAGGTGAAACTAAAATGTTTTAGGTCCTATTGACGAACATTCTGTGCTCGCTCAACATCAACTCGACAACTCCTGCCTAAATCTGGTAGCAATCCATTTCGCAAAATCGAATCGACGGAAGAAGATTGCATCCGGTAACCACTGCTCGAAGATCACACACACACACAAGCAGCCTGTTTGTTTCTTCGTCTTTATTGTGCATTATCCGTTGCTGAAGCTCTTCAATTTCGACTCCTATGTAAGTATGATCTGGATCGGCTGCGTTATCGATTTCATTTTTTCCCCATTCTCTGGCTTGGATCCAGTCAATGCTAGAAAGTTGGGATTGGCGATAAATCTATAAAGTTTGGGGAGAGAGAGAGAGAGAGAGAGAAAACAGAGAGGATTAATGGGATCAGATCAACTAAACTCTGATTTGAAAATCGATTAATTGCTGAATCTGCAGAAATTGACTAAACCTGGCTTCTTCTGTGATGCAGAAATATCCAGAGGAATGAATTTCTTGCTCCGATCTGCTTCCTCCGCTACTCATCGACCGCCAGTGAGCGAGCCACCAGCTACGCCGCCTCAACCTCCGCCCGAAACAACCAAGCCCGGATCGACTTTGGAGGGGCTTATAGCGGAAGAGCCTTTCCCTCAGTATCCATCAGCAGAAGATCTCGATCGTGTCGCTGACGGATCTAGAGACGATGACGGTAACGGAGAGTCAAATGCAAGGACTGGTGGCTATGGTATGGAGAGGTTCTCAGATGTGTCCGAGGAAGAAGGATGGATCGCTATTCCATATAGTATAACTTTACACTCTACACCTTTATTTTTTTCCAGTTTTGAATTTGAAATGTCTTTGCTACTTAATCCTGATTTGGTGATTGCTTATTTCAGAGGAAATCCCAGATAATTGGTCTGAGTCAGCTGATATTCATTCGTTACGGTCACTGGATCGTTCCTTTGTTTTTCCTGGTATGCTAATTCTCAGATCATCTCATTTGTTTGTGTTTAAAACTGCTGCTACTAGCTATTGAACATGGAAGACGCTTCTTACTTTAGGGGAGCAGATTCAGATTCTTGCATGCTTATCTGAGAGTAAAGGAGACGCAGAGATTATTACCCCTTTTAAAGTAGCTGAGGTAATGAGCAGAAGTGGACAGAGAAAGGGCTCTGAAAAGCAAAACGGAGAAATGTCTGATGGGGCGAGTACACCATCAGGGGATGGAGAGATGAGTCCTGATGGTCAATTTGCAACTCAGAATGGTGATAGTCCTGGGAAAGAGAGTTTGGATTCGCAAAAGGATGGCGAATCGATATTGAGGATGGAAGACCATAAGAGACGAACAGAGGACTTGCTTACCAGGTTTCAGAAGTCTCATTTCTTTGTTAGGATTGCAGAGTCTGGCGAGCCACTTTGGTCGAAGAAAAGCTCTCTGGCAGCAGATACAGAGTCAGATGAAAAGTGGAAACACAGGAGAAGGAGACCTTGTGTTAGTGCTTTTGTAGATAGAGGAGAGTTTGATCCTAATGTCGCTGGAGGTGTAGCTAGAAGTAGGGCAAAGTGCTGTGCCTTACCCAATGGAGATATAGTGGTATGTGATGCTCATTCTGTTACTTTCTGGTTTGCTAATAAGATATATGAAGTAGCAAAATTCCTTTTCTGGTGTAATGCATTCTCTGATCAATCTCAATTTACCATTGCTACTCGTTTAGATCTCTTGAGTGTTCAATTTTTTTTATAAGGAGTTGATTTACCTACCGATTCTCACACAACACCTTTGTTTGGAAGGATGCAGGTCTCTTTACAAGTTTATATTGTCGACTGTCCCAAAGAACCTATCATTGAGATATTGCAGTTTGAGAAGCATCACGACAGAGACCGACTTTCTGAGAACAATAATGACTCGGATCATGAAAACAAGGATCCGTATGGGAATCTCTTAAAGTGGTTGATACCGTTGGATAATACTACTATTTCTCAGCAATACCGTTCTTTACCACCTCCTGTAAGCTCTAGCTCAGGTATCAGCAGCACTGCTCACAAGCCAGCCATGTCTTCTGCCTCAGGCTCTCAACTCTTCTCATTCGGCCATTTTAGAAGCTACTCCATGTCCGCTCTGCCTCCAACCACTGCACCAGTTACTGGACCCATAAAAACCCAGAGCTCTAAACCATCATTTGATATTGAAGATTGGGACAGTTACTCAGGTCAAACGTTACGAAGCGGTCAGAAGTCTGGGACTGAAGAGCTCTTATCTTTCCGGGGTGTCCCATTGGAGCGGGATAGGTTCTCTGTTCGTTGTGGACTCGAAGGCATCTGCATTCCTGGTAGAAGGTGGAGGAGGAAACTCGAAATCATTCAACCTATTGAGATCAATTCTTTTGCTGCTGACTGCAATACAGATGATCTCCTCTGCGTTCAGATAAAGGTGCGTCTCTTCAGCGCTATTACACGTTGGTGTTACTGTGGCCAAATTGATTTCTGGGATGTTTCTTAATTTGCCTGAGTTTATTGACAGAATGTGGCTCCTACCCACGCTCCAGATATTGTAATTTACGTGGACGCCATAACAATTGTTTTTGAAGAGGCAGGGAAAAGTGCTTCCCCTTCTTCAGTGCCAATTGCATGTATTGAAGCTGGAAACGAGCACAGTTTGCCGAATTTAACACTCAGGTTAGCTTATTTGTCTAAAGAACCTCACATTCGTTCTTTTGTAAAATTCCCCCCCCCCCCCCCCCTTACTCTTCTTGATAAAGTTATTGGATTTAGATATCAGCACTTTGCTTTATGTATCGTTTCTTGGGTCTGTTGAATGACCACAGTATGTTTCAGAAGTCTTCCGTGATATTAAATAAAATAAACAACCCTTAGTATTAGCCTATTAGGTAAGGCGTTGTAGTAATATTTATCAGATCCAGCGACATTTTGAGAGTAACTCTAGACCAAAGCTAGAATGCTCCTTTAAGGAACATTATAGAGTGCACTTACCTACCCTTAGGTTTTCTTGCAACGTTTCAGGAAAGGTGAGGAGCACTCATTCATCGTGAAGCCTGCTTTTTCTGTTGGGAGTAATCTGAAGCCCTCTGCTGCAAGAAAAGACCTCAAATCACCGAGCTTGTCTCTTCCAACTGTAAATTTTGAAAGAAAAGGGAGCGGTTTAAGTGGTGATCAGTATGCAGTTATGGTGTCATGTCGGTGCAACTACACAGGTAGATTCCCGTTGCCATGTTTTTGTCTTTCTTCTATTCAGATCTATTGCTGTTTCTTCAATGCTTTTTTTTGGTATGGATTCAGAATCAAGGCTGTTTTTCAAACAACGGACAAAGTGGAGACCACGAGTTTCGAGGGACCTGATGATCTCAGTTGCGTCTGAAATGTCAGGAGAGCCTTGTGGCCCCCATGGGAGAGCCTCCCAGCTACCTGTTCAGGTCATTTTCTCTATCCGACTATCTTTAGAAGTTAATGTGATTATGCACGAAGTAATGAAATCCTTTTGCAGCTGCAAGTAACTGCTAGAGTTTACCCAGATTACTCAAGCTTTAACTATTGTCGCTAAATTGTGGTTGCTAACACTAACTTGTGGCTAGTAGTTGTGCGCTTCCTGGTTAACGCTGGCTTTGTGTCCCAATGGCACCTTTGATTTTTGTACCTCATACTTTTTCTACTGGTTTCAGATATTAACTCTTCAGGCATCCAATTTGACATCAGAAGATCTGTCTTTGACGGTTCTCGCTCCAGCATCCTTCACATCACCTCCGTCTGTAGTGTCCCTAAATTCCACGCCTACCTCCCCTTTAAGCCCATTCCTAGGGTTCTCTGAGTTCACAGAGAGGGTACAAAGCGAGAAACGCAACACAACAACGCGTAAACTGCACTCGTTGTCGTTACCCCCAATGCCACTGGAGACTAGGACAGAGAACACAAGTGGTGAACCGAATTCTACTTCTTCAACAGATGTTGTTCCAAAGAGTGGCTTAGGTTGCACACATCTCTGGCTACAAAGTCGAGTTCCCTTGGGGTAAACATCTAATAACAATAGCCAAATTCAGTTTTTCTCCTGGTAAGGCTTTACCATTATAAATTGATAATCGGGTTTAACTTTGTAAATGCATCAGATGCGTGCCTTCAAAATCAACAGCAACGATCAAGCTAGAGCTACTCCCTTTGACCGATGGCATAATCACTCTTGATACTCTCCAGATCCACGTCAAGGAGAAAGGTATACAAAAAGAAGAAAACACTTTATTTCCTCACCAAAGAACTATAAACTTGTGCTGCTTCATTTCTCTTTCCATATGAAAACATTCATATGATGAAAACATTCATATGAACATCCAATGGGCCTTGTGTGTGACAGGTCGTAGGTACATTCCAGAGCAGTCACTGAAGATAAACGCAACGTCAAGCATTTCCTCTGGGATTTTCTAGTCTTTACCCAATACCACTTTTTTGCCTTTGTTAGAGCTAAAAAGAGTCATCAAACACGGAGCAGTTTCGTTTCACAGGTCCATCTTCATTCTTCATCTGAATAGAGAGGCTCATCCAAAGATTGTGTTTAGAATTACTTATGTTTTCGATGATGTTTCAAGGTTTGAAAGAAAGTTATGTTGTAAAACCACTTGTTTCCTATTTATTCGAACATGTGTTTGCATTCTTTGGCTTTTCTGTAATTGATTGATTTTGTGAAACTTGCAGAGTGACGACCTTTTTAGTCGAATTTATATTTGTTACTTGTTATATGATCAGTAATCAACCAAGAAATAAGCTATGATCAGTAATCAACCAAGAAATAAGCAAAACTTTTCCAACAAAACATCATAATATAGCATCCAATACATCCATCCATTGTGGAAAAAATACATCCATCCATTTGCATGGTAAGTGTTATGAGTGCTCTGCAGAGTAATTATTTTTTCTAAAGCACTAGTGTTAAACCAATCAAACTTTGATTTCATTTTTTAAGTTCAGAGCCATAATTTTATTTATGGAAATATTTTGGCTTTGCAGAGCAGATTTTTCAGAGTACAAATTTAAGGACTCTAGGAATTCTCTCTCTTCTCTTTCCTTAATCTCATTCTCTATATTCCTTTTTTCATGTTTCTTTCCTATATCTATTTTATTTATTTTTAATGCCACATTTATGATATCTTTTAAATAAATTATTTATCATAAAAATCCTACAACACTAAAATCTACAGCCACATCAAAAAAATTTACAGCCTAAATTCTACAGCAAACAATTCAAAGCTACAGACACAATCAATCAGGCCCATAAATCACAAAATGTGGTGAGCACCGGAGCTTAGGTGCACTCGTATGCAGGGGATAGTGACTCTGCAAATCTCCGAAACCATTTTCTCAAGTGACCCAAGTCGTCGTGGAGGCATAAACCCTTTACCTCCGGGATCAAAATCTTGATTATGGCGACTTCGTTGTCTAAAATCCTAACGAGATCGAACGCTCACAGCCACAGGTGCTCCGCTCCAACCAGTATCTCTACCTCTCCTTACCTTCCGTTACAATTCTGGTCACGACACTTCTCCGCCGTCGCCGACTCTTCCTTTTCTAGCTCCGCCGCGCTTGGCAGCCAACCTATCTCTCCCGCTCCACCGCAAGGTACGTTAGTCGTGCTTTGTCTTCCGATGCTTGAGCTTGGAATCTTTGGCAATTAAGAGTAATTATGGGTCCCTTTTTCCTGGGTTTTTAGATGACAAACGAGGGTGGAAGTGGACACAACTGCTGCTGTTCTTGCCTGGAGCGATTACCTTCGGCCTTGGCTCATGGCAGATCGTCAGAAGGGAGGATAAGGTCGGTGTCTCTTCTTCAGCTCTTTCCAATCAATTGAGAATTTCCCTTTGCATTTTGTCTTCGGCGTCGTTTTCTTCTCCTATCTCGCCTCTAGCTTGATTAGACTTGGTTTTAGACTTTTAGTTGGAATCTATGTTTGTTCGATATGTGTATTGCACTGTAGAGTTTCGGGACCAATTCTTGTGGTTTAGTGATCAGGAACGGAATTAGACTACCATTTATCTTTATTCATGTGCATTCTTTTCCGGAGATTCTTGGTACTGTGCGCACTGATCTGTGTATAGCCAATGCAGACGTGTGCACAATTAGTTTATTACACTGATATTCGATTAATTTGTATAGACTGTGAATGCTTGAAGCCTAATAATGCCTCTATTACACTATATTGCAATGCCTGCCAAATGCTGAGTGCCATTCCCATAGCAATTTCTCTTCTTATTCTGAATCTTTGCAATTTTATCTGCTAAATGGTTCCTGAAGTTGACATTGGGCATTTTTTGCTTTATTTACTCCTTGTTAACGCAGGTCAAAACACTGGAGTATCAACAACAACGGTTGAACATGGAACCAGTGAAGCTAAATACAGAACATCCTCCGGATAGGAATCTGGATGCGTTAGAATTTAGACGGGTTACTTGCAAGGGTGTGTTTGACGAGCAAAGGTCTATCTATTTGGGTCCACGGTCTAGGTCCATTTCGGGAATAACCGAAAATGGATTTTATGTCATCACACCTCTAGTGCCCATCCCTGGTGACCCGGATAGGTGAGGGTAATGATCCTTTCTCTTTGCGTTTATGATCTCTCTATAGTCCTTTGCCCCCGGTTTTTGTCAACCATGTTGCACTAAAATTAGGGTCTTTACTTCACTTGAGCCTTGATTGGTCATGGCGTTATCCTTTTTTTTTGCTGCTGATTCTAGTTCTAGCTGTTAACTTTGTGGCCTTGTCTGAAGTCAGATTGTTTGTTTCCATTTTCCACTTAGCATGCAGTCGACAATTCTGGTGAATCGCGGATGGGTTCCTCGGAGTTGGAGAGAGAAGTCAGAATCCACTGCTGCTGACTTCGTTACAACCCATTTGACAAAAGCTAAACCAGTCTCCGATGAACAAAGTCCATGGTGGAATTTCTGGTCGAAGAAAACCCCAATGATTGAGGAGGTTAGTCTTGTTATACTTGTTGTTCAGAAACAACTTCCATCTTTCATAAGATAGTTGATCTTACACTTACTGAATATTTATTTTCTGTGTGTTCCCAACCTAGTTACTGAATATCAGATCTCTTGATACGCTGTGAAAACTGAAATCTTGCAGGAACAAATATCAACGCTTAAGCCTGTAGAAGTCGTTGGAGTGATCAGGGGAGGGGAGAACCCGAGCATATTTGTTCCAGCCAATGATCCAAGTAGCGGGCAGTGGTTCTATGTCGACGTTCCTGCAATGGCCCAAGCCATGGGGCTTCCTGAAAACACAATCTACGTAGAGGACGTCCATGAACACAGAGATCGGAGTAGACCGTACCCTGTTCCTAAAGACATCAACACATTGATCCGTAGTAAAGTCATGCCACAGGACCATCTCAACTACTCAATAACATGGTAAACTCCATACAGTAATCGAGCTGTTCTTGGCATTGTTAGGCCTTTAGTTGAACTATGGTGGTAATGAAAGAGATTGTGTTTTGTGTCTGTGTGTAATGATGAACAGGTACTCTCTCTCCGCTGCTGTCACATTTATGGCCTACAAGAGACTCAAGCCGAAGTCTGCCCGCAGATAAACTCTCTCTGATCAAATTCAAACCTTATTCTTTTTTGTCGCTTGTCTGCTGAAATGATAAGATAATAATTGCAGTGGAATGGGTTTTAGGTTGAAACTTTCATAAGTAAGAGGGACACAGTAAAACACTTAAAATTGTGGTATTAAAATTGAAATTGGGATTGTAGTTTCTTTTTCAATGAGGGAAGAAAGAATTGAACTCACAAAGCCATTTGTGGTTGTCGGTAAAAACGCTTGGAATGTTGTAATCATCACTCTTCTTTTTGGTAGACTATCAGCGAAAGTTGATGTTATTATATGTATGACCAACCCCAAAACAAATCAGTTGCTTAAAGGTAACATTGCTGTTTAAGAGAGTTTATTTGATTACAATATGTGTTTAGTTTGGGTTTATTCCATTCTCTATGGGATCAAAATTCGTATGCTAATTGTTAATTATGCTAAAATCTTAATATTCCACTGGCGATAGGATATTTGCCGCAATGTTGTTGACTCTTTCGTTGTATTTTTGCTTTTAATATCGATATGGTGGTCTATTGTCGTTTTCTTAAATAAGTATTTCATACATCAAAGTTCAAAAGAATAATCATCAATTGCAAATGTTACAAAGCCGATCAAGGACACATGAAAGAGACAGATGCTCTAACTGTCGACTCATAAGAATGACGTAGTAATTTTTTATGGAACTGAACCCTTTTTTTTTAATCATCAATTCAAAAAACAAAAATGTTCGATTCTGCACCGTGGAGACTTTTTTGAGTTTTGAGAGGAGCTTTGTTTTTACTGTTGGGAATATTTTAGCTGAATCAGGTGGGAAATATTTTCGAAGTTTCCATAGACTATATGGAAAACATACTTTAACCAAAATGATAGCCAACCAATTAGGAAAAAAAACTTAAACAACTTATTGTCAGATTTTTTTTGTGTTTTACTTTTTCAGCAAATGTGTGTGAAACCGTAATTTTAAATTACGTAATCAATGATTAGCAAGTAAAATTGTCCAAAGCAAATTGCAAAATTTGATTTGATTAAGGAGCATGAATGAAGGCCAGGTGGTCTAATCAGTCTTGTACCAGATATTAGCAGAGAGAATCATCCTCGCTGTTTCCTATTCGCCGATTCCTCCCCAATCACCATCTCTCTGCCATGGCAGTTTCTCTATTGACCCCTTCCAAACCTCTTTCCTCTTTCTCTCTCTAGACCCCAACCAATCCTCTCTCTCCCGCGACGTTGCGCGCCATTTTCGTTTCCGGTATCAAACTCCGCCTGATTTGGCTTTCCGAGGAGTCAAATCCCCAAAGTCCTTCCGATTTTCATGGCAATCGTGACGGGAGATCGATATTTAGAAAACCTTGAGAAGTTCCTGGAAGAGAAGGCTGGATCGCTAATCGAAGGAACCGATGTTCTCAAGCTCAATCCCGCGGGCCTTCACTATGTTCATCTCCGCCTCGAATCTCTCATTGAGCTCGAGCGAATGCTCTCCGGAGCTCCCGTTGACTATCTCCGCGCCTACGTCTCCGACATCGGCGATTACCGCGCTCTCGAGCAGCTCCGACGCATTCTCCGCCTCCTTACCTCTCTCAAGGTCGTTTCCTCGCTTCCCTCACCGGCACGTGATCCTACGCCTCTCTCTCTTCTTCCCTTTGCCAGGCTCAAGGTCTTGGAGCTCCGCGGTTGTGATTTGTCCACTTCGTCTGCCAAAGGATTGCTCGAACTTAGACACACCTTGGAGAAATTAATCTGCCATAATTCAACTGTGAGCTTTCCTCTTTTCTTTTCCTTTTTCAATCCTTGGTTTGGTGTATTTCTGCTAGTGCATTGAGTGGGGTTATAGTTTGTTCTGTGTTGCTTTAGGCTGTAGGGAAATTGAACTGTTAGTATAATTGGAATGGGCAATGAACGCTGGAAGGTTTCAGGAAGCAAAGGTTGATGATGTATGAGTTTGTTCTTATGGTTTTGAATCGTTTTTGGAAGTCCCTGACTAATCTTTTCCAGGTCTCAACAAAATGTAGGATGCGTTGCGGCATGTGTTTGCTAGTAGAATCGCTGAGATTAAGGATTCGCCACAGTGGAATAAGTTGGCTTTTGTTTCATGCGCTTGTAACCGTCTTCTGCTCATGGATGAGTCGTTGCAACTTCTTCCAGCTGTTGAGTCGCTTGACCTGAGTCGAAACAAGTTTGCAAAGGTGGATAATCTTCGGAGATGTTCCAAGTTGAAACACCTTGATCTCGGTTTCAATCAGCTTAGAAAAATCTCCCACTTGAGTGAGGTGAGAAGCTATCAAGTTTTATCATGTCCATCTATAGATTTCTTTCCATCTGAAGTTACTTAGCATCTGCGTTTATCTTTCGAACCCGTTTAGTTAGCCTTGACAGTTCTAGATATACTATGGCTTAGTTCGAACACACAGAATTTCCGTGGTTATGTTTTATTATCCATAAACCAATTTTTTTGGACTATGCAGGTAACAAGTCACCTTGTTAAGCTTGTTTTGAGGAACAATGCGCTAACTACATTGCGTGGGATTGAGAACTTGAAGTCACTTGAAGGCCTTGATGTTTCCTTCAATATTATTTCCAACTTTTCAGAATTAGAGTTCCTTGGGAGTCTTTCATTCTTGACAGACCTGTGGTTGGAAGGAAATCCATTTTGTTGTGCTCGATGGTACAGGGCACATGTCCTCAGCTACGTTGCTCATCCAAATGATGTAAGTTTTTTTGCTAGAATCTTGGTCAAAACACCGAGATTTCACCATTTCAGTTCCTGCTTGACTCAAAATGTTTCGTCTGTGCGGCTTTTCAGTTGAAGCTAGATGGCAAACAAATTGGGAATAGAGAATTTTGGAAGAGGCAGGTTGTTGTAACTCAAAGGAAAAGTCAGCCTGCCAGCTATGGGTTCTACTCTCCTGCTAGAAATGAAGCTGATGACGAAGGAAGCGGTAACAGAAAAAAGGTAATTGGCAGAAAGTTCATTTTATATCTGCTTTAGTGGCCCTTTCTCCAGCGTGACACTAAACCCTAAGCATGAAAAACATAAGACCAGATCCAAATCAGTTACGCGGTTCTAGTAGGGTACGGTGTTTTGAAAAGCATCATGAACATACACACTACTCGATAGGCAGTTTTTCACTATGCCATAATAGAGTTTCAGTTTCTTGGTTTGATTTGTGGCTTATTATCGTCCTCTTTTTTTCTTTCACAGACGAAAGTCTACCGGCTCGCATCTATTGATTGTGAGGAAGAGAGCACCTATGTGAATTCTGATCAAGAGTCTGCTTCATGTGATCCTGAGACTCAAAGCAAAGAGGAGAATATCAAGTCTGATCATGAAGCTTTAATAAGTAAAGTTGAACAGTTGAAGAAAGAACGTTCGGTTCTTTGGCTGCGAGAGTTTAAGGAGTGGATGGATGATCCGTCGGAGGATGTTGTGGATGTCAGAAAAGACAGCTGGAGTATTGATTCAGAGAAAAATTACGACACAAAAAGCCCGAAGCATCATGGTGAAACATTGGGATATGCACCGGGGCCTTTGCCAGGTTTCCAAATCACAGATCTAAATCAGAAGCAGCAAGCATTATTTCTTGATGGGAAGCTAGATGAAAATGGAAACATGTCAACATCTGAGGCTACACAGGATATAACAGGATCATTTTTACCCTCGTCACCCCCTCATTATCAAAAGGATGTCTTGCACAGACGTCATAACCTGGTGGAAGAAATTTTACAGCTATCAGCAGACTCTTATTCAGTTGCATCCTCTGATAGCAGCAGCTGCAGTGAAAATGAAAGTTATGAATCTGAGCAATCAAATCCTGAACATGATGAGATCGGGGGATCTGCTAAAGGCACAAGCTTGCTTGATTCTCAACCAGAGAAGAGTAGCATCATAAAGACTTGGAAGATAGATAATTCTTTCAAAGCAAAGACCACTAATTTTCTTTCTGGTCTACACAGTAGTGAGCTTGCTTCTGGTGTTAACCATATTTATAGTTGGTTTGACAAAAGGAAAAGCAAGAGGAAGCTTAAAAAAGGAGTAGTCCCTTTGCTGGAGGAGAAGAGATTCATAAATAATGGAGAAACATCTAATAGAAGTGATGCAGATAATAGTGATTCTTGTGAAGATGGGTATGCTTCTGACCATTTGCAAGAAGGTTCATTGACTACGGGTTGTAATCGTAAGAGCACTACTAGATTTCTGGGGACTGAAAAATCCCCTGATGTAATAGGTGGTCTTGTGGAGGAATATTTTACAACAACACTGTCAGATTCCAGCACTGATGAGACTTGTAGGATGTACGTTACTTGTGATTGTATACTACAGCAAGAATCCAATTACAAGCAACGGTAAGGTTTTGTTCCCCTTATTATTGTAAGAAAGTAATGTGAGACCCTTCTATCTTTGGTTAGACGCGTGATATTTGTTAGGATTATGCTGAGGTCGCCATATTACTTCCCTAGTATTGATAGGCTTTCTTGATATTCAAATTTGAAAATGAAAAACCGGTCGATGGAATTAAATTGAGATGTACGAACAATTTGTTAGTTATGTAACTGGAAAATTTGTTGTGAGAATGAGAAGCCATTTCATTCAAGAATAGCGTCTCCTCTTTTCCACCTGACGGTACTCTAAATATGCAGGGAAGTAGTGTTGCTGCTGAGTAGCCAAGAAAAATTGTACGTGCTGCTCGTGGGTGTCTCGACTAATTCACAAGGTTAGACTGATCTTCCCCATCTTCCTCTCTTCCTCTATGTTTGAATATGATATTCTCTGTTGATGTTGACTTACTTTACCTTGACCCCTGGTGTCTGCAGAGAGCAACTTAAGTTTATTGTGTACACATACAATCGATGATATAAAAGAAGTCTCAGTTGGTCTAGGACTTCAGGTTGTGAGGTTAGTCTTTTATGGTTCCGCATTTAAACTTGATGCTGGGCCCATGTCCCTAACCTCTCTCCTTCTGGTTTAGGGTACGCTTTAAGGAGGACAAAGAGTACATTTTCATAACGGAGAGCATGGAAAAAACAACAGTTTTACTAAATATCATTAAAGTCTTGGATTCTCAGGCTACAGAATCCAAATCTTCTTTGGGAAGGTGAGCTATCATCATATTTTTTACCAGCTCGTTTACTATTGCTTCTTCCGTTTTCTTTATTTCACATGTAATGAATCTTAAATGGCAGTTTGGAGAATGTTCAAGTGGAATTGTTTGAGAAAGAAATATGTAGAGGTTTAAAGCTGAGTATATTCCAGTACAGTGTTCTTCGTTTTCAGAGCAACACTCTTGGAGGTCTTTTCTTTCCCGCTTATCTTTTACATCGTTGAGTGAGAAATAGTTCACCTCGAATGTTTAACTCGACATGTCATTGTTCTCATACAAGAATTCACCTGATAGTGTATACTAGCAATGATTTTGTCATAGTGTTAATCAGTTTTCCTCTGTTAAACTGAACAGAAGTGACATGGCTTCCACGGTCACTATTTGTGGCGGGTGGACAACTTTTCATATGCGATGAAGACTTCAGGAGGCTGAGCTCTTCGCCTACAGATGCTTCTTCTGCTCCGTATTTCTTACTTGACTCAGGCTGCTCTATCTCCGACATATTTGAGATGGTAAAGAGCTTGTTTTATTCTTGGCCCTTTGCTCTCACGTTTGTCAGTTTTTTTCTTATGTTTTTCCATGTATACTAACAAACATGAATGTTATCCAGGTTACTGAATCGAGAGGAAGTCCGTGCTTGTACCTGAAGATCAAGCTGAAGAATTCAACATTTGAAACCAGACGACACAGGACAGTGAATTCAGTAACATGGGCGCTCAAGTTGTTCAGCGCAGAGTGTGTGCTCAAATTTGTGTCTCTAGTCAAAGGACTTCACCCAGATTCCCAAGAATTCCCGTTGCTCGTTAGGCATTTGGGTCAGATATAAGTCGTCGAAAGTTTTTTTGGGTGCATTGTTCATAACTCCATATTCATTTGATTCAATTTGTTCATGTGTTCTGATTCATTTTGTATAAAGCCCTTGGGTTGGTGTGGCTCTTATTCGAGTCTGATAGACTGATTCCTTTAAACTGTTTCAAGATATGAGTTTGATCTGTATTCTTTTGTGTATCATACAACAAGAAAGAAAATCATAAAGTTTTCTGCAATGTTTCTATTGATGTGAACAATGGAGAGAACCTACTTAAACCTGTCTCTTCTCTTCATCAACCTGTTCCATCAATGCCTCTAACTCCGCTTCCGATAAGCTCTCCAACCGTTTCTACACAAATACCAAACCACCCATATGTTTAAGGTACAAAGCACATAAACACTACTTCATAGTCCTAAAGAGAGATCACGAACCTGCATGACTTGAGACTCGTAGTCACGAAGTTGCTGTGCATAAGTCATCTCTTTGTTACCGACTCTGAAGATATAAGTCGAAATCCAACCCAAAGTCAAGCCTAGCACCAGTATTAGCTGCACTGCGTTCCCTGCTTGCAACGGATCTACTCCCACATACTGCACCGTTTGATAACAATAATACTCATCAGAGCCACACCAACACACACACAAGGAAAAATGATTCGCTTCTTGATTTAATTACCTCAAGCCCACTCTCTAGGCCGACACCAAGTGCAGTCACTCCCACTCCTATCAACAGAACATCCTTTCTCGTGTATCCAAACGGAGTCTTCTGTAACCATATTATCACACAACAGAGTTTGCTTCAGCACTATAATAATGATGATAAAGTAAAATTGAAGAGATGGGGATGAGAGTGAGACCTTGGTTTTTGTGGCAGAATCTTCTTCGGTTTCAGTGGTGTTTGAGCTCACACTACACCTCATTCTTTGATTCTGTCTCGTTTCTACTGATGGTGATGACAATCCATGTCCCTCGAATCTAAATAAGACTTTCTTCGCAGCCCTCGGTCCTCCTGCATCATCTCAACAAACACAGGGTAGTTTTTTTTACCATCTCTTGTGCTAAATACTGGGCTTTGACGAAAACGATTGGGGAGATTCGTCTAATGTAAAAAACCTGTGATTTGCCGCCCAATCGGACGAATCCGAACAGTCGCCGACAGAACCTCCTGATTTCTGCATAGATTTGTGATTCCGTACGGTAGAGAAGCCATTTATCCGTGTGTGTAACCCAGAAGCGGTGTTACATGTGACAAATAAAACACTTCTAGTCTTCTAGAGAGTGAAGAACAGAGAGAGAGAGAGAGAGAGATTAGAGAATCGGGTGGTTGATATTTTACGCGCCCATAAACTTTTTACTTACGGTCTAAAATCGATAAAGCGTGTGGTTCTCAGTTTTCACCTTCTAAAACTCGTTAGGCGGTACTAGGGCACTCCGTCTCCTTCTAGCGATTTTCTTAAAAGTCGGAAATAAATCGGAGAGTACTCGGAAATTAATTTTAAGTACATTTTTAATTTTTTATATATAATACATCAACATGAAAATCATATACTACATTATTACCAAATAACATTCTTTTTTATATATAATACATCAATATAAAAGTCATATACTACATTTTTAAGGTTTCATGTTGAATGAAAAGTCTTTACACACTTTGGACGAATTGGGGCTAATTGTGAACAAAAATCAAACTTTAATCCATTAGATTTTAACATTTACTTACTGGTTTTTATAAAAATGTGAATGTCAAAGTACGGTCAACGGTTGACCATATCTTTACTCGGTTTTTAAAAAGTCGGAACGGCAACCTCCTTCTGGCAGTTTTAGGACCGAGTACTCGGCAACTCGGCCGACTTTTAGAACATAGGTTTTCACTGCCAAAAGGACGGCGCATGGACATATCATAATTTAAATATTATAGCAACTTCAATAAATATTATAGCAACAACAGATTTGTGGAATATTGAGGAATTCCACTGAAAAAAATAGTTTGTTACCAGTTACACAATTGTGGAATTGTAGAATGGTCACAAAAAGACAAAAGTCATAGATTTTTTTTATTCTTATTTTACATGAGTGATTATAAGTTTTATTAATGAATTGATCATAGAAATATATTATAATTCTAAATTGTTATATTTCTTTGATGTTTAATAAATTATTATGAATCTAATTTTTTTCTTTTTATATATATTTTAAATAATTTATTTTCTTCAAATATTATTTAATTTTTATAAGAAATGTACTCTTGGGGTGTCTATTTTCAAAACCACACCTCTATAATGTTAATTTTTCAAAATTATACTTTTTCTAAATTTAACATATATGTTGAGGTTAGCTAATCTTTGATTAAAGTTTAGATTTTGGGGTTTATAGTTTATATTTAGGGTTTAGACTTTAAATTTTAGGATTTGAAGTTTATACTTTAGGGTTAAAATTTATTTCATTTCATAAAAAAGTGTAATTTTGAAAATTAACAATCTAAAGGTTTAGTTTTGAAAATGGACAACATGTACTTTTGAAATTTCTCCAATATTATTTAAATATTTCACAAGTATATGTTTACTTTTTTATTTAATTTAACTGAGTAAATAATTTTTTATTCTTTTAATAAATAACTTTTTTTTTTTAATTAATATATTTTTTAGGTTCAACATCAACTTTTATTTATCCAAATATCTTTTACATCACATGATTATCAACCTCAACATAGGTTTTAATCCACCTTGGCGTTACCGAATATAACTTAGGGGCATAACTCTCACAAGAGATAGCATCCTTTGCTATTCGATCTGCTACACAATTACCTTCACGAGGGTGGAAACTGACCTTGTACTTGTCAATGTGATGGAGCTTTAATCGAATGTCATGTATGAGTCCTTGAAGCTTCGGCCAGTCACCTCCATTCACAGCTTAACCCAGCGTTTGAGAGTCATATTCAAAAATGACATCTCGGAGCCTCAGCCTCTGTCTCCATCACTGACCGTACTTGGTTCACTTTCCTTTCTCCCATCCAGATCATTTTCCCCTCGTGATCTCTAAGTATCCATCCCACACCACTGTACTTGCCATCCTTGGTCCATCCGCCATCTACATTACATTTCCTTCTCTCCGTTCTCCCACTGGGGTCTTGACCTCTTAACTCTTTCATTGCTATCCTGTTTTCCCATTCCTCTCAATCTTCCTTTGCTTTTTTTCACTGTTTCTTCAACCTCATATTTCCATCCTTTGAAGATATAATTATACCGATTTTTCCACGATCTCCACATTATCAATGGCACTAGTTTAACCACCTCAGCCTCTCCGGGGTGTTTCTCGTGCACATTCATTACCCAATGGAAATTGGAAAAAAAGGAATTGAGCATTATACCCCGATGGAGATGCTGGTACATAGGATATAGCCCAGACAAGTAAGGACATTGGAACCATTTTTCATATAGGGTTGTATAACCATTTTTCCTATAACTGCCTTATATAGGGTTGTATCTTTCTATGATGCACACTTTCGATTATAATCACCTTGACGAACAGTTACTACTTTTTATAATGATATCTTTTTATTTTTATATAGTAGATTCTTTTGTACATTTTCATCACTCAATTTAGATTCTTCCCATTTTTTTTTCCTTTTTTAATCATTTTTCTGATTCTGTTTGTCCATTTTCTCTTATCATCGTTGTAATTTAATTTTGTAATCCCTTACTTACATCGTAATTTGTTGTCACATTCATTTATTTACTCCGCTCTAGTTATGGCTTATTTACAAATAAACAAATATGATCATGATTCAAACAATTTTCATATATTATATATAACCATTTATCTACACACTTGTATCTTTTTAGGGGAAATTTCAAAATTACACATTTTGGATGTACATTTTCAAAATTACACTTTTATGATATCTATTTTCAAAACTACATTTTTTTATTGAGTAAAAGAACTTTAAACCCTAAATATAAACCCTAAACTTTAAAATGTAATTTCTAACCCTTAAATCTCAACTCTAAACCCTAATTAAGGATTAGTGAACCCAAACTTAGATGTTAAATTTAGAAAAAGTGCAATTTTGAAAATTAACACCATATATAGAAGTGTAGTTATGAAACTGGATAGCCCAAAAGATGTATTTTTAAAATTTTATCATCTTTTTATGATGCTTTTATCGTTTATAATTGTTTAATTTTACTACCAATTGCATTTTTAGTGATGATATATTTCAACTCTATTTATATTCGTAAAGTTTAAGGTAAAAAATATGTTGCAACTCAGAGAAGCGTTGGCTTATAAGCCCAAAAAAGAAAAATCTAAATATTAACATGAAAAATGTATTTTTTTTATGAAAATTGTAAAAATTGGGGAAAATGCTTTTAGTAGATTATAAAAGTCTTGTAATCTTTTTTTTTTGGGAACACATTACAATATGCCTATGCATGTAGGAAGGCATTAACTTTGAGTGGCAATTGGCAACGAAGTTCGAGGTTCTAAAGGCATCTCCAATGTAACTCCAAAAGGAAGAAAACTTAAAATAGAATTGGATTTTGCTCCAATGTATTGCTTCATTTTCTACTTCAAAAAGAATATTCTAAATATATTCTTTTTCAAAACTTTCTTTTAGTTACTAAATTTACATTGTAATATATATATATATATATATATATATATATATTACCCATAATTTTTTTTTTTCAAAACTTTCACAATTTATTATAATTATTTAAATTAATTATGAAAATATTAATAATACATTACAAGACTAAAAATAACAACACAAACTTGATTTATTTTCTATTAGAACCATTTGAATATTTTCCATAAATGATCAACTAAACAATTTCGAAGAGAGAAATGAGCATCTTTATCTTCTTTTTTTTAACGACTAATCTAAATTCAAATTACGAGAACTGTTACAAGACAATTTTATAGCAATGAGCATCTTTATCTTTGATCTCTCTAAATAGAGCAAAAAAATTCTGGAACCAAATATCATCGTTTGCGGCTATTTCGACTTCTCGAAGTGGAGCTTCTCTTTCAATTCCAAATAGTGCACTGAGATCATGCTCATCCTTGATTATCATGTTATGTAAAATTATACATGTAGTCATTATGTGATGTAAGTATTCCCATTAAATTAAAAAATCAGTGACAGTTGTTTTAATAAATTTATTTTTTTATGTTATTTCTAATAAAAATATTTTCCTTTCTTTTTAAATTTATTACTAGCTTAAATAATTAAATTTCCTATTAATTATGTGTTATTGTATTTTAGAGTAAAAATAAACATCAAAATAATTAATTATATATCTTAAACTGAAATAATTTAAATCTTCAAGGACTCTTATATAAATTAAAAATTTCAACTCCACAATGGAAATGAAAATGGGATCATCCTCAGTTTGGGAAAAAAACTCCAACCCAGCCCCATGTTTAACCTTATCACCATTTTGGAGTCAATTTTGCTCCAACCCAACTCCATTTTCAACCTCAAAACGGCAAAATGCCATATTTTCCCTAAATTAAGGATGATCCCATTTTCATTTCCATTTTGGAGTTGAAGTTTTTAATTTATATAAGAGTCGTTGAAATTTTAAATTATTTCAGTTTAAGATGTATAATTAATTATCTTGATATTTATTTTTACTCTGAAATACAAATAACACATATTTAATATGAAATTTAATTATTTCAGCTAATAATATTGTTTCTTAAAGTAAAAATAGTTTTATTAAATATTCAAATGGTTTAGGTAATCATTTATGGGAAGAATATTCAAATGGTTCTAACTAAAAATAAAATTCTGTTTGTGTTGTTATTTTTAGTCTTGTAATGTATTATAAATATTTTAATAATTAATTTAAATAATTAAATAAATTGTGAAAGTTGTGAAGAAAACAAATTATGGGGCGATTTGTAATATATATACAATATAAATTTAGTAATTAATAATAAAAAAGCAAAGAGAATATACTTAGAATATTCTATTTGAAGCAAAAAATGAGGTAATATATTGAAAATGCCCTAAGGGAAAGACATTTACTTTAAACTCTGATTGTAGGCTTTTGGGTCTAGAGAATTTGATTTTAAAGATTGTGATTGTTACTTTCAATACGAAAGTTTCATTGGTAACAAAAATTGTAAGAATTGTGAGTTATACATAATTTAAAAAAAAAACAATTGTCTATAATATAAATTGTAAACTATTTTTAGCATTTAAAATACATTAAATTGATTTGGTGTAGTAATTATAATATTTTTTTTATAAAAACTAATAATATTTTTAACTATAAAATATTAGAAAATGGATATTAAAATAATATAAAAACAAAAATTGTAAATTAGTAATAGTTTCACTTTGATAAAGTTAATCTAGTTGGTATAATACGTTAAAAAATATTTGGAGAAAATGAAAATTTTATTTAATTATGATGAATGAAGCCATCATGACAATATGTGGTTGAGGTTATCTTCTGGATTTCGTTAAGATGCTTCCTCTTTTATGTCTTTCAAAAGGACGTCATCCTTGATGATGTTATATGTATACACAATAAAAAATAATTGGAGAGCACAAAAATTGTAATTATATTATATATAAAACAAAATTATGATTAATGACCAAACGTGCAAGCAAGACAACTATCTACATCCAGAGAAATGAGGTTCAAATCCCAAGTTATTGTCTATGAAACACAAACACTTGCAAGATCTAATAGAAAAGATATTAAAGAGTATACACTTTAGCAACATCCTATGTCACGACGTAATGCAAATAATAAGATCTTCTGTATGAAAACTATTATCCCTTTTTACATAGAATTAGAGGAATTGAGTAGGCTCATTCAGAAGGTGCTCTGGGATCAGTCTGTCTCAACCCAAGTGCCCCGGCCTTTAAGCCGATTCATTCAAACGACCATAGTCTGTTTTTGACATAATCTAATGGTTTTCCATTGACGGAAGACCAAATCTACAACCATTTTGACAGGCACAACCTTAATATTCTGTTTTCTTAAGAATATTAGGGTTGCTAACTTGCTTGTTGAAATAATTATAGATCTGATCTTCGTTAACAGAAAGCCATTGGAGAAAGTAAAAGCAGACTACTCTTTGTCTGAGTTTCTGTTTTAATTGGTGTGGATGGAAGAATATTGCACTAGTGGTTTATATAAGTAGAATATAAACAAAGAGATAAGGTAGATGATTTTGCTCGCATCTATTATTCCGATTTTTATATGTAAACTTTGTAACTCCAGTTTGACTTTCTGAATTTTTCTTGGTATTTTAATATTGTTTACAAAAAAATGGGTGAAATGTTTTGTAAAGATATATATGAATTAAATATTTTTGATGAATAGTATTAAGTTTTTGTTGACACATTTAAGATAAAACTAAACCCGTTCTTTCTAAACTGAATCAAAAATATTTTTATAAAACTGAAAAATATACAGTATTTTGTCTAAAATAGTTATTTTTAAAATATCAAAAAGACCTTAACTGATTTCAAACCACAGTGGAGAAAATAAAATTGAAATTAGATTTCTTAAAAATAAAAGAAATATATACATTTATATTAGATTAATAAAACAAGTTGGTTCAAAATTGAATTACGAGCTAAACCAAAACAGTACCAAGCTGTTTATATTATATTTGGTTTATACATTAATTATTTATTTGTTCAAAACCAAACTAAATTTAAAATCCGGATTGAACCATGTTTGAAATATCTATGTGGCTATGTTGTTCCACAAAATTACGTAAAATATTTTTTTGTTTCGAAATATGTTCGGGAATAATGACTTTGTGGTCCTAGTCAATACACTGAATTTATTATTTAGCTCCTAGTTTGTCATTAGTTAATGCTTATAATTTGATTGCCCCTATCATTTCCATTATTGTACATTGTACAAAAGAGCAAGTTTAACAGCTCTTTTTGGAAACTAAATGTTGATGGTACATTTCAAGATTATATTATGAACAATTATATCACAAACTATTATGCATAAAATGTTGACTGTTTGATAATAAACATTATTTCAACATTTTCGCGCTAATTAGGAAACAAGTTAAAATGTTCTTGCTATATGCTTACAAAAAGTTTGACTTCAAATTTATATGATATTTTTCAATTATCTCCTTCATTTTAAATATTGAAAATATGATATTATATGATACTCCCTCCTTTCCTCATAATTTGATGTGTTAATTTTTTTTCTTGTTTCTAATGATTTGATGTTTTAGATTTTATTTGATACATTTCACTTTAAAAACATTTAATTTCATTGAAAAGATAACTTTTAGGTGAAAAAAATAATAATCAAACTTTGTAACCAATAGAAAATTTCTGAGAGCAATTAATAATTTCAACATAATTAATGAAATAGGATACTAATTAAAAAATAATCAAAAAGTAATTAGTTAAAATCAGTAATGATGGTTTTGTGAAAAAGTTAAAACTTTAAATTATAAGGAACAGAGGAAAAGTACATTATATCTGTAAAACGGTATTTATTTTAGTTAAAATGATATTTATTTTGAATGAATGAGGTAATACGGAATGGGATAAATTCATGATGCTGAGAAATTGCATACATAAATCTTGAATCTATTAAACGAAAAAAATCAGTTAAAAGATAAGATAACAATAGATTATCAAAGAGTTAATATTCAGTACTCTTCAAATTTTTTATTCTCAGATTTCCCGTTCTCTTCCCATTTCCGTTAATTCCCTTCTCAAAAGTCTAAATGTACTAGGCTAATCAAAACACAACTTTTTGATACGAGGACTCTTTTTGCAAAAAAAAATTAGTTTGAGGTTTTTTTGCACAAAAACCTATTTTTTAAAAAAGATTCTGACAATACCACGTCATCAATATATGCAGAGGCTATATTGCGGGTGATTTTGGAGGTGAGTGGTTTGACTTCATTTTTTCGAGGTGAGGGTTTTTCTTACAAAAATAATTTAGTTTGGAGTTTTTTTTGCACAAAACCCAGGGTTATGTTATTGAAGATACCAATGTTTGGAGATTCAGTGTCTTCATTTCTTTATAAAATAATTTATGATTATTGAACCCTGGTATTATTTATCCTAGTTGTTTAGAAAATGTGACGGATAAAGCAACTTTTAAATTGAAAACATAGTTGAGTTTGAAGACAAAATCAAATCACACTCTTGTTCCGATCCTAAAACCAATGGAACCAGCCCTTTATTCCCAATCACCTAAACACCTAAACAACAAGTTTCAATCAAGCTGAAAACTCAAAGAGCATAGTGTGCTGATACTTCTCACCAGCCTTAACCACAACCGACGGGAAATTCGCCTGGTTAATCGCGTTCGGGAATCCTTGCGTCTCAAGGCACACACCTGCATGCTTCCCATAAACCGCATTCCCTTTCCCAACCACTCCATTCACATAGTTCCCCGTGTAAAACTGCACTCCCGGAGCATTCGTCCACAAATCCAGTACCCTCGAGCTCGCACCATCTCTGAGCTTCGCCGCGTGTTTCAACCCATCCTTCTCCTGATCAGGACAGTCCAACGCGTAGTTGTGATCATATCCGAGACCAACCTCTCCAATAGACTCTCCAATCCGTTTCTCCTCCGTGAAGTCGAAAGGAGTTCCCTTTACAAGCAAGATCTCTCCTGTAGGCACTGTGTGTTGATCCACCGGAGTGATGTGAGACCCCCAAATCTGGATCTTATGGTCAAGAATGTTTCCAGAGTCATGACCGGCTAAGTTCCAGTATGTATGCTGAGCTAAGTTGATCGGAGTGTCTTCGTTCTCCGGAACAGCCTCCATGTCAAGCCTCATGGCCGTGGCTGACGTCAGAGTGTACGTCGCTGTCACGGAAACTGCGCCGGGATAACCTTCTTCTCCATCGGCGCTGTGATATTTGAAAGTGACGAAAGGCTTCTCGCCGTCTTTCTTGTGCCCTGCAACGTCCCATATCTTCTTGTCGAAACCCTTGTTGCCTCCTGCATTAGAGTGACATCGTTAGTGACGCAAAGCTTATAGAATCAAAACAGAGAAGAGAATCGTTTATATAATAGTACCGTGGAGGCTATTGGGAGGTTTGTTGATTGGCAGAGTGTAGTTGACACCATTCAGACTAAACTTTCCCTCTTTGATCCGATTTGCTACACGACCAACTATGCACCCGAAGTACGGTGCAAGCCCTTTCTGTAACAATCATATTTGTTATATTTATTTACAGATTCGTAGATAAACACACAAATTCAATACCACACTTGCAAAATCCATTTTTCTGATGTATATAATCAAAATGATCATTCATCACAAGAATCATGACCATGTATATATATTATTTTACAATATGATTCCGACACTATTGATGATAACTATTTCAGACACATCAGTTGATCCAACTAAGTACTCTTATTCACCAATTCAGACAACAGAAAATCACATGGTTGCAATTTAAAATCAGAAACACAAGGAGCCAGTGATCAGATCGGATGAAATCTCTATCGAGTTCAATGATAAAATTAGGTGAAATTGGAGAAAAAATTACCACATAAGGATCAACGGAGTCGAATCCGAGAACTACATCGGCCAATTTCCCTTGGATAGAAGAAAAAACAAACAAATTCGATCATCAGAGGATTGAATTGGGATTTGGGGAAAAGTGAAACATAACGGAGATCGGCACAGGATGGGAGAATAAAACGAACCGTTTTTGTCGGGGACAGACAAGGAGGTGATGGTTGCGCCATAATTTGAGATCTTGACCTGCATGGAGCCATTGTTGAGCTCGAATATCTCAGGAGTGTTCTTGCTATGATCTGCCATTTACCGGCCTCGAAGATCGATTTAGGGTTTAGATTGGAAGGAGAAAGAGCCAAGTGATTAGATTTTGATTGTATCGGAGAGAAACAAGGGGAAGTGAATCAGTTTTTGTTGAGTTAAACAGAAATCGTAATCTCGGAACGTATCGGTGCTTACGTCATCCCAATCCCAAATTCCCATCTTGTATTTATTTCTTTTTTCAAAGCTTATAGTTTCGGAATATATTTTTTCTTTTCAAAAATTCAATTTATACCAGCTAGAATCCAAAACTAAGGAAAAATAAGGGATACTCACCAAAAGAATCTTCTTTATAAAGTACTGAGATAAATAAAATATTTATTTATTTAGGTAAATAATCTCAAATTCATGCGGTAAAATTATAATTTTATCCCACAAAAGTTAACAATTTCAGGCAGGTGACAAAAAAAAATAGAAAAACATATTTACTTTTCACATTATACATTTATATGAAATGATAATATTATACCGGGTAATACGTTATTTTATATTATACACCGCCATGCATATAATTACTAATTGTTGTGTTCTATTTTATAGGATGATGAGGCTAGTCTTTTTTCTATAAAACAAATGTAATTTTCGCAGTTAGATTTAAGTTGAAATTTAACTTCCTAACAGGGAGCAAGGGTAATGGTGATCCTGATATGGATCTTCCAATTAGATTGTTGAAAACCGACCATTTCCCTAACCGTCGACTCTATGTCTATGGGAAGCCTGACATAATCGCTTTTGTAAAGCATACGCTCAGGAATAGCCCAGAGGCATTTGAAAGAATAAGGAACTCTCAGTTGGGGAAGCTTTGGGATTTTCCCACTGCTAGATGTCCCGTATCTTGCAAACTCATCCACGCCTTGCTGTGTAGGCAGCTGTTGTCCAAGAAACATCATGAAATGTGGACAGTATTCGGTGGTCACCCATTGCGTTTTTCCTTGTCTGAGTTCGTCAGCGTGATTGACCTTTACTGTGGTGAATTCCTAGAAGGATACGACCCAGATTGGCATCCACCAACAATGAAGGGACCAGACAAGTGGTGGAGGAAGTTCATAGAAGATGACTCAAAAACAACACTACGCGACATTTCTACATCACTCAGGAAAGGGGAAGTCGAGGATAGCGACCAAAAGCTTTCTTTGTGTCTAATATGGATAGGGTTCTCTGCGTGAACAGCCAGATCCACAGGCCAACCCCCAATTATGTCGCATGTTGGAGGACATATACGCATTCTTGAACTTTCCATGGGACAGAGAGTCTTTCATAAAAACAATCACGACAATGCGGCTCATGACTGGCAAAGAGGAAGATCCACTGGGCACACTTGTTAAGAACCTTGGCCAACCCTCGTTTAGGCTTCTTGGATTCCCTCTAGCGTTGTAGCTACAAGCGTTTCGGGCAATTCCAATTCTTTTCCAATATCTCTCAAGCACAGACATATGATATTCTACTCAACTTACCTGACGAGGAATTCCCACATCATCCATCGCTGTCTTATCTGGATGTAATCAACACTAAAAACAATTTTGATGTAAGCAACCTCCTTCTGTCCTTGGTATATTGCTATAGTGTTGTAATTTCTAGTGTCATTATCTAACTTAGTTTGTTATTGTTGTTCACAGCTATCCATAACTCCATTCATACCTCTGGAGCCACAACCTGGATATATTAGTTGAGGTGAGTTTGCTTAGCAAGAAGTACAAGACAGGAAGATTGCATACCTGCATGATCTCATCTCAAAGAACCACCGATTCTGAAAAAGTGAATGGCCCGGTGGCGCTACCGAGTACGAGCTTGTTGTACACCAGTACAAACCACCAATGGTTGCTCACACGAAACACATTTTTAATCGAAAAAAGGAGAAGTGTCCCTGAGTGTCCGTTCACCTTGGCCTTCTAAATGAAAATCAACTCGCCGTAAAAAGGAGGTGGATGAGTCTATTAACTCTGTTGCACTTGATGATTTGGGGGAACTGAACAAGTGGCTAGTAGCTCAGGTTAAACTCCTCACCGAGCAACACTCTAAACTTGCCGAACGAACCATACGACTGGAGCGCAAGAATCTGTTAAAGCCGCCACGTACATTTAGGACGCCGTCCACCCAACGGCGGTTTCCTGTACGCCGCAGCTATCCACCGCTATGCATAGCATCACTAATTGTTGTGTGCTATTATACAGGGTAATACGTTATTTTATATTATACACCGGCATGCATAGAATCACTAATTGTTGTGTGCTTTTTTATAGGATGATAACGCTAGTATTTTTTTCATAAAACAAAATCAAATGTAGTTTTTGCAGGGTTAACCCTCAAAATTTATGGGGTTATAAACATTTACAGTTTTGGATGTTAAATGATTCATACTTTTTTTCCAGAGTTTGGAAGCTAGATGATACCACTTAAAATTCTGATTGTTCTGTTTACATCAAAGTTCAGATTTTGATTATTGGGAATACATTTTCGGCTAATATCCAAAGCATAGAAAATAAAAAATCTTCTTTTTGTTTTTTTTTTTCGATTTGATATATTTTTCAAGAAGAAAGGGAAAGAAAATCTATATATACTATATAAAAGTTGAGGCTATAAGCCATTAGAGCGTCCACATACGATTTTATTGGTCCACATAAGCATCTTCAAGATTAAGAAAGTTTCCAAATTTTAAAACCAATAGTATCATTCCACATAATCATATAAAATTAAGAAATTTTCCAAATTTTAAACAACCAATAGTATTAATCTATATCATCATATAAAATTAGCTATATTTGTTAAATTAGTTAATTTCTTTCTTATGTTTCAAGAATATTAATTAGTATAATCTGTTTAAATTAGAAACTCCCAAGTCTAAAGTGATTAATTAATATTTTTTAATAAATATGTTTTTAATATAAAATTTGAGGCTAAATGCATTTAAGAGTGTCCACATAAGATTATAAAACGCATCTTATTGGTCCACAAAACATTTACATATTTTTTCCCAATTTTAAACAACCAATAGTATTAATCTATATCATCATCTCATTTTTTTCAAATTTTAAACAGCCAATAATATTAATCTATATCATCCTAAAATTAGCTATATTTTTAAAATTAGTTAACTTCTTTTATGTTTCAAGAAAATTAATTAATAGAACCGGTTTAAATTAGAAACTCCACAAGTCCAACGTAATTAAATTAAGATTTTTAAAAATTATTGTTAAAAAATATAATTTACTAAATTTTAAAAATTATATAAAAACATTTGTATAACTAAAATATTAGTTATAAAGAATTAAATAAACCTTAAGGTGAACTATCTTTGACCAAACTTAAGTTTTTACAAATAAAGAGTAGGTTACACCACTGAAGAATTGTTCTAAGCAAACAAAGCCAACATTGCAAAAGAGTCGATCTCAACATTACATAATCTATGAATAAAAAAATGGAGATAGAAACAAAAATGTAATGTCGTATAGAAGACATATGAGTTCATTTGCAGTTTTTTAGGTGATGAGAGAGATCAAGCTTTGGGAGCTAAAACAAAAAATCAAGAAAACAATAGCATACTATATAATATTTAGTTCATCGTAGCTTCAAAAAAATGGTCGAAAAAGTAAATAGTTTGTTTGGATTACTATGGAGCAGAAGAATTCAAAGGAGATTTAATAGTGCAACCCATACAACAAATTTTCGAGAAAGCATTCCACCCTACATCAACAAAATAAGAGTTCGTATTCGGGAGGATAATGGAGGTCAGACGGAGAGGGAAAGAAGAGGTTGATGTCTGGCATCCTTCACATCCTTTAAGAAGATTTCATCTCCATGTAAATAACGATTTTCAAATAAGAGAAAATCACGAACCTTCCAAAAATGGCAAAATATATAAGGATAAAGAGATATAGGCAATAAACCTATTAGGGGTAGAATAATCAGTTTTTCTACATCTTCAAAGAGTTCATGAAAAATGTGTGAGTTTGCCATAAGTTTATTGAGAAGCAGGGCTTGATCCAAGACTCATACTGTAGAAAGACATATGAAGAAGATATGGAGACTGTTTCTTTGATGATCACAATGATTGCAGGAGGTGTATCAATTCCATGAGCAGCCAGAGTTTGATCGGTCAAGACAAAGCTTTTGCCATCAAATTCAAGAGGAAATATTTCATTTTTGGTGTAGTATAAACTTGCCAAATATGATTACTCGATTTGATGATATGAGGTGAGTTAATAACCATTTTTGCAATTAAATAAACACTAACTGAATTTTGCAATTTCTAAACAAATATGTAACTAACAAATTTTTTGAACAAGAATGTATTTATAAACAGATTTAAGGCGGAAATATTCAAGTAAACATTAATATAAAACTACTTCTAAAAAGAAATGTATACATAACGCATAAAAAACGTGACAAAATTACTAACAAAAAATCAACATTGAACAAACAATGATTTAAGATTTTCTTTAAGCCATAAAAAAATATACATAATTTATATTATATAAAAGCTAAATATATACTATTATGATCAAAGTTTTATAAACACGATGTGTAAGTTAAATGTACTGAAAAATAAATTATATGTTGTTTATAGCATTTTAAGTTCTAACATAACGAATTGAAGTTATTTTAAATAAACATCGTGTTACATACAAATACTGTTGACATCTAATTTTAAGAATTTCACTATACATATTTAAAAATATATTTCTGTTTAGAAAATGATTAACACGTCACAATAGTTCATAAATTAACATTACATTTTACATATATATATATATATATACTAATAAAGTTTGTCCTATTATAATGATTTGAATATCTTCAAGTAAGTTTTGGTCATTAGACATACACAAACATTTTTGTTACCGGGATATGATCTAAACAATATTTTTGTATGTCAAGATTTGATCTCAACACGATATTATATATCTAAAAACTTTTGTTTTCAGAGAATTTTGGTATTGAAATATTATTAAATTTTAATTGTTGATTTTTGCAGTTAAAAAAAATATTATTTAAAAATATATTTTAAACCGATTTAAGATACAGACCCGCGCGTGCGCGGGTGGGTGAAAGTCCTAGCACAAACATTCAACACCAAAACTAAGAATTTGTTGCAAGAAAACTTGACATAGGTCAAGAGCAACTTAATTTCCGGTCATGGTCTCATCGGCTTCTTCCTTCTCCGGCAACATCAAACCTCTCAAGTTTTGTTCTTTCAGGCTTACGTAACACTTTTAGTTTTTTTTTTTGTTTTTGACCGGACGAACACTACTAGTTTAAATTTTCAATAATAACACAAACTTTATTGTTGTACACCGTAAAATGCAGTTCAAACAAACAAGAAAAGACAATAACTTTAAAAAAGACAAGAATTTTTTTTGTTTTTCAAGACAAGAAAGTTAAAAGAAAAACAAACAAATCAACAACCATTATTGTCGTCGAACCGGTACAAGCATGAGAGGTATTTTCTTGACTACCGAGAGAGTACCAACTTCTTGCATATCAATATCTCCAATTCCCATCCCATCAGGCAATCTCCAATCGAAGAAGTAAAGCATATTCAACAACGCCAGTTCTATAGCAGCGATCGACATTGGAATCGCTGGACATATCCTTCGGCCTGAACCAAACGGTAGTAGATTATAGTTTTGTCCTCTAAAATCTATAGAACTATCAGCAAACCTTTCGGGGATGTAATCTTCAGGGTCAGTCCGATGTTTTGGGTCACGTCCAATCGTAAATACGTTGATTTGAAGTGTTGTCTTTGGAGGAATATCGTAGCCTTGGATCTTGACGTGAGACATTGTTTGTCTAGTCACAACTGGAACTGGTGGGTGCAATCTGAATGATTCTTTGATTATGAGTTGTAAGTAATCAACTTTGTTGATGTCTTGTTCAGTAATTGTCTTCTTTTCGGTCCTAGTGTGGTTCGGATTTCTTCTTGTACTTTCTTCATCACTCTTGGGTTTCTTGCGAGTTCAGTCATCGTCCATACCAATAATATGGCGCTTGTATCTATCCCCGCAAGAAATATATCCTGAACAAACACATAAACTTTTAATAAAAAATGGAAAAGTAAAAAAATAAATTAAAACCAAAATACAAGTGATTTGTCATGTTGGTTAGAAACAAAAATAAAAAACAACAAATAAGCTAGAAACATTGCCATATATAGGTCTCAATTATTTGTTTAATTACTTCTTTTTCTTTTTACTTGCGTTTTTTTTCTTATTTAATTATTTGTTTAATTACGTTTGCATTTTCATGCTATAATATTCTAATTAAAAAAAAAACGCAAAGGAAAATGCAAAGAAACAATCAAACCTAAATGAAAGATGAAATATAGAGCATTACCATGAGGACTGCCTTTATATTATCGTGATCGAGCTTGAAATAATCTTTCTTCCCTTGCTTTCTGATAAGATCGAGCATCACGGCGACAATATCCGTTGCAGAATCCGAAGTTTTAAGTCCTGATGATGATTCTTTCAAGTGATCATCAATCACATGCTGGTAAAAAGCATCAAGCTCCTTAAAGACTCTGTTTAACTTTTTGTGTTTGTTAATACAATGGGCCTAACGGAAAAGGCCAAGCCCACACAATCAACCAAAGTTGCTACAACGGTCAAAAACAGAGTTCCGATGCAGAGACTACCGTGTACGGCAAAGACAGCTCACTCTCTCCCTCTGAAGAACAGATTTGGACCACTCACGAATACTCTGGAGATGCCACCTGTTTAGGCTCTCTAGGTTTAGCTTATGAGTATAAATAGAGCTCTTAATGTAATTTGGAAACCCTAAGAAAAGAGAATGAAGAATTGAGAAATCTCTTGTCTAAAGTCTCAGTCTTGAGCTTATCTCTCTGTTTCTGTTTTGCTTACAGTATTTACCAAACAACCAATCTATGGATCTTCCAAACCCACCCGAAGGGAACAAGTCAGTGAATGTAAAATCTCCTAGAGCATCAGCTGCTTCACTAACCAGTTCTTCGATCTTCTCTTGGTCGATGAACTCGCAGTCATGGAAGTTCTGTCCCAAGGCTACTCTACAAACGATGCTCGCGGTAAGAGAGAAGAACATTTTGCTTAGATCCACAGGAGACTGTGTCAAAGTTGATGATTCGGATATTTTCTTCACCATCAGTCCGACCTCTTCCTCTCTTATATACCTAAACGATTGTACCTTCTTGAGGCTAAAAAGCTCGATAACGGCGACTTTCCTCATCTCTCTCCAGTACTCACCGTATGGCCCAAAAGTGATGTCTTTATAACCATACGAGAGTTTTTCTGTCCCGACCATCTTCGATCGAGTGGAACATTCTAGGTCATGGGTTTTGAGCACTTCTTCAGCTGCTTCGCTTGAGGAGACCACGACCACTGGAACAGACCCGAGATGAAGAATCATCACTGGTCCATATTGGCTGCAGAGCTTGTGGATGCATCTATGAGGTAAATTAGTAAGATGGTGCAAGTTTCCTATGATTGGGAAACTTGATGGGCTCGGAGGAAGTTTCCATTTTGAGGATTGAAGCTTTTTTGACAAGGCAGAAAAGGAAACTATGAAAATGGGTATGATGAGGCAGAGGAAAGAGAGGAAGATTGACATAGCTGATCTATCTTTAGGGTATTTTCTAGTGGAGAAAAATATATACAAATAAAAAATCTAAAGACTGTTATACGTACGTACATAACAGATATTTTCTAACAGATTTTCACGATACATAATTACTTTTCTTAGAAAACATGTTAAACGTTTTTGTTTTTTACGATACATATGTCAACATAATACTGTACATGACTTTTGTTATTGTCGGCATAGTCGTGGGCCGGCCTGGCACTAGATGAGGATACGTACGTCGATATCATAATTCAAGAATATATGCATTGTTATAGAAAGAGAAAGATCAAGAGAGGAGAGGAATTCGTGATATCATATTCCAATAGAAAGGGGATCTTTATATAGGTGTACAATATTAGGGTTTTCCTTATAGGAAGTACCCTTGGTGGACAAGTAGGAATATTCTAGAAGATGAGCCTGATAATGGACATCCACATAAAGCCTTTTTATAACACTTCCCCTTGAATAATGTGCGGATGATGTTACCTCATTAAAAACCTTACTAGGAAAACCCAATGGGAAAAACCATAGTTAAGGGAAAAAGAGTGTAGCGCACAATTACTTCCCTCATGTGGACATCCGTTGAGATTCTTGAGACGACGCAGTCCAATCATATGAGTTAGCTTCTTGAAAGTAGATGTTGGAAGCGCCTTAGTAAACAAGTCCGCCAAATTCTCGCTTGAACGAATCTGGTGTACACTTACATCGCCATTCTTCTGTAACTCATGGGTGAAGAAAAACTTCGGTAGAATGTGCTTCGTTCTGTCTCCTTTGATGTACCCATCCTTGAGTTGTGCGATGCAAGCAGCATTATCTTCATACATAACCGTTGGAGCTTCCTTTTCCTGTTGTACACCACAATCTTCTCGAATGTGTTGACTACAGACCTCAACCAAACGCACTCACGACTAGCTTCGTGGATGGCTAATATCTCTGCATGGTTAGAAGAAGTAGCTGCAAGAGTTTGCTTCATAGAACGCCAAGAAATAGCAGTACCTCCACAAGTGAACACATATCCAGTTTGTGAACGAGCAGTATGTGGATCAGACAAATATCCTGCATCTGCAAAACCAATCAAGTCTTCCTTGCATGTATTAGAAAAGAATAAACCCATATCTTTCGTGCCTTGCAGATAACGAAATATATGTTTAACCCCATTCCAATGTCTTCTGGTTGGACATGAGCTAAACCTTGCCAATAGGTTCACTGCAAATGATATATCAGGTCGTGTATGACTAGCAAGATACATCAATGCTCCTATGGCACTCAAGTATGGTACTTCAGGACCAATAACTTCTTCATCATTTTTCCGAGGGCGAAAGGGTCCTTTTACATCAAGTGACCTCACAATCATTGGACTACTCAAAGGATGAGACTGATCCATGAAAAACTTTTTGAGAATTTTCTCGGTGTACGCCATCTGGTGCAGTAGAATTCCATCCACAAGATGCTCAATCTGCAATCCCAAGCAGAATTTCGTCTTTCCGAGATCTTTCATCTCAAATTCTTTCTTCAAGTATTCTACTGTATATGAAATCTCTTCAGGAGTTCCAATAATATTCAAATCATCTACGTACACCGCAATGATGACAAATCCTTTACCGAATTTCCTTATGAATATGCATGGACTGATAAATCATTCTTATAGCCTTCCTTCAACAAGTATTCACTAAGACGGTTATACCACATACGTCCTGATTGTTTCAATCCATAAAGAACGTTTTAACTTTATGGAGAAATCTTCTCTAGAATTTGATTTCTCTGCTTCAGGCAGTTCAAATCCTTCTGGGACTTTCATATCTCATTATCCAATGGACCATAGGCTGTGACTACATCCATCAGTCGAAAATCAAGTCCTTCTCTTATAGCAAGAGTAATGAGATACCGGAAAGTAGTTGCATCCACTACAGGAGAGTATGTCTCTTCATAATCAATTCCGGGTATTTGTGAGAAACCCTGTGCAACTAAACGTGCCTTGTGTCTCACAATTTCACCATTCTCATTCCTCTTTCGCACAAAAATCCATTTGTGCCCTACTGGTTTAACACCTTCAGGTGTACGGACTACTGGTCCGAATACTTCTCTTTTACCAAGAGAGTTGAATTCCGCATCTATTGCTTCATTCCATTTTGGCCAATCAATTCTTTGCATGCACTCTGCAATAGATGTCGGTTCATGATCCTCATCCATGATATCGATTGCTACATTGTATGCAAATATTTCATCGACGTCGATTTCCTTTCGGTTCCACTTTATTCCAGACATGACATAATTTATTGAGATCTCTTCATTCTCAGGTACCTGAATTTCAGTCATGTGTAAAGTCTCTTCTGGAGATCTTTCATTCGTGGTTACCTCGGTTTCACTATTGCCAATTTCTGCTCCTTTTCTTTTCCGAGGGTTTCTATCTTTGGAACCAATAGGTCTACCACGCTTCTGGCGTGTCTTAGACTCTGTAGCAATCTGATTATGCCCTTCTGGGACATTCAATCTAATTGGAGCATTCTCAGCTGGTATATGTGACCTTATCACTCTTTTCGGGTCAGCAAATGCCTCTGGCAACTGATTTGCTAAACCCTGCAAATGAATTATCTTCTGGACTTCTAATTCACACTCTTTAGTCCGAGGATCAAGATAAAATAATGATAATTCATTCCAGCTAATCTCTTTTCCCAGCTGTTTAGTTTCTTCCCCTAATGTTGGAAAGACTGATTCATTAAAATGACAGTCTGCGTATCTAGCCCTAAACAAATCCCCAGTGGATGGTGATGCGGAGTCAGGTTTTACCAAACTCCTAGACCTCTGCAAGTGCACAGATCGCGGAAGTATGGGTATCGAACACAAGGACTGGCTATTGAGTACACTTTGTAACTATGGATTTTGGATCAAGCTAAAACAAAAGTATGATTGAGGTTGTAATGGTGAACCGAACTATGTTCCATAGGTTGAGGTTGTACTTGTGGTCTATGCCACGATAGAAGATGTTCCATAGGTTTCCCTCATTGAAACCATGATTAGGGCAGTCCCTAATGTACTCCTTGAATCGATCTAGCGCCTCATAGAAAGACTCATTGTTGCCTTGGCGAAAGTGGAGATCTTGTTTCTCACAGAAATTGATCTCTGTTTGGTGTAGAAGTGGTTGATGAATGCAGCCTTGTACTCATCCCAAGTGGTGATGGAGTGAGCTGGCAGAGACTTCAACCATCTTGAAGCTTTGTCGCCAAGAGAGAATGAAAAGAGCTTGCACTTAAGTAGTCAGCAGAGACTCCATTGGATCTTGTAGTGCTGCAAATTTCTTCAAAGTTTTCTATGTGATCAAGAGGGTGCTCAGCTGGAAGTCCATTGAATTGGTTCTGTCTAACCAATGCAATGATCTGAGGCTTGATCTCATAGTCATTCCTTGCAGGTGGTGGTGGATGGATAGGGTTTCTATCCATGAAGAAAGCATCGGCAGAGTCATAGTCTCCGATTGTAGGTGCTCCAGCTTGGGTTGTGCGTTCACATCTCCAGCAGGGTCTTGTGGATTAGGAGGAGGAGGAGGTGGATCTCTTCCTTCTTCTTGAGCGCGCGCCACTTCAGCGGCGTGAGCGCGAGCTGCTTCGTCGGCCATCTCTTGGGCTTTCTGCTTCCTAAGTTGCTTCTCAAGCTTGTCTATCTCTGGATGTTCAACTAGGTTGTCCTTGTTGGACCTCCTAGTCATGCACCTGAAAAGAGTCTTGGAAACAAGTTAAATCAAAAGGGAAAAACAAAAACAAAAGCAAAAATCAAAGAAAAGGAAATCAAAAACTGAAAATTCAAAAGCAAAAGAAAAGTAAAACAGGAAAAGGTTCTAGACTAGATCCTAGTCGAGTTCCAAAGGTACTGCTGCAGTCCCCGGCAACGGCGCCAAAAACTTGATGCGGAGTCAGGTTTTACCAAACTCCTAGACCTCTGCAAGTGCACAGATCGCGGAAGTATGGGTATCGAACACAAGGACTGGCTATTGAGTACACTTTGAACTATGGATTTTGGATCAAGCTAAAACAAAAGTATGATTGAGGTTGTAATGGTGAACCGAACTAGCAAGTATAACGAGGTTGTAAGCAATAAAGGAAAAGCGCTAGGTCATAGGGGCTATCGCAGAGAAGCAAGCAATGATCAATGAAACAATGATAGATTAATTGATTAGGGATATTGGGATATTAAGAACCATCTAGAACACAGATCACGAATATAAAACCATTCCACTTTCGAGGCTCCGGCTCCTTTGCTAATCTACCTAGTCGCTAAACTTTTGGTATGTCCCTAGGTGATTAGATCAAGCATTAGAATGAATAGGTTCTGATACAGTTCACTAGATATAGATAGATCAACTTTCGCAGTCTAAGAAACCTAGCTTGTCAAAGAATATGTCCGGCGAATGATACAGCACTGTCGAGGCTCAAATCAACCTAAGATCGGATTACTAGATGCGCGGTAAAGCAATCAGCATTAGTTAAGTGCACAAGACGAGACAAAGACTCTAATATAATCCCTAGCTAATCATTGAAATCAAAGATCATGCAAGCAACTCATTGAATAGTAACCCTAGCAACCTAACTAGTGGATTACTCAGACATGATCAAAGCAAACACACATAGAGATGAAGAAAACATGATTGCAATAAAACTTAGAGTAGGAAATCGAAATACAGGGCGGCTCTCTTTCTCAAGAGGCTAAAAATCCATATATATAGTGCTAGGTCTTTCTAGAGGCGGCTTAGGGTTAAGCCGGGCTTGAAAACATAAGTTTGGGCTTCAAAAAGGGCGAGTCGGAACGGTCGGGGTCGGATGTATTCGCGGTCGGCCGGCGTGGTCGAGCGGATTGAGATTGGCCGATGAGAATTCTCGGCCGGACGTGGGACGTTCTTTCCCGGCTCGGACGGATGCATCGGCCGTGGTACGCGGAACGGTTGCGCGGCCGCGAGGCTTGTTTCCCGGCTCGCGCGCTTTGGTCGTGCGCGGTGTGGCGTGAGCGTTGGCTTGGCCGACCGCGGGACAATGTTTCCCGGGTCGTGTGCGTGATCGGCCGGTCGGTTTGGAACTTTGGCCGAGACTTCAGTCGGACGGATGTGATTTGGCCGAGCGCGGAACATCGTTTCTCGGCCAGCCGGACTGCGCGGTTTGGGCGCTGTTCTCGATAGAGCCGTCTGGACAGTCTTCACTCTTTTGGTTGTAACTCCTTTTCTACTCATCCAAATGAGGCCATTCCAATTGCGTTGGAAAGTTAACTCAATCAGAGCACGCAGGGAACTGGTCTTGATGAAATCCATTGAGTAGATCTTTTTCTGGGCCCTCTTAAAGTTGGTGCTTGTGCATGGAGCTGCTTGAAGTGCAAATCCTATGGTTTTGCTCCAAAATGCATCATTTCACCTGTTTAGACTCTAGACACTATAAACACAGTAAAACTACCTTTTTAGATAGAAAACCTGCCAAAAACCATTAGAAAACAATGCTAAAACAGTATAAAAAGTGGGTAAATTAGAGGTATATCAGATGGCTCTAGATACCTTATGATTGATGCAGAATCATATCCAACATATATTCCCAATCTCCTCTGAGGTCCCATCTTAGATCGCTGTGGTGGAGCAATCGGGACGTACACCGTACACCCAAAAACCTTTAGGTGGGAGATATTTGGTTCTTTGCCAAGAACCAACTGTAATGGGGAGAACTTATGATTACTTGTTGGCCTGATGCGAATCAGTGTTGCTGCATGCAATATAGCATGTCCCCAAGCAGACACAGGAAGTTGGGATCTCATAAGTAATGGTTTAACAATCATCTGAAGACGTTTTATGAACGACTCAGCTAAACCATTCTGTGTATGAACATGAGCTACTAGATGTTCAACACTTATCCCAATCGACATACAATAATCATTAAAAGTCTGAGACGTGAATTCACCAGTATTATCAAGCCGAATTGCCTTTAAAGGGAAATCTGGAAAGTGTGCTCGTAATCTTATCAACTGAGCAAGAAATCTCGCAAACGCCAAGTTGCGAGTTGATAACAAGGATACATGTGACCATCTAGTAGATGCGTCAACTAGAACCATAAAGTATCTAAAGGTTCCACATGGTGGGTAAATCGGCCCACAAATATCTCCTTGTATCCTTTCCAAAAAATTGATCGATTCTGTATTTACTTTGGCTGGTGAAGGCCTTATGATCAGCTTGCCTTGTGCACAAGTAGCACATGTGAAATCATTAGGCAGAATCTTCTGGTTCTGTAATGAGTGTCCACATGAATTAATGATTATCTTTCGCATCATTCCTATACCGGGATGGCCTAACCGGTCATGCCAAACATTGAAATTTTCATTACACTTCTGGTGTACGACCGACAACTTCTGGTGTCCGGTCACCAACTTCTGGTGTACGGCTATATTTGCCTCGATTGTATTTATATTCGTAAAGTACAATTCGGTGGAGAACGCAGGTAGCCTTTCTACAATGGCTTTAGAACCTTGGGTAATGCGTGTAATATGAAGGTATTCAACCTTTCCTTCACTCACAGTCTCAATGTGATATCCATTTCTGCGAATATCTTTGAAACTCAATAAGTTTCTATTCGACTTGGGTGAGTATAATGCATCAGCAATATCAAATTGCGTGCCCATAGGCAATAATATGCATGCTCTTCTGGAGCCCTCAATTATATTTGCACTACCCATTACTGTGCTCACACTTGCTTCTTTCATTTCCAAATGAGAGAAATATTTCTTAGTTTTCAAAATGGTGTGGCTAGTAGCACTGTCTGCCAAACATAAATCTCCACCATTCATTGCTCTTCTGGAGCTTTCAAATATATAAACAATACTAGTAGAGTACCCGCACGTTTGTGCGGTGTGACGTTGTTGTTTTGTGTAGAAAATTTAAACCCTAAATCCGAACCCGACAAAAAACCCTAATCAAAAAATTTAAAAACCCAAACTTTTTTAATAGGTCTAAACATGAAAATCCGAAATCAAAAAAATCCCGAAAACCCTGACTGAACAAAAAAAATCTGGAAACTTTTTCACCCGGAACCCGACCCCAATACCTAATCAAAATTTTAAAATACTCAATTTTTTTAATATATCTAAACCCGAAAACCAGAAATCTAAAAAATCCGGAAAACCCTAAACTGAAAAAAAAAATTGAACCTAACCCGAACAGAAATTTTCAAAGAAACCCGAACAATTTCTATATCTCTATATATATCTCTATAAAATTATGTCTCAGATTTTCACCCAAACCCGAACTTGTCTATAAAAACCCGAAAATCCAAAAAGCATATTCTATTGATTTGGAATTATCGTTAGATTATGTTAAGTTTTTTTTTTGCAGATTTTTAAGAGATGGAAAACGGAAGTTTTCTAAACCATCGGTTTATTTTAAGTTATTATTCTTGTATCCAAACAATTTTTTCCATTTATTCTTCTATCCAAATAGATTTTTCTCTTATTCTTATATCCAAACAACTTTTGTTTCCATTTATTCTTCTATCCAAATAGATGTTTCTCTAATTCTTGTATCCAAACATTAGAATAACCTAACCCGAACAGAAATTTTCAAAGAAACCCGAACAATTTCTATATCTCTCTATATATATATATATATCTATAAAATTATGTCTCATATTTTCACCCAAACCCGAACTTGTCTATAAAAACCCGAAAAACCAAAAAGCATATTCTATTGATTTGGAATTATCGTTAGATTATGTTAAGTTTTTTTTTTCAGAATTTTTAAGAGATGGAAAACGGAAGTTTTCTAAACCATCGGTTTATTTTAAGTTATTATTCTTGTATCCAAACAATTTTTTCCATTTATTCTTCTATCCAAATAGATTTTTCTCTTATTCTTATATCCAAACAACTTTTGTTTCCATTTATTCTTCTATCAAAATAGATGTTTCTCTAATTCTTGTATCCAAACATTAGAATGTACTTCTGAATTAATAATATAATAAAGATATAAATAACTTGGTAATGTAAATAACTGAAATAAAATATCAATTCATAAATTCATGGAATCAAATGATAGAAACACCAAAAGCCATAAACATCAAAAACCAGATATAATAAAGCAAACAATATCTTTAAGTAAAAGTATAAACTTAAATTCTCATATTCCCTACAGGGGCGAGAATATCAGTAATCTCCATGTGAGTTGCTTCACTCATCTCAAAATCATCTTCACCATCTTCGTACACCAAATTTGTTTCCACATTCTTTCCCTTTTCCTTAACAGCTTGTTGATAAAGACCAACAAGGTGTTTTGGTGTACGGCACAAACGAGCCCAATGGTCGTTTCCTCCACGGCGGTAACATGCATTCTCTTGTGTTACTTGCTTGTTACCACCTTTGTTTTCCTGATTTTGGTGAGAGCGTGCGTTCTTAAACGAACCTCTTTGACGTACACCAAAATCTCTTCCACGTCCACGACCATAGCCACGACCCCGTCCACCACGACCTCGACCACGGATGTGGCCTTGTCATCTGTGGTTTTGTTCTTTCCTATCATAGGATGTCGCATTCGCTTCAGGGAATGGAGCAGAACCAGTTGGGCGCAGGTCATGATTTTTCATCAACAGCTCATTATTTTGCTCTGCCACAAGGAGGCAAGATATCAACTGAGAATACTTCTGGAATCCCTTTTCACGGTATTGTGTCTGCAGGACAACATTATTTGCATGAAATGTAGAGAATGTCTTCTCTAACATATCAGCATCCATGACTTTCTCTCCACATAATTCCAACTTTGAGGTAATCTTGAACAATGCTGAGTTGTACTCACTTACAGATTTAAAGTTCTGGAGTCTCAGATGTGTCCAATCATAACGAGCTCTAGGTAAGATCACAGTTTTCTGGTGATCATACCTCTCTTTCAAACTAGTCCAAAGGACTTGTGGATCTTTCACATTCAAGTACTCACTCTTGAGACCTTCGTGGAGGTGATGGCGAAGGAATATCATTGCTTTTGCCTTATCCTTAGATTCAGCCTTATTCCTTTCCTTGATTGTTTCACCAAGCTCTTTTGCACTGAGGTGGATTTCGGCATCTAGTGCCCACGCGAGATAATTATCCCCAGAGATATCCAACGCCTCAAACTCTAAACTTGTTAGGTTTGGCATGATTACTTTTAGCTCTGACGGCTAGGGTTTTAAACCTAGGGAGTAGAGACTCGTGCTGATAACGTGTTATGGAAAGAGAGAGATTAACAGAGGAGAGGAATTCGTGATATCATATTCCAATAGAAAGAGGACCTTTATATAGGTGTACAACATTAGGGTTTTCCTTATAGGAAGTACCCTTGGTAGACAAGTAGGAATATTCTAAAAGATGGGCCTGATAATGGGCATCCACATAAAGCCTTTTCATAATATGCATAACCGTTTAATCTTAAATATTGTTATGTATATAATCCAAGTTATTGTATTGTAAACTCTAGTTTTTTTTTTTTTTTTTTGTAAACTGTAGTTCAAAAAAAAAAAAAAACTATATTTGTTTTGTTTTGAAGACAAGAAAGTTCAAAGAAAAACAAACAAACAAACAATAACCACTATAGTCGTCGAACAGGTACTAGCATGAGAGGTATAATTCCTGAAGAGAATCCAAAATAAGTGGATTTATGCTCATTAAGATTTAAGAGCTTATTGAGATGGTGATAAGATTGATAAAAGAGATAACTTCATTAGCTTTATTTATGTACAAAAAACTAAAGAGAGAAAGGAAAGAGATTTAAGATGTCTTCAAGAACTCAAATGATTTTAAATTGATATCATATAATGAGATTATAAGCATTAGGCAACTCTCGAAGGTTACAGACAATTGTCTCATAAACAATTGTCTCATAAGAACAATATTTATCTCATAATGCACTTGTAAGATAAGAAACCCTAAACATATGGGTTAATATGATTATTTTGGGCTTCTATTGGGCTTACGGTTTCACACTCACGATTCCCTGACTCACCGAGAGAGTACCAACTTCTTGCATATATCTCCAATTCCCATCCCATCAGGCAATCTCCAATCGAAGAAGTAAAGCATACTCAACAAAGACACAACCAAGGCATTTAGGATTCAGGAATGGGAGAAGGCCACACAAATTATAATGGGAGAAAATGAAATGAAGACTAATAATGAAAGGGAAAGGAAAAATAATAGAAGAAACGCTGTATGTATGTAAGTATATTCATATGGCGGCCATACCTGTGAATTTAGATGTAGAAGTAACCTTTTTTCGGGTATCCTATGAATAAAAGATAGAACCTATAAAAACTCGTTTTTGTGGAAATTTCTTGTTCTCTTTCATCCAATACTTTACCCCAACAAAAATTGTTCCCAAATAAAATTTGGATTTCCCAACTATAAAAGTTTTAAACAATTAAATGAATAATATCAAGGCAAGCATTGAAAGAAATAGTGTAACAGATGGCAAAGATGTCTTTAGTTGAAAAGAAGAACAAATCATTTCAAAAAGCAAATCATTTGTCACTTTCTCCTTCTTCACCTATATCATCCAACCAAAGCAAACACTACTTTCCTTTTTCTCTCATTAGCAACAACGAACTCGCCGATCCGTCGTCGTTTTGGTTCAGTGATTCAGTCTCCAACATCATCGACCAGCGATTACAGAAATGCAACAACATCTCCGGAATCATACCAGTATCTTCAAGCCTTGACTCTGTTGGTATGGATACAAAAATGTGTGAATTAAACCGTTTGTGGTAGAACTATTAGACTAGGTTTGATTGTTATATACTGCAAATCGACTTCTTTCAAATGACTATTTCAACTTAGCACTATTATATGAGGATTATGTCTATTCTGATCAATAGATATTGCCTTCAGGATGGTTTGCTCGTGATCCAAACACCCTACGCCGTGTTGGCCATGTGCTCTTGCAACTTCCCTATGCCACACAACGGAATCCAAGGCAAATCATACTAGCCGATGAGTCGATGACTATTTTCAACTGTTAAAGATCCCTGTGGACCGGATTACACAGGTGGTGATCAAATCAGCAGAAAAGCTTTTCGGAAGTATGCCCTTTGCTCTTTCTAAAGATCCTTGGTCTCTCTTACATATCCTGAGTATAAAATATCATTATTGTTTGTTTTATGTGTAGGACAATTGCTGAAGCATCAAAACCTGGAGAGTTATTTTGAAGCTAAAGTTCCTAGCTTGAAAGAGTTTACTAGGACAAAAGCCGTCACTAACACGAATGTCCCAACATCGATATTACTGGGGAATGTGATGCAGCTTCTTCAAAGGTGTGTTTGTTGTTTATTCACCATCAGAGGATGAGAGGATCTCGATTTTGAACTCTAAAAGAAAACGATCTTCGCTTGTATTGTAGGCACGAGTTCCACAAAAACCATGGGGACTGGATCAACACAGTGAAGCCAGCTATTGATCCTGTGATTTCTTCACAGTTGCGTGATAACACAGAACTAACCAACGAAGAGATTGAGAATCTGAACGTAATCAGAAACGAGATGCGCATGGCTATTGGTTCACTTCTCAAGGTACCCCTACTCTTCCATGTGTCATCCACAGCTTGAAAACTTTGTTTTGTATGTGTCTTGACTAATGTTATGTATTCCCATGCGTCAAGGATGATGGCATTCTGGTAATTCCAACAATGCCAGGTGTTCCTCCAAAACTTGGTAGCAAGGAGATAATGTCTGAAGACTATCAAAACCGAGCTTCAAGTCTGCTCAGCATCGCTAGCATATCGGGCTGTTGTCAGGTTAAATCTTACTCTCTCTCTCTTATTGTTCCATGCGAGTAAAGATGATGCTAAATGGTAACAAAGTGACGACTCACAAGACAGCAGTAGCAAACACAAGCCACAGTGTATGTGCTGTTAAGTTTTAACAATTTGTTGGTCTGATAATGCAGGTGACTGTGCCGCTGGGACACCACGAGAAGTGCCCTGTTTCAGTTTCTTTCATAGGGAAACATGGTGGTGACCGCTTTCTACTAGATACAGTGCAGACGATGTGCGCATCTTTGCAAGAGCACTCCAGCATTATTGCTGATCCCAAATCTATTAAAAAGAATATTACCCAAGAAGAGTCAGCTGAACTTGCCAAAGAGAAGGTTAGATTTATTATCCATTGCAAATCCTTTCTCCCAATTGCATTATCCTCCTTGATCTACTGTGTTTCTCATGTGTGTTTCTAATCTCACGTTTGTAAAACAGGGTAACCAAGCATTTAAAGAGAAACAATGGCAGAAAGCTATTGGTCTGTACTCAGAAGCTGTGAAGCTAAGTGAAAACAATGCTACTTATTACAGTAATAGAGCTGCTGCAGTAATAGAGCTGCTGCATATCTTGAAATCGGAAGGTAAGTGTTTCTCAGATCCTATAAACCCTTTTTTAGTGAGAGGTCTTTCCGTGTGACATGGCCTTGATAAATCCTATACATACAGCTGTCTTCAAGCCGAAGAAGACTGTACCAAAGCCATCACTCTCGACAAGAAGGTTACTTTCTTTCTTTGAACACAAGCAAGTTTCTCTTATTCTTGAATCTAAACTACAAAAAAACAGGCGCGTCCACCTAACGCGCCCCCAATATTTCTCTCCCAAATTAGATCTCGCGTCGCGAGAAGCTTGATTTCGTTTTCCGACGAGCCTCCCCGGCGTCAACCGGCGTTGAGGGAGGGCATCTTCTTCTTCTTCTCCTTCTACCTCTGTTCGCTGCTGTTCTCTTTCGGTGGTGAACTTGTTCTTTGGCTGGATCTGGACATCGTGACCTAGATCTATGTGCGCTGAGGTACTGCGTTTTTCTTCGGCAGCTCCGTGTAGGCGTCGTCTCTTTAGCTCCACCACGCGTGATGACGGATGTGGTTGGGGTTGAAATTAAGTCGGCGTTGGTGTCTGTCGCGCCGCCATGCTCCGAGGGTACTCGAGGACGGTCCCTGGGGCAGGTAGCGAAATGTTTCTGTGGTCTCCTTTTGCTGCTCTGTAGCCAGCGTATGTGGCTCTCCAGTTCTTCACGGTCGTTTGGGTTCGTTGGTGGTGAGGTTTTGGTCGGATTGGTTTTTGCGTGTGGCTGAATCTTGGTGGTTCTCCATTAGCGGCAGAGGGTGACTGTGGGACTTGTCGCTGGTGTCGTTGCAGGATCCGGTGGGAGGTCAGAGCTCCTTCCTTCCGGTGAAAATCGGCTCCCGTATTTGCTTCCGAGGTGGCTCCTTTTCTCTCCACTGATTAGGTCGTAATTTGCTAGTTAATTGAGTTGAGCTTTGTTGATTGGTGGAATCCAGTTTTGGAAATGCGGCTAGATAGAGTGGTGGATTCGCTTTTTCTAAGCTGTTGGAAGAGATAGTAAGACCGTTGGGACCGTGATGTGGCTGTGCTCTGTGCTCACCGACATCGGGGAAGAATCTTGGGAGAGTAAGTGAGCTCATTTAATCTTAGTTGTCAATGTAGTTCCGACCTGGTGTTGGAGCCTAGGCTTGGCTGGTTGAGCGTTGATACCGAGACGTTGAGGACAGTCTTTGTTCGAGCCTCCTCTAGCCCCTTAGAGTAATAGCTCTTTGCTCGGGCTACCTGTGAAATAGCTTCTATACAGTTAAGATGGCGATATCTATCTTATTTCAAGTTGCAAATCTGTCTTCTGGTGAACATTTTCTCCAATTATTCCTAGAGTTAGCAAGCAAGCTTTGTATCGCTACTTTGTCTTGGCCGTCATAGCTAAACTTAGTACCGGTTGTTTATGCTTCCATGTTTTTTAAACTTTTTTGCCATGGGACCATGTATAAGGTTTTTGCATTTTGTTCACACAATTTGTAAAACCAAACTTTTCATTTTATAATGAAATATTTACAATTTAGCAAAAAAACTACAAAAAAAAAAAATTGTTTTTTGCAGAATGTCGAAGCTTATTTACGAAGAGGAACCGCAAGAGAAATGTTAAGCTATTACAAGAATGCCATAGATGGTAAGCTTTTACTATAATCTAATTGGTTTTCTTCTTATCCGAATTGGGCAAATAACCAAAGATTTTTTCTTCTTCTTTTTCTTCTTTAAACTTGACAGATTTCAAATACGCACTTGTGTTGGAACCAAACAACAAACGAGCGGCTCTATCAGCCGAGAGACTGAGAAAGTTATTCCAGTGAAGCTTCTTTCGCTTGTTCGTGCCTCACCGATCGATCAAATATGAGAAAACGTTTGTTCCCTTAGAATTTATCAAAAGTATAGGCCAATTTTGTTACACTTGTGTTGTGAACCAAGGTGCGAAACAAAGCAAAGAGAAAGAGAAAATACGATTGAGGCGAATACACCCGTTCTAGGGTTTCTTATTAACTCGTGTGATAAAGTAATTACAACCCTAATGAACCTTATATATAAGCCTCCCCGATAAACCTAAGTCTACCGTATAACCAGCGTTATCAGATTATAAGTCACCAGGAATAACAACTTGTTTTTTTATTCACAACAGTCCTCGGATATTTAGGCATTTTATTTAAAAACTTTTCGCCGAAAATGGAATCAAACACGAATTTTTATAAATTGTAACCGAAGTTTAGCCTTCGATAAAAATGGTTTCAAAAACTGATGTTATTGTAAATCCTAAACAGATACCGAATTTCTCGGTCCCCTTTTAGTCAACGTCAAATAAGGTCATGTCTTTGGTAAAAAGGGGAGGAAAAACAATAGAAGGAATGCTGTATCCATGTTCATACGACCATACCTGTGAATTTAGATGTAAAAGTAACCCTTTTCAAGGTATCCTATGAATAAACGATAGAACCTATAAAAACTCGTTTTTGTGGAAATTTCTTGTTCTCTTTCATCCAATACTTTACTCCAACAAAAAATTGTTCCCAAATAAGATTTGGATTTCCCAACTATAAAAGTTTTAAACAATTAAATGAATAATATCAAGGCAAGCATTGAAAGAAATAGTGTAACAGATGGCAAAGATGTCTTTAGTTAAAAAGAAGAACAAATCATTTCAAAAAGCAAATCATTTGTCACTTTCTCCTTCTTCACCTATATCATCCAACCAAAGCAAACACTACTTTCCTTTTTCTCTCATTAGGAACAACGAACTCGCCGATCCGTCGCCGTTTTGGTTCAGTGACACAGTCTCCAACATCATCGACGACCAGCGATTACAGAAATGCAACAAGATCCACGCAATCAGGTGCCACCTTCTCCCACCATCTCCTCCGTCTCCTCCTCCGATCTTGATACTGAGGTCAGTTTCTTAAATCTTTAATTTAGTAGAAAATCTAATTACTTTTGCTTAGGCTGAGAGATTGAGCTGCTTGAAAAAATATAATCTTTTTAATTAGAAAACTAATTTTAAGTTCCAAAGGTTGTGTTTTTACTTTTTAGAACTGCCCCAAAGAAAATATGATTTTGTTTGTATCATTTTCAAAGACTGAAATTTGATTATTTTTGAAGTCTTGATTTGGTTTTTCTACTGGTGATGAGGAATCAGTCAACAGGATCCTTCTTCCATGACAGAAGCATCACACTGGGGACGCTTATGGGATTTAGTTTCACGGCAACCATGCCGATGCCATTTAGAGCTTCTTCGCACCGACACGTGTCACCCTCCGTCTCAATCTCACGAGCTTCCAGCTCCAACGCAGCAAGACGCAACCAGAGGAAGCGTCCTCCTTCGAACTCGGCCGAGCGGCATCGCCGCCGCAAGTGGTGGCGTTTTTGCAGAGACGACGATGAGGACGCCGGAATCCACCGCGGCTCCGGAGACTGTAGGCGGTCATCGCTCGGGGAGTATCTGGAGGTGGAACGGAGATCTGGGGATGAAGCCGTCTATGGCTCCGCCGAGGCAGAGCTAGAGGGTGCGGTGGCGCGTTACCGGAATCAGCAGCCGGTGATGGCGGAGCGGGCGTTGTTCGCCGACGGGAGGGTTCTTCCTCCGGCTTCAGCTGAGGCGGTTACCGGAGATGATACGCCGGTGGCTACGGCACTTTGTAGATTCCCGGTTTCCTTAACCGGTATATGCAGCGGCGGCGGAGGATAGATACGTCGGCCGATGTGCTTATATATAAAAATGTAATTTTTTTGTTATTCAAAATATCTTAGAATCGAAATCACAGTTTGTGGTTGATGCAGTTCAATAACAGCAACAAAATGGTAATTTAGTCAAACTAATTATTTCAGAAAGAATGATTGGTACGGATGAAATCATGAAATGAAGGCATTCGATGGCAATATGCATATAGCTTTCTGGTTAGAGATAAGAACAGGCATGGTTGGTAACTAAAGCACAAAAAAAAAAAAAAAAAAAAAAAAAAAAAAAAGATAAGAACAGGCATGGTTGAATTAAGTGTAACGCCAGGCAGATGCCAAGATTTGTCCTCTCGATTCGTATGATCGTATTTCTGTTTAGAGATAGACATGGCAAGAAAGAAAGAGATCTGATTTGAGATTTTCGTACTACTATCAATAAATTAATTATAGTCATACTGAAGATAGTGACAAATGGTCGGTACAAGATTCAATTTCAAATATAATTATCAACATATTACAAACTTCAAAAACATATTAAGTAAAGTTATTTGAATAGTTGAATTATGAATTTATGATTGGTTAAAAACTATTAAAAACTGGTTGGTATAATTATTTTTTAATATTAACATATTAAATATTTTTTAATCTGTGTGAAAAACTTTAAACATCTTATATTATGGGTCTAGAGAACATATTATTCCCCAACATATTTGAAACAAATTCATTGTACGTAATTCAATGTAACAAGTACCAAATAGATATTTCAAACATGGTTCAATCCTGATTTCAAATTTAGTTTGGTTTCTAACAAATAATTAATGTATAACCAAATTTTATTATATAAAGTTGGATGATCGCGATACGTAGGATTATATGTTTTTATTTTATTTATGAATGTATTAAGATTATGACATGTGTAAAAAGGCTAAATCCACTAAAAAAAGTAAAAAAAAAAAAAAATCATATTCTCATTACGAAAAGAAAAAAATAAAAACCATAAAAAGGAAACAAATCATCAAAACAAAAAACTGTAAGGAAGGAAAAAAAAATTCCATTACGAAAAGGAAAAAAAACAATCTTATATATAATAGGAGAATTTCTCTCCATCAGCAAAAAGAAACATATTTTAAATAATTAATAGATATTAGATGATTTATCAAAATTAAGAAATATTTTTCATATAACTTGAAAATTCAAAATATATAAAGATAAGTGGTGAGATGATAATAAGAAACAAATTAACATATTTTGAAATTTTCCCTTAAAAGAATAAATGAAACAACATAAATTTTATAATAGTCACAAATTAATAAGGATATGAAAATTATAAGTTTGTTTGTAACTGAATATAAAATATTTGAAAAGGTATATAATAGAAAAGACTCATTTCATGAAAAATACAACAAGTTTTAGAATGTAATGTAGTTATACAAAACATATTTTATATGTGAATCCATATTACTCTCAAGATGAAAAATAAAGTATTTTATATGAGAATACATATGCTACAATGTATTATATGTGAACGAAGAAAAGTTGAAAGTATAGAGATATGATATCAAAACTCTAAATTGTTGGAGAGAAAACTATAGACATTATCAAATATGTATGAGAAACAGTAAAGAATACAGTTCAAAAAGTGACTGAAGCATTGATGATTGAGTGTGGTTAAGAAGCGGACATATGGTGGGATGATGTTAATAAGAACTTTCATGAGAAGTTCTAAGTTCACTAAACAACCATTTTTTATACGAGAAAAATAATAACTATTCATAAAAGTATTAACACATCATAGAAATAGTTGTCGAATCTTTGGAAGAATTACAATGAAAACATTTCAAAATAAAAACATAACTGCAGCATCTATACAGAATAACAAAGAAAACCAATATAAACATATTTAATATATATATATATATATATAAATGATGATTAACCAAAAAAAACAACTTCGCGCTTGGGCAGGGTATAGTCTCTAGTAATAAAAGTTTCAGACATTCCAATGACTCTATACATCTCTTTCAAGTACGAGAAAATATCTTAAACTTCCAACTTCAGGCTAAAACGATAATTTGATAACCTTTTTTTTTTTACTATAATCTCAATTTTCTAAACGAAAACATACAAAAACAGAACATATAAAAAAAACAGTATGTATTTTACTATATTTTGAGTTAAAATGTGATTCTACATCATATCTTAAACTTTTATTCTCGAGTTCAATGCTAATTTATAGTCTAATAAACTGAACAAGTGAAATAATTAAATTATTAACTTTTAGAAAAGGAACCAAGATTAAATATGGAGTTAACATTTCAACTAAAAAGTCATATTGAACATTCTTAATGTGATTTGTTGGATTTACTCAAAACATAGCCAACAAAATTAACATAAAACTATCATATTTAAATGAACAAATTTATTACTAATTAAAGTTGACCCTATAAGCCTCTAAAGTTGTCCATCTAAGATTTAAAAACGCGATTTGATTGGTCCATGTATATTCAATATTAAGAAAATTTCCAATTTTAAATATGTAAGAGATAAGAAAATTAAGTATATAAAAATTTAGACAACCAATAGTATCATTCCACGGGGAAATTTCAAAACTACACCTCTTAAGATGCTAATTTTCAAAAATATACCTATATGGTGCAAATTTTCAAAACTACACTTTTTTTCATTTAGTAAAAGAACTTTAAACCCTAAAATATAAATCCAAAACCCTAAAATCTAACATTGAACCCTTAAATCTAAACCCTAAACCCTAAAATCTAAACCCTAATATAGGATTAGTCAACCCAAACATATATATTAAAATTGGGGAAAGGTGTATTTTTGAAAATTTCCATACTATAGGTGTAGTTTTGAAAATTTGCACCTCAAGAGGTGTATTTCATAAAATTTCTCATTCCACATCATCACTACAATTATTTACTTTTTTATATTTTAGAAAATTTTATTAATAAATAACTTTAAAATAATGAAATTATATTTTTAAATTACAACAAAAGTAAAATTGTGTTACAGTAAAATAGTTATATAGAATTTTAAACAACCAATATTATTAGTATACATAAGCTTATCTAACACAAAGAAAATTTTCAAATCTTAAAATTGTAATATCGATAGAGATATGTATGAGATAAAGAAAACATGTATAAGTTTTTATCAACACCATAATATGTATAAGATGAGTAAAGATAAATAAGAAAGCAAATAAAAACAACGAAGAAATCAAACCAGGAGAGCTTAAAGAATAATAAATAAATGAAAAATTAAATCTATTACTAATAAATAAGAATGAAAAACAACAATGTGCGTCGATTAGCTTATCTTCACATAAGTTTTATACCCTTAGAAATTCAATCTAAGAATTAACTTATCTACAATAATATTAGCTTTATTAGCTTAAGTTTGTTGAATGTACAAATTAAATAGGTGGACCTATCACTTTGTTCTACATAAGATTAAAAAGATTTATACTAAACATATTTACAAAAAGATATAGTCATTGAAAATTTCAAGGGAATACATAAAAGAAGAAGAAGTTGGAAGAAACAAAATCTAGCAAAACCTAACAATTTCGATGAAAAGAATTAATTATAAAAGAAATAAATGAAGAAAAACGAAGATAGCAAAGAACAAAAACATAAAAGAAACCAAAGAAGATAAAGTTAAATCAGGAAACCAATATGAAATTGAAAGTTATGATTAACTATATCTTTATGATCACATAAATTAAAATATTTACATTATTGTTAGACATTGCTCATTATATGTAGTTGTATGTTCAACGTTAGAAGATGAGTGGCGGCGATTTTAGGGTTTCGGAGTTCGTTCAGGATGCGATGGTCACGGATACGAGTGAGAGGTCGCGGCCGCCTGGGGATCCACCGGATTCGCAAGGGTCGTGGGCTATGAAGGTTAGGGGCACGAACGCTGGGGGCATGCCGACGCCGGAGAGTTTGATTGATGATGAGTTTGTTGAGGCGAGAATGAATGTGGAGTTTCCGGAAGGAGAAGACGGTGAACCAGTGATTACGATCGGAGAGGAGGTGATGGTAGCGATGCATGGGATGTGGAAACAGTGTATGATTGTTAAGGTGCTAGGACGGAGCATTAGCATTCCTGTTTTGAGTAGGAAACTGAGAGAGCTGTGGAAGCCAAAAGGAGCGATGTATGTGATGGATTTGCCTCGATCCTTTTTCATCATTCGGTTTGAGTTGGAAGATGAGTATTTGGCGGCGCTGACGGGAGGCCCATGGAGAGCGTTTGGGAGTTACTTGATGGTTCAGGCATGGACACCGGATTTTGATCCGCTTAGGAATGATATCACTACAACTCCGGTTTGGGTGAGGTTGTCAAACATTCCGGTGACGTTTTATCACAAGGCCATCCTCATGGGAATAGCTAGAGGGTTGGGGAAGCCGGTGAAAGTGGATCTCACTACCCTTAACTTTGAGAGAGGTCGTTTTGCTAGGGTCTGCGTAGAAGTTAACCTTGCAAAACCATTGAAGGGCACGGTGATGATAAACGGAGATCGATACTTTGTGGCGTATGAGGGACTAGCTAATATCTGCGCCGGTTGTGGGTTGTATGGGCACATGACTCACGGCTGCCCTCAGTTAGCTCGTGAGAGTGCTGAAGTAACGAAACCTGTTGGTGGAATTGAGGTCACACCGGCTAGAGAATCGGATAAAGAGGGATTTCAGACGGTCCAGACTTCTCGAAGGCGAGCGGAGGCGCCGGTGAATCAAATGACGTTCACGGCGGGCAATCCCGGAGATGGGGGACGAAGAAATCTACGCAATATCTCGGAGAATATTCCCCAAGATAATATTCAGATATCGAATAGATTTGGGTGGCTCGCAATTGATTCGGAGACGTCAGAATCTAGCGAACGGATGGAATTGGGTGAGGCAAATAAGGAAAACGTGGATACGCGAAATATCCACGAGGGAGAGAGAAGTGAGGGGCAAGGTAAAGTGGGTTTATTGAGTGGGAAATTTGACAGGAAGTTAAGTGTGAACCTTAATGGGCCTAAGGAAAAGCGGGTAGCGAAGCCAAGAATGATGGCGGCCCACAAATAGAGCAGTAAGGGAGGAGCTACTCAACCCATGCACGGACTGGTTTTTGGCCCAACTAAAGGTGAAGTCCAAAGACCACCGGCTGGGAAGAGACCTCGAACGGAGAATGGGAATGAGGGCGGTCCCGTCATCGAATATGTGGCGCCGGTAGTAGCGAACGACGGGAAGAATGGAATGCAAATTGTCTTCTCGGCGGCGCAGGAGAAATCCCGGGAAGGCGACGATGGGTGTGGAGAATCAGGAGAGAGGGAGAAGGTACCGAATCCGGGGGATGAGGTACCGGATTCGTCAGCGGCCTAACAGGAGGCCCCGGTGATTCAGTTGAGAGCTTACCTTATTAATCTCATGAATTGTCTGTTATGGAATTGCCGGGGGGCGAATAAACCCAACTTCCGCCGTTCGATTCGTTACATATTGAAGAAATGTAGAACTGATGTGTTGGCACTGTTTGAGACACATGCAGGAGGTGATAGAGCGGGCTCGATTTGTCAAGGTTTGGGTTTTGACAATTCATTTAGAGTGGATGCAGATGGGCAGAGTGGAGGGCTGTGGTTATTGTGGAGAACGGAGGTCGGAGTGGTGACGGTGATTAAGTCGGAGACGCAGTTCATCTATGCTACGATTGTGAAGAATAGTGAGACAATTCATCTGATCGTAGTTTATGCGGCGCCGTCGGTGAGCCGCAGAAGTGGAATTTGGAACCAGCTAGATGATGTCCTACAGAATCTGACGGGTCCAGTTATAATCGGAGGTGATTTTAATACTATAGTGCGAGTTGATGAGAGGACGGGAGGAAATGGTCAGCTTTCACCTGACTCATTAGCCTTTGGGGAATGGATCAACAATAGAGCCCTCATTGACATGGGCTTCATGGGACCACAGTTCACATGGAAGCGAGGAAGAGAGGAGAGGTTTTTCATTGCTAAAAGATTGGATAGAGTGTTCTGCAATGCACACACACGGTTACTGTGGCAGGAAGCAACGGTACGGCATCTGCCCTTCTTGTCTTCAGATCACACCCCCTTGTACGTGCAGTTGGAACCAGGACCCACGGGAGATCCAAAGAGGTGGCCCTTTAGATTTGAAGCTGCTTGGTTAAAGCACCCTGGGTTTAAAGATCTATTGGTGAGCCCCTGGGATGGAGAGATTGATACGCCACAGGCGCTGGAGAAACTAAAACTGACGCTCAGGAGGTGGAACAGAGAGGTGTTTGGAGACATTCAGAGACGAAAGGAGAAGCTGCTCACGGATATTAAATCTATCCAGAACTTACTGGACCTGACGCAGACAGATGCGCTTCTAGAAAGGGAAGGCATGTTACTGAATGAGTTTGATGTTTTACTGGCTCAAGAAGAGACGTTGTGGTTTCAAAAATCCAGGGAAAAGTGGATTGTGCTAGGGGATAGGAACACAAAGTATTACCACACGACAACGATTATCAAACGAAGGAGGAATCGGATCGAAATGTTGACAGACGATGGAAATCAATGGGTTACAGAGCCGGGGGAGTTGGAGAAGATTGCGATAGAATACTATCGCCGTCTTTATTCTATGGAGGATGTAGCACCAGAGGTGGAGAGTTTACATAGAGAAGAACTAATGGCCCTGAATAGACCATTCCGGGAGTTGGATGTGGAGCAATCAGTTCGGAGCATGGGGAGGTTCAAAGCGCCAGGGCCGGATGGATTCCAACCGATTTTCTATCAAGAGAATTGGGAAGTGGTGAAGGAGTCGGTAACCCGGTTTGTTTTGGATTTTTTCAGGAGTGGTAACTTACCAGTGGGCATCAATGACGCGATAGTAGTATTAATTCCGAAAGTGTTGAAGCCGGAGAGGATTACACAGTTCCGACCTATAAGCTTGTGTAATGTTTTATTCAAAACCATTACAAAAACGATAGTGATGAAGCTTAAGAAGGTAATGCCGAAGCTTATTGGCCCTGCTCAATCAAGCTTCATTCCGGGGAGACTAAGTATGGATAACATCGTCGTGGTGCAAGAAGCTGTACACTCTATGAGAAGAAAGAAAGGAGTGAAGGGTTGGATGTTACTGAAGCTCGATCTGGAGAAGGCGTATGATCGTATACGGTGGGATTTTCTGAAAGACACACTTCAAGCGGCTCAGCTTCCGAAGAGTTGGGTTGGATGGATCATGACATGCGTCTCGGGTCCGGACATGAGCATATTATGGAATGGGGAACGTACAGAAGCGTTCACTCCTAAGCGTGGGCTGAGGCAGGGGGATCCCCTATCGCCGTATTTTTTGTATTATGTATGGAGCGTTTGTGCCATCTCATAGAGATGGCTGTTACTGAGAAGAAGTGGAAGCCAATCCGGCTGTCGCGAGGTGGTCCAAATTTGTCACATGTGTGCTTTGCTGACAATTTGATTCTATTTGCTGAAGCGTCTGTGGGCCAGATCCGTGTGATTCGAGGCATACTGGAGAAGTTCTGTGTTGCTTCAGGGCAGAAAGTCAGTCTGGAAAAGTCTAAAATCTTCTTCTCAGAGAATGTGAGTAGGGATATGGGGAAGTTGATTAGTGATGAAAGTGGCATCGGGTCAACCCGTGACTTAGGTAAGTACTTGGGAATGCCTGTACTCCAGAAGAGAATTAATAAGGACACATTCGCTGATGTTTTGGAGAAAGTATCATCACGACTCGCTGGGTGGAGAGGTCAGATGCTTAGCTTCGCAGGCCGGATCACACTGACTAGATCAGTATTATCGTCAATCCCAGTTCATATCATGAGTACAATTGTCTTACCACAATCTATCGTGACTCGGTTAGATAAAGTGGCTAGAGCTTTCTTATGGGGAGACACGGAGGAGAAAAGGAGACAACATTTGGTCTCTTGGGAGAAGGTGTGTACACCGAAACCAGAAGGAGGCTTGGGAATAAGACAGACGCAGGCTATGAACAAAGCGCTTGTGGCAAAGTTAGGTTGGCGACTCATACATGAGGAGGAGGCGCTCTGGGCAAGAGTCTTGCGTTGCAAGTATGGGGTGAAGGATGTCCGAGATAACGCTTGGTTTAAAAAGTCAGGGAATTGGTCATCAACTTGGCGGAGTATACTGAAAGGCATGTGTGAAGTGGTCATTCCTGGCTTGAGCTGGGTTGTCGGAGATGGACGAAACGTTAGATTCTGGCAAGATAGATGGCTTTCACAGACGCCACTACTTGAAGAAGCGATGATGGTTATACCTCAATGGCTTGCCGAAGCGAGAGCGAGTGAGATGTGGGTCTCGGGCAGTGGTTGGAACATGCCGCAGTTAGAACCATATATACCAGACCACGTAAGGTTGCAATTGGGAACAGTGGTCCTAGATGAAGTTACGGGTGCGAAGGATAGAACATCGTGGGGTCATAGCTCCGATGGCGTATTCACAGTTAAGTCAGCTTATACCTTCTTGACTCGAGATGATACGCCTCGGGTGAATATGCAGGCGCTATTTAATAAGATTTGGCGTGTTCTAGTGCCAGAACGAACATGAGTGTTTCTCTGGTTGGTGGTGAATCAGAGCATTATGACTGATCTGGAAAGGCAGAGGAGACACTTAAGTGACACAGGGGTTCGCCAAGTGTGCAAAGGAGGTGAGGAATCTATTCTGCATATTCTACGCGATTGTCCGGCGATGGCGGGCATTTGGAATCGCATAGTGCCAGCAAGGAAGCGCCACGAGTTCTTTGCTACACCACTCTTGCGTTGGGTGCACGAGAATCTCGTGAATGATGCAGACATGGGAGGATATGTTTGGTCCACTATCTTCGCGATGGGGGCCTGGTGGGGATGGAAGTGGCGCTGTTGGAATGTATTTGGACACCCGGGAAAATGCAGGGACAGGGTGAAGTATGTGAAGGATATAGCACAGGAAGTTACCACGGCACATCAAAAGAGTAGAGTATAAGCTGGGTCAAGTAACCGAGTGGAAAAACAGATATTATGGAAGCCGCCGGAGAGAGGGTGGCTTAAAATGAATACCGATGGAGCTTCCCGGGGAAATCCGGGATTAGCATCAGCCGGGGGAGTATTGAGAGATGAGAATGGCATGTGGATCTGTGGCTTCGCTCTAAAACTTGGCATCTGCTCAGCTCCGCTTGCTGAATTGTGGGGTATCTACTATGGTTTATGGACGGCATGGGAGAGAAGGGTGCCGAGAGTAGTGGTGGAAGTGGATTCAGAATTGGTGGCTGGTTTTTTCAACACAGGGATTAGCGATGCTCATCCGCTGTCCTTCCTAGTGCGTTTGTGCTATGGCTTCATTTCTAGGGACTGGTTAGTCCGGGTGACACATGTTTACCGAGAAGCGAATCGCGTGGCCGATTGGTTAGCGAATTATGCTTTCTCTTTGCAGTTAGGTTTTTCTTTTCTCCCCTCTGCACCAACTGATCTGTCAGTCTTGTTGCTAGAGGACGTAGACGGCTCTTCAAGAGCTCGATTTGTAAGATGTTAAAGTTCTTTTTAATAAATTAAGTGTCTCCCTTCTCCGACCAAAAAAAAAATTGTAGTTGTACCATCTCTAGCTTATTTGTTTCTATGATTTTTTTTTTTCATTTTCTAAATTTGGTCAAGTGTATAAAATATTGAAAATTTTATTCTACATAAGATTAAATTAAAGAGATTACAATAAATTTATTTATAAAATGGATGAAGTCGTGAAAATTTTCCAGCGGAGAATAATTCAGAAAAAAGAAGCGAAAATTTTATATATATATATATCAAAACTCTAGCAAATTTGACCGTCTAAACTAATTATAGAATAAACAGAAGAACAATAACCGAGCACAAAGACATAAAAAAAGTGAAGACTAAGATATCAAATAATGAAGACCAAAAATATATTAAAGGTGAATAAGCATACGAAATAACATAATAATAAACCGCAAGGATAAAGAAACTAAAGAGGAAGAGTATAGGTGAAGAACAAACCAAAGAATAAAAAAAATCTGAATAAAATGAGAATAGATCGAAGAAAAACAAACAAAAGTGAAGAATAAGAACATCAGTTTACTATAATCACCATGATCATGCTAGGAAAATAAACTTTATGAACTAATGTAACTTCTCCAATGACCGAGCCTTTCTCCTTGCGAAAAAAATATGAGAAAGGTTTATAATATGTTTTTAATCAAAATTATCATAATGAAATTATTTTTATTATTGTGACTGATTATACAAGAATTAAAATAATTCATTAAAATTAAAAATATAACGAAATTTAATAATAAGAAATTGTAAATATAAAAGTTTTTTAAAATATTAAAAGAAAAAATAAAAATGGTAAAACATTTGTATCAATGAACTTTTAAAGAACTAGAAATTAGAAATTCATAAATGTTTTATAAAATAAATATAAAAACAGAACATGCGTATAGCGCGGGTAAGATACCTACTACAAAAAAACAATACATTTTTTTGTTACAACCCCGCGCTTACGCATGGCTTCATTCCCTAGTATATAATAATAATTATAGCCTTCATGATCTAATTGTGTATTTTCTATTTTTGTTCAAACACTCTCATTAAAAAATATAAATTATGTCAATGAAAGTTAAAGATATCAATGAATAATATTTAACTCTAGGACAGTTGGATGGAAATTGAATTTATTGTCGCAATATCTTATGTATCTAATCAGGTGATGATATGTATTAACAAAAAAAAGGGAAAATGTAATAACAGAAATAGAAAACTAACAAAATATTTGTAAAACAACTAGCTCTAATAATGAAAGTAAAAATTTATAATGGTTCGAGGCAAAAACAAAATTGAGGAAAAAGAAAAAAATATTAATAAAAAACTGAAAAAATAATTATCAAGAAACTAACTAATATTAGAAAGAAAAGTTTATAATGGAGTAGTTATAGTTAAAATCTAACAATATTACCAACCTTATTTTATTCATAGTTTTGTTATTGGTTTCTAAAATTATTCTACCAACATCTAGAAGTGATCTGATTTCTTTTAATATTTTTCCATGATTTTTTTAAAAATAAACCCGTGTAAATGTGGGGCCTAATCTAATCTAATATAGACAGCCTAATACTATTTTGGTTTAGTTTGGAATTTAATTTTGAACCAAATTGTTTCATTAATCTAATATAAATGTATTTTATTTTTATTTTTACGAAATCTAATTTCAGTTTTTTTCTCCACTATGGTTTGAAATCAATTAAGGTCTTTTTGATATTTCAAAAATAACTATTTAAAAAAAATATGGTATATTTTTATCAGTTTCTAGAAAAAATAGTTTTGATTCAATTTAGATAGAACCGATTTAGTTGTATCTTAAATGGGTCAACAAAAACTTAATACTATTCAAATAAAAAAAATCTTCAATTAGTATCTTTACATAACATTCACCCTTTTTTTGTCTAACATTATTAGAATACCAAGAAAATTCAGAAATTCAAACTGGAGATACAAAGTTTACATATAAAAATCTGAACGATACCTTATCTCTTTGTTTCACTTATACTTATATAAACCACTAGTGCAATATTCTTCCATTGACACCAACTAAGAGAACGTAGTATATTTTTGACTTTCTTCAATGGCTTTTCGTGAACAGAAAACCAAATCTTCAATTAATCCAACGGATAAGTTGGCAAATCCTAATGTTCTTATTTTTGAATTCAAAAAGAGAACATCAGGATTAGTTACTTACCCGTTGAAATAAATGAAGATTTGGTCTTCCGTCACCGGAAACCCATTGGAGAAATTAAATCAAAAGCAAACTACAATCCTCTGAATGAGCCGCCTTAAAGGCCGGGCACTCGGGTTGAGCACTGACTGATTCCAAGACACCGTCTGAATGAGCCGACTCAAATCCTCTAAATCTATATAAAAAGGATAATAGTTTTCATACGCATGATCTTATTATTTGTGTTACGTCGTGACATAAAATGTTGGCCAAGTGTATATATACCCCATAATGTCTTATTTGTGTTAGATCTTGCAAATGTTTGTGTTTCATAGACAATATTTCAGGAATTTGAACTTTATTTCGCTAGACATTGGATGTAAAGAGTTGTCTTGCTTGCACTTTTGGTAATTAATTATAAGATTACGGGATTGTAAAATTTCATTCTGAAAATTATAAAGTTCCATGCGTGGAATGAATATGTAAACAAAAGAAACCGTCGACAAAAGTAACAAAAAAAAAACAATTGACTAAAACATAAACTATGATTATGTATGATTGTGTGATTTATAAAAAAACTTGTAGAACTATGGGCGAATACATGGTCTTATACAGTATGAAACTCTATAAATTAATACTCGATAAATTAATAAATATGATAAATTAAAAAAAATTCTGGTCCGGAGTTGGGTTGGTGTAAAATAGGACACAATTCGATAAGAGAATAAGATAATAAATTTTTTAAAACTCCTATGATTAAAATATGGTCCCAATAATATTATAAATTAATAATTGTCATATAAAAAATGAGATATATATATATATATCTACTAAAATATGTATATATACCTAAGATATCTAGCTATCTATTACTAATAAAAGGTGACCCTATATGTATTAGAAGGTGTCCACATAGGATTCTAAAATTGAATTTGATTGGTCCATGTCATTATCTTTAATTTTGAATTTGATTGGTCCATATCATTATCTTTATTATTATTTTTTCATTAAATAATGAATTTTTGTAAATTTCCTATTTTACATATAATTTATTAATTAGTTTTTTATAATGATAATTTTCCTCAATTAAAAATTTTATCATAATAATTCAATTCATTAATCATCGTATACTTACATATATTATCTAAATTTACATAAATTATTAGTAATAGTTTTTTTTTTTAACACCGAGTAATAGTTTTTTTTAGTGGAAAATTTACACATAGTTTAAGTAATTATAAATATAAATTTCCTTTTCAGCCAAAAAGCTGCTATGGTGTAGTGGTTATCACATTTGTCTTAAACGCAACAGATATTGAATTCGATCCTTTGCAGCACTAGGTTTTAAAATTTTTAAAACCGTTACAAAAATAATTATATCCACATTGCCATTAAGTCAATTCACGAAAATATCTCACAACAAACAAAAAAAATTAAAGAAAAAAACATCATCATCGATAGGGATGTCAAAATGGATCAAAATTAATAGATCCATCCAATCCACCCAATCCATTAGACTAAATGGATTCAAAATTTGGATACAAATAGATTCATAGGTCAATTGGGTTAATGGATCAATTAGGTTGGATTGAAATGGTTAAAATTATATTGGTTTGATGGAATGAGATGGTTAACCAATTTTAACTTTTCGGTTTACCAAAATCAGAAACCAATTGATTGAGAAAACATGATTTTGAGGTTTTGATGGAAAAACGTGGTTTTAAGATATTGACCAAAAACGTGATTTTGAGATTTTGACGGGAAACATGATTTCACGGTTGTTGCTAGAAAACATGTTTTTGATTTCGACGGAAAAACGTGATTTCACGGTTTTGACGGAAAAACGTGATTTCATGGTTTTGGCGAGAAAACGTGATTATTAAGGTTTTGGCAAAAAACGTGATTATGTGGTTTTGCGATTTTGGCGGAAAACGTGATTTTAAGATTATGACGGAAAAACGTGATTTCGAGATTTTGATGGAAAACATGATTTTGAGATTTTGACGGAAAACATGAGTTCACAGTTTTTTGCGAGAAAACATGTTTTTGAGATTTTGACGGAAAAAGTGATTTCACGGTTTTGTAGGAAAACATGATTTTTAAGGTTTTTGCGAAAAACATGATTATTCGGTTTTGAGATTTTGGCGAGAAAACATGATTTTAAGATTTTGACGGAAAACGTGATTTTGAGATTTTGATGTAAAAACGTGATTATGAGAATTTGACGGGAAAACATGTTTCAAGGTTTTAGCGAGAAAACATGATTTTGAGATTTTGGCGAAAAACGTGATTATGCGGTTTTGACGAAAAACGTTATTTTTAAAGTCTTATTAGCTTCCAACGTATCATCAATGCTAAACACATCGATTATGAATTGCAAGTACACATCACCGTCTTTTATATATTTTGTAGATTACATTGCCTCGGTGAGGGATTAAGGCAGAAAATGTTCCCTCAATCAAATAATCAAATTAGTTTTTACAAGTTTCAATCGCTAAGAAGGATTAAGGCAAATAACGAAGATGAGAAATATAGAAGAGGAATTTCACTAAGAGTAACAATGTTTCTATAGGAATAAGGTACAAACATTGGTCGATCATGTTGTCGCAAATGAAGAAAAACAACAAACCATTTATAGTAGATGAGACTAATTTCAATGTTTGCATTTCTAATTTCAATGTGATAGCAAAACTGAACCGTAACAAACCAAAACAATGGAACCGGGAATTGGAAATGTGGTTATTAATCAAACAGGATACGAAAAAAAAAGTTTGGAATATATAAGTCAAAACAATGATTTAAAAATAAAGAGATGAAATTTATTAAATGGAATTGAATGCATAACAATTAAACTAAAAAAAAAAAAACAAGTTAAGTATAAATCGTAGACACTGAGCTGAAAAAGCTAAACTAATAAATTAAATTAAAAAGGAAATTAACAACTAAAATATGTATTAGACTAATATTGGATTGTACAAAATCTTGCCGGATGATCTTTAATGGATATAAATTTTTAAAAAATATCTAATTAATAGTAAAATCAAGGGATTAATTTAAGAAATGTGAGGATAGGAATGTTTTCTACAGAAAGTATGTTTTTAAAAAGTACATTACTTATTATTGTTTGGGCAAAATTTAACCGGTTCGCAAGTACAATAAACGGAATGACGCAGGAGAAGATATCTTATTAATCAATTGTATATCGAGCTACAACAAGTCAATATCAAAGATTAAACTAAGAGAATCTCGTCTGTCGCTCGTCGTAGATCGTAGTTCGTCGTATCTAGGTTGTTCGTCGCTTGCTCGTCGAGAGGCGAAGAACAAGTAGCTATTAGGGTTTTTGTGTGTTTTGTTGAATGTCCCCTTGTCCTTGTTATGGGACCTCTTATTTATAGGTGCTTGTCGATCCTAATCCTTGTTGAGTTGGGCTTTGACGTCGATCGTAATATTCCATTTCCCTTATCGGTCGTTCTTCTTAATTTCCTTTTAATTAGGAGGTTACGTCGGTCCTTTTATATAATTCCAATAATTACATAAAACTCTGGGTCGTTGGTAGACTGTTAGTCGTTGCTAGACCATTAATGAATGTCGTCGGTCGTACCTCGTTATAGAGGTTTGTCGATGCTTGAGGCCTATTAGGAAACTTGCAGTAGGACTGACCGGTCGATCACATCGTCAGTCGATCATATCTCCAGCTTATAATAGAGTTTAAGGAGCGACCGACTAGCGAATTTATTTTACCCAACAACTTGCCCCCTACTCTTCAATTTCTTGTTTAGAATTTGTAGAGTAATACTTCATTTGCATATCGTCGGTCGGTCGCTTGCTCATGTCACTTGTGTGACTGTTGTTCGTTTACTAACGTCGATGTACAAAAAGCATATATCGTCTAATGGCATTGTCCCTTTTAAAATATTATCTATGCACATACCAATGGAGCAACATAATATATAATTTAAATAAAAGATCCCAAAGACATACCTTTTTTCTTCGTTCGTCGATGGCTTATGCGAGTGACAAACTCTTATTTTAAATCATGTGGAAATAACTAAGCAAAATAAGAGGGACGTACTTATTTTAATATCCATGTGGGATTGATTAAGAATGGAGATGGACAAGCTTCTTTCTCCAATGACCAATGACAAAGTTTTATTCTTGAAGCATGTACGTCCTTCCCTTTTTTCCCATGTGGGTCCCAAAGAAGTTGTACTTGACCACTCATGTAGCTTTATTAAAATTAAGGAACGACATACATTAATTATGTTTGTTTATTTAGAGAGTGACCAGCGACAAACATGTTTAATCGTGCCTCTTCTTTTTTCTCTTAATCGTCGAGCTTCATTCTCTCCAATCTTAAGGAAAACGTATTTTTTTCAAATCGTCAGTCGTTGCTCGTCAATGCTGTTTCGGACCTTGCTCCCTTTCTAATGTAGATGTTATTCATTCCTTTTGTATGTTGCTCATTTGTCTTCTTTTGTCGTTCCCTCTCTCTTTATTTGGAGTTGTTAATTCTTCTCCTTTGATGTCGCTTGTAAAATAGATAATTAAAGAAGAGAATCTCAAGAAGGAGAGACACACATACCTGTCGGTCGCTAACATGATATCCTCTTAAAGGGACCCATATATTTTTAATATATGTGCTTCCTTTCCTTTCCAACATTAATTTATTTATATAGGAATAAAAAGGTTATATGTCGTTCGTCGATCTTTCTTGGTCAGACGCTAGGTTTTATTAAAATTATTAAACGTCACTGGAACCACGTGGGACTAGTAAGGTAATGGAGATGAACAACTACTTTTTTCATCCTCCCTTCAGCCCAATGCAGCTCGTTGATCAACAGTGTCGTTTGGAACTGTTGGTCGCTTGAGAAAATGTTGAGAGTTTTCTGATGATGTACGTGGCAGCGACACTCTTGGTTATCTTGCCCCCACTACTTAACAGTGATATGTCCGTGTAAAGAATCTATCTGAGTCGGTCAGTCGATGATGAACGAGCCTAATGAGTATGTCGTTCGTAGATGCTTCTCTATTAAGATATTATAGTAGAAGCATCGACATAATTGTGATGGAGCTCCTTTTTATTATTAGTTGGTCTTGATCTCGTAAGACCTAGTAGAAAGTAACAAGAACGAACACATTTTATACATTCGTCTTTGGTTGATCGCTTCGATTGACTACATAAGTCCTCATCAATTGATGAGCGTCGATGAATTCAGAACTTGCTTTTCAACGGATAAGCAGCTATTAGGCCGTGAGAGCTATACCCCTTAGTTTATTGTCATATTTTCACGAGGACGTACCTCTTGATTTTGTAGATGTTGTCACAGATTAAGGACGTACCTCTTCATTTGTAGCTAATGATTTATGATCATAACATTTGGAGGTCGTGCCCCTTTGTTAATCAAAGAGTGATGTGACATCATAGTCTATTGGAGGTCGTACCTCTAACTTATTTGTTAGCGACTGTCGTCGCTATCTATTGAGTACGTACCTCTTTATTTATTATATCATGACTTATCATGGTGAGGTCGTACCTCTTAATTTGATTTAGTAGCGACAGTCGTCACTGTATATTGAGGACATGCTCTCTATCTATTTGCTTATGACTTGTTGTCATAGCATGTGGAGGTCGTACCTCTAAATTAGTTATCAGCGACTATCGTCGATGTCGATATACATTGAGTACATGACTCTTATCTTCCTAGTGACCATGGTCAATTTGCTCATGAGGCATTGCCTTTAGTTTTTTTTTTGAAGAAACGTCGATCGTCGTTGCTGCTCTATCATGAGGAGGCAATGCCTTTTTTTACTGTCGTTTGTCATAAGCAGTGCAATGACTGTCGCTCGTCACTAGTTGTGGATACAACGTCGATATTAAAGCGAGTGACGAACATAATCTGAGAATTCTTAAATACTCATATGTAGAAAAACCTTTTATTAAGAAGTTCGTCCGTAGACATGCGCGAAGTAAAGAAAAACAATTGAAAGCAGAGACATCTCGTGGATCGTCTATGACTATGACAATAACGAAATAAATAAAACCAAAACACTGAAAGCCAAACTAACCTAGAAGAGGTAGGTTTCGAGGTTCGTTTCATCAAGATCTTTTTCGTCAGTGGATCTCACAGAGTTGTTCCACCTCTGCTTCTTTGGTATGTGGAATCGACGATTGGATCTCTAGTTGATATAGCTCATGACCTTTCCCTTTTAGGGTAGTTTGGTAGCATGAACGTGCATGCTCTTGTTCTCCCTTGATCTCTTTGACTCCCCATGGAGTAGGAAATTTTATGGTTTGATGGAGTGTCGATGGCACTGCCCCCATGTCATGAATCCAGGGACGTCCCATAATTGCGTTGTACGCAGTAGCACAATCTAGTATCAGAAACTTTGTCTGTCGGTTAATTCCTCCTGCATACACAGGCAGCGTCACTTCTCCTATGGTCTGCTTTACTTCACCGCTAAATCCTACCAGTGGTGTGGATTTTCGCGTCAGTGCATTCTCATCCAGCCCTAATCCTTTGTAAGCATCCATGAAGAGAATGTTGGTCGAACTCCCATTATCAACGAGTGTCCTTTTCATCAGACTATTAGCGATTGTCAAAGATATGACTAATGCATCATGATGTGGAGCTAGGACACACTTATCTTCATCTGAAGCAAAGCTAATCGTGCACTTCGACAGTCGCTCGCATATAGCTTTGACATCTCCATGATGAGTTCTAGCTATTCTAGTACTCTTTTTAGCAGCAGAATGAGTAATTCCACTAACCTGATCCTCCCGATATCACGTTGATGATTCGATCATGCTTCGGAGATTGAGCAGGAGATGGTTTTCTTTGCACCTCGTCATTGCTTCTGTCGTCGATGCGACTCCTAGCCCTGTCGGACAAGTATTCTCTCAAGTGACCTTTTTTTAGTAGCTCGTTTACTTCCATTCTCAACGTGATGCAATCTTCTGTTCTATGACCATGGTCAGAGTGAAAGTCGCACCACTTTGATGTGTCTCTTCGTTCCCCTGGTGCTTCATCTTTTGAGGCCATCTTACTCCAGATATATGATTAAGAACATTGACTAGTTCTGCAGGAGATATTGCGAGGTTACTCATGTCTGGCCATGTGGATGATGAGCGTTGGTCGCTCTCAATTTGGTTGAGTGGTCGATGGTCGCTTCTTTCGCTTCTCTTGCTAGTGCTTTCACTGCGTGGTCTCTGGTACGGTCTGTCATCTCGAGAGGGACGCTCGTTCCTAACAACGCGCGAATCAGATCGTGGGGAAAGTAGGTGTCGATATGCAGGGTCTTCCTCCCACCTTATTTGAGCCCATGCTCTAGATAGCACATCTTCCATCGTTCTGCACTGGTACTTCGTCAGTTCCTTGTACAAATCACTGTCTGGGAGCAATCCTCTTTTGAATGCAGAGATGGCAGTGGACGTGACACATGCCGGAATGGATACTTTCTCTTTGTTGAAGCGACCTACGTAATCGCGCAACGGTTCTCCTCTCTTCTGTATCACTTCATAGAGATCGTCGGCTGTCCTTTCTATGTTCCTGCTGCTCGCGAATTGCTCAACAAAGCGGTCTGTCAATGACGCGAACGAGTCGATTGACGCGTTCGGTAGGTTCGTAAACCACTGAAGAGCTGGTCCCGTGAGGCTAGATCCAAATCCTTTACACATACTAGCTTCGCGATATTCTTTTGCTATTGCCGTTGTGAACATGCGTTGCTTGTACTGGGCTATATGATTATCAGGGTCGGTCGTCCCGTCGTACATCTTCATTGAAGGGACGATGAACTTCTTTGGCATCTCAACCAAAGCGATGGCATCCGTGAAGGGAGTGTCTGCATAGCAATTAGGAGCACTTTTGGTGATTGGAGGAGCTACTCCTGGAAGTCGCGCGAGCAAGAGCTCCATAGCCTCCAATCGCTTGCTTGCGAGCGTCGGTAGCTCCTGTTCCTAGGGCTGCTCCTGTTGCACCCGTAAGTGGTGGAGTGTCGAACGATTGCATAGGAGGAACCGGTGCTCGATATCTATTGCGAGCCTGAACCAATGACGCGTTTTCTGCTCGTAGGGTTGCGTTCTCCGCCTGGATTTGCGCAAGTCGTTCTTCGTTCTGCTTCATCTGAGCTGTGAGAGCCTCCAGCTGAGCAACGGTGACGGTCGGTGTTTCGGTCGGTGTGGTATCATCTCCCGCCGCCATGTCTCACGCAGTTAAAATTGCCCCTCCTTCTAGCGCCAAACTGTTTGGGCAAAATTTAACCGGTTCGCAAGTACAATAAACGGAATGACGCAGGAGAAGATATCTTATTAATCAATTGAATATCGAGCTACAACAAGTCAATATCAAAGATTAAACTAAGAGAATCTCGTCTGTCGCTCGTCGTAGATCGTAGTTCGTCGTATCTAGGTTGTTCGTCGCTTGCTCGTCGAGAGGCGAAGAACAAGTAGCTATTAGGGTTTTTGTGTGTTTTTCTGAATGTCCCCTTGTCCTTGTTATGGGACCTCTTATTTATAGGTGCTTGTCGATCCTAATCCTTGTTGAGTTGGGCTTTGACGTCGATCGTAATATTCCATTTCCTACGTCGGTCGTCATTCTAATTTCCTTTTAATTAGGAGGTTACGTCGGTCCTTTTATACAATTCCAATAATTACATAAAACTCTGGGTCGTTGGTAGACTGTTAGTCGTTGCTAAACCATTAATGAATGTCGTCGGTCGTACCTCGTTATAGAGTCGATGCTTGAGGCCTTTTAGGAAACTTGCAGTAGGATGACCGGTCGATCACATCGTCAGTCGATCATATCTCCAGCTTATAATAGAGTTTAAGGAGCGACCGACTAGCGAATTTATTTTACCCAACAATTATGACTAATTATAAAATAATTAAATTGGTTAACTAAAAAAAAAAGTATATTACAAAGAAAATTTTATTTAAAAGAATAACAAAAAGCAAAAAAATAATAATTTAGAAGCGTTGGTAACAAAAAAATAAAAATAAATATAACAGTATAAAAATTCATTAAAACAAAACCCGCGCGTGCGCGGGTAAAATACCTAGTTAAAATATAAATCTCACACACTAAACATGTATGGGAAATAAAAGAAATAAATGAATTGAAAAAAATATAGCAGGTATAAGAAAATGTAAACAATCAAAAAATTGTAGAAACAAAAATTAAAGTTAAGAAAATATACATGTATAAAGAAAAGTTCTTATTTAATTGGAAAGAAAATTTAAAAAATTATTAATATTGAATTTTCAGAATAATCAAAATATATATTAATAACTCTATAAATTAATAAAATATCAGAATCCCGACATTATTAATTTATAGAGTTTCTACTGTATTTGCCTACTTGAAATGTTATATTTTCATTTCATTTCATAAGAGCTTTTATTTGAAATGTTGACATTTTTTTTCCTATCATCCTGGGTTTTGCTTCAATCTATATCGTCACTGCATCTAATCTTACAAAAATAGTCAGTATTCGATCCCAGATACCAAATATAGGCCAAGAACCAAATTTATCCCATGATTTTGGCCTAGACTCAAGACTGTGCCACATTTTAACATGCCACCCGAAACTATTTTTCCAAAAAAGTAATAATTAACCACATGGAAACCACCACTAACGAAGAGGCAAAATTACCGAACAATTGGGACAGATATGAAAATGAAAATTTGTGAAAATGTTTGCTATGTGTGAGTGTGACTATATTTAATAAAGTTTCGATTATTATGATTTTTTAGATATTTTTTTGGTAAAACGCGAATAAACCTCAAGCAACGCAACACACAAAACAAAACTCTTTTTTTGCGTCCCTTCTCCTTAGGGTCTCTCTCTCCTCCTCTCTCTCTTATCTTAAGCAAAGCAGCAAGCAGAAAACTTCACCGATGGGTTCTCACGCTGCGAATCTCTGGGTGCTTCTAGGTTTAGGTATCGCTGGGATTCTTCTCGCTACCAAGAAGCTGAAGAAAACCTTCCGTGAAGATTTCGGCGCTTTTATCGATAAGCTCTTGCTGCTCCCTCCGCCTCAACCTGCTCCTCCCAAAGCTCCTCATCCTCTCACCGGTCTCTCCTTCACCGTATCCGACGTGTAAGTCACCGCAGACTTGTTTCCCCCTTCTTCTCCGATTCCACTATGTCTATAATTTTGGAGATTTAGGTGAAGAATTTTTGCTGGTGGTAGTCAAAATTCGTTTGCCTAATATTGAAATCTGCGTTGACTCCGTCCTTATTCTTCTCCGGCGCATTAGTTATCTGTTCGTGAACTTACGAGAGTATGCTTGATCAATTTTGAGCAATTATACTAAACATTTCGGTGTAGTATAGATTCAAATGTGTGTGTTTCGAATGAATAACTGTATGAGCATATACGAACCTTTAAACTCTTCATATCATTGGAATACCCTAGAATTGGTCATAGGATGAGATCTTAGGTCGTTGAGAAAAAAGTTGTGTTTTTGGATGTTTGGCCTCTACTGATCCATAGAGTCTACTTAAAGCACTATGGATGTGTTCATTGACTAGTAAATATATATCTTATATACGTTCATATCTCATTTTCTCGTATGGATTTCTGACTTTTAAGCTTTCAGAAAGCTAAAGCTACTCTTTCTTTCACTCTTATCTGTTTTACAGATTCGATATTACAGGCTACGTGACTGGCTTTGGTCATCCAGACTGGGTGAGGACGCATGAAGCTGCTTCTTCAACAAGCCCTGTGGTTTCATCTCTCGTTGAAGGTGGAGCCACTTGTGTTGGAAAAACTGTAGTTGATGAACTTGCCTTTAGGTGTGTCTCTCTTTCGATTACATATCTAAACCTGTTAGTGACTGTTACCTATATCGGAATTCGGATAATGACCTGTAGTTTAGCGACTCCAGTGTTGAAATTTTAAGGTCATCAGGGTTCAAGTAATTTGATACCTTCGTTTTGTGATTTTTTTTTTTTCAGTATCAGTGGAGAAAACAAGCATTATGATTCACCCACGAATCCTGCAGCTCCTGCTCGTATTCCTGGTGGCGCTTGCAGTGGGGCTGCTGTTTCTGTAGCAACTAACGCTGTTGATTTTGCTTTAGGTGAGTTTAGTAGATTATTTTTTCCTTGTTAGGAAAATTTGGTACGAGCTAACCTGCGTTTTTCGTAAGAAAACATTGCATATACTTTCAAAGCATGGTTAATAGTTAACTTCCTTTAGGAACACGCTGAAATGTTTTTAACACGTTTTGTATAACATGCCATTTCCATCAAAGCTGCTACCATAATCCAGTTCTAGACAACATGTTGCTGTCACCATAACTAAGGTTACTTTTGCATTCATATTGCTTTCATCATAAACGTGATATTGATGGCTTAGAAGGGGCTGAAAGAATCACTGAACCAAAATACACGCTTCCATAACTTTCGAATATAATCGCCTGAACTAGATTCTTACTTATGGCTTTACATAGTAGTATGTCATTATTCATCAGTCCCTCATCCATCTCTAAAGTCTCAACTGTTTACTGTTTCTGGTTCAGTTGATTTAAGAAAATGTTTTTGAATGAGTTGCATCATTGCAGGCATCGACACTGTTGGCGGGGTTAGAGTGCCTGCTGGATACTGTGGCGTTCTTGGATTCAGATTTTCTCATGGGGCTGTTTCAAACTCCGGAGTCGTTCCAGTATCTTCAAGCCTTGACTCTGTTGGTATGGATACAAGAATGTGTGAATTAAACCGTTTGTATTAGAACTATTAGACTAAGTTTGATTGTTATATATTGCAAGTTGACTTCGTTCATAGGACTATTTAAACTTAGCACTGTGAGCATTGTGTCTATTCTGATCAATAGATATTGCCTTCAGGATGGTTTGCTCGTGATCCAAACACCCTGCGCCGTGTTGGCCATGTACTCTTGCAGCTTCCCTATGCCACACAACGGAATCCAAGGCAAATCATACTAGCCGATGACTATTTTCAACTGTTAAAGATCCCTGTGGACCGGATTACACAGGTGGTGATCAAATCAGCAGAAAAGCTTTTCGGAAGTATGCCCTTTGCTCTTCCTAAAGATCATTGGTCTCTCTTACATATCCTGATTATAATAGCATTATTGTTTGTTTTATGTTCAGGACAATTGCTGAAGCATCAAAACCTGGAGAACTATTTTGAAGCTAAAGTTCCGAGCTTGAAAGAGTTCGCTAGGACAAAAGCCATCACTAACACAAATGTCCCAGCATCGAGACTACTGGGGAATGTGATGCAGCTTCTTCAAAGGTGTGTTTGTTGTTTATTCACCATCAGAGGATGAGAGGGTCTCGATATTGAACTCTAGAAAAACGATCTTTGCTTGTATTGTAGGCACGAGTTCCTCAAAAACCATGGGGAATGGATCAACACAGTGAAGCCAGCTATTGACCCTGTAATTTCTTCACAATTGCGTGATAACCCTGAACTAAGCAACGAAGAGATTGAGAATCTGAACGCAATCAGAAACGAGATGCGCATGGCTATTGGTTCACTTCTCAAGGTACCCCTACTCTTCCATGTGTCATCCACAGCTTGAGCAACTCTGTCTTGTATGTGTCTTGAGTCTCTTGACTAATCTTATGTATTCCCATGCGTCAAGGATGATGGCATTCTGGTAATTCCAACAATGCCAGGTGTTCCTCCAAAACTTGGTAGCAAGGAGATAATGTCTGAAGACTATCATAACAGAGCTTCAAGTCTGCTCAGCATTGCTAGCATATCCGGCTGTTGTCAGGTTAAATCTCACTCTCTCTCTCTTATTGTTCCATGCCAGTAAAGATGATGCTAAATGGTAACAAAGTGACGACTCACAAGGCAGCAGTAGCAATCACAATCCAGTGTATGTGTTGTTAAGTTTTAACAATTTGTTGGTCTGATAATGCAGGTGACTGTGCCGCTGGGACACTACGAGAAGTGCCCTGTTTCAGTTTCTTTCATAGGGAAACATGGTGGTGACCGATTTCTACTAGATACAGTGCAGACTATGTACGCATCTTTGCAAGAGCACTCTAGCATTATTGCCGATCCCAAATCTTCCAAAAGGACTATCACCCAAGAAGAGTTGGCTGAAATTGCCAAAGAGAAGGTTAGATTTATTATCCATTGCAAATCCTTTTTCTCCCAATTGCTATATCCTCCTTGATCTACTGTGTTTCTCATGTGTGTTTCTAATCTCACGTTTGTAAAACAGGGTAACCAAGCATTCAAAGAGAAACAATGGCCGAAAGCTATTGGTCTGTACTCAGAAGCGGTGAAGCTAAGTGAAAACAATGCTACTTATTACAGTAACAGAGCTGCTGCATATCTTGAAATCAATAGGTAAATGTTTCTCAGATCCTTTTTTAGTGAGAGGTCTTTCCGTGTGACATGGCCTTGACAAATCCTATGCATACAGCTTTCTTCAAGCCGAAGAAGACTGTACCAAAGCCATCACTCTCGACAAGAAGGTAACTTTCTTTCTTTGAACACACAAGCAAGTTTCTCTTATTCTTGAATCTGAACAACATAAAAAACGTTGTTTTTTGCAGAATGTCAAAGCTTATTTACGAAGAGGAACCGCAAGAGAAATGTTAGGCTATTACAAGGAAGCCATAGATGGTAAGCTTTAAAGAACCATAATCTGATTTGTTTTCTTCTTATCCGAATTGGGCAAATAACCAAAGATTTTTTTTTCTTTCTACTTATTCTTCTTTAAACTTGACAGATTTCAAATACGCACTTGTGCTGGAACCAAACAACAAACGAGCGGCTCTATCAGCCGAGAGACTGAGAAAGACATTCCAGTGAAGCTACGTTCGCTTGTCCGTGCCTCACAGCTCCATCATATGTGAGAAAACGTTTGTTCCCCTAGAATTTATCAAAAGTATAGGCCAATTTTGTTACACTTGTTTTTTTTTCATTCACAACAGTCCTCGGATATTTAGGCATTTTATTTAAAAACCTTTCGCCGAAAATGGAATCAGACACGATGTTATTTTACGTTGTAGCCGAAGTTTAGCGTTCGCTAAAATTGGTTTGAAAAACTAATGCTAATCCTAAACACCGGATACCGAAATTCTCGGTCCCCTTTTAGTCAACGTCAAATAAGGTCATGTCTTTAATTATCTTTCGTCTCTAATCCATTTCTTTTCTCGCACGTTATCTATTCCCCCGCAAACGCTTCGCTCCAAATTAAAAATGAAAAAAACAGAGGAAAGAAAAGCAAGAAGAGACCAAAGATGAAGATTTAAGCGGAACAACCGACGAAGAAAATACAAAAAAAAGAAACAACTGACTTTTTTCTTCACGGTGAGTTAATTCGATTAATGTGGTTTGCTTTCTTCCCTGTGAGTTTTTTTTATTGTTGGTTTGGAAATTGGAATATTTGGTGCTTTTCTCATTTCGAGATAAAACCTCTTTCCGGTGAGTCAAGTAAAATTGTTTACAATTTTTTGGTTTGGCTGTTTTCCCCATGAAACAATCGTCACTTTCTTGGAAATGAGTTTTTCAAACGATTTTCCTGACATAGTTTGAGAACTGAACGTGTGCATGTGATATTATATAGCAGGGGAGATAGTCGTAAAATAAAAAACAAAAACAAAAAGATCGTAGAGGGTGTGAGTAAGGTCGAAGATATAATCGGCAAGATTAATTAAAGGGGACGATGACGGGTGGTCCGGCGAGGACAAGCTCACTAATGGACGATCTCTTGGGACTCCTTAGAATCCGCATCAAACGCGGCGTTAATCTCGCCGTCCGTGACATCAATAGTAGCGATCCGTACGTCGTCATCAAAATGGGTAAACAGGTAAGTAAACCAATCATCAAAACTTATAATTTTTCACAATATTCATTTCTCACGTAAGAATGTAAATATACATGCTTAAATTATCAAAATAATTCTTTTGTAGAAATTGAAGACTCGAGTAATTAACAAAGACGTAAATCCAGAATGGAACGAAGATCTGACTCTCTCCGTCACAGACTCCAATCTTACCGTCCTCTTGGTATATATATTTTTCCATATTAAATTTTAGCATAAGATATTGTTTGTTTATGTTGATAAAAAAATAAAAACCATATGTTGATATGTTTGGTATGTAGACGGTGTACGACCACGACATGTTTAGCAAGGACGACAAGATGGGTGATGCAGAGTTCGAGATAAAGCCGTATATCCAGGCTCTAAGGATGCACCTTGACGGTCTTCCTAGTGGAACCATAGTGAGCACGGTTCAGCCATGCCGCCGCAACTGTCTAGCCGAGGAGTCTCGAATCACATGGGTCGACGGTAAGCTCGTACAAGATCTCGTTCTCAGACTGCGACATGTCGAATGCGGAGAAGTGGAGGCTCAGCTTCAGTGGATTGATCTCCCTGGCTCCAAGGGTCTATGAATTTCTTTCAATTTTTATTTACCGTTACTTTGAGGTTTTTCTTTTTCTTTCAGAAATGAATGAAACCTCAAAGTCAAAACAAGAACGGAACGGAACAAACAATTTATGTAATTCAATCCTGAAGGATGTAGCGAATTAGAAATGCGTAATAATCCATGAGAATTTAAGGATTAAGAACGTTGAGGGAAGTTTTGTTCCCATGTGGTGATCGAGTCCACGTCGAGGCGTGGTGGGTGGACACTATACATTTTGTGTCGATGTATATTTGGTTTGCTATATACGTGTCTTAAGAAGAGCTCCAAATAACATGAAAAACTATATATAAAAATATTTACATGTTCTCCATTGTATGACTAAAAAGATACGTACATTGCTTGTATATATTCAGCTATTTTCAAGAGCTCAATATCAATAATAATAGTAAACCTTCACATTTGCACCCAAAAAAAAAATATAATAGTAGACTGAAAAATCCAATTCATGGTGGTCATTTAGTTAAAAGATTATGAGACTAGGATTATGGTTTTTTTCATTGGCATTTCAATAGTAGTTGGTTATTGTGGATTATCTTTATAACAAAAACACTCAGCATTTGACATCTTCGCAAATTAGTTTGGATTGTAGTTCAAAATCCTTCGATTACAGTTTATATAAATATCAGCGCGGTATCATTCACATTGACACGAAATCTGGAGGAAAAAGCCAAAAGGGGATAGTAGGTGAAGAGAATCCATGTTTACTGTAATGAGTGATGCACTATGGTTATAAAATGACAAAGCACGTGAACATAAATTGTCGTTTAATATAACGTGTCACACGACTCACGAGTACATAACAATAGTGTGTAAAGAGAGCGTGACAAGAGTGAAGCGCCTACTTTTAATTAGAAAAGAAATTAAAAGATTCGTCTGTATAATAATTTAGTTTGGTAGATCCCAAGGGACCCAATTTTGTTTCCCAATGAACGATCTAGAGATTCCACTCCACCAACTTTCCAAATTACTCGATTACTTTTACGTTTTACTCGATTATTATTTTAATTACTTAATTTTACCATTGTTTTCAAATTTCGTAGAAGTTTACGTTTTGACACAAAATGCTAAGCAATCAAAGAGAGTAGAATGGTTAGTAACTGAGGGAGTTCTAAAGATTGACGTAATGATTTGATATTGCATTGAATTTTAGTATATTTGAGAAAAATTCAAATTTAAAATAATTTTCGTCCAAATAAGAAATCCTCAACTTTCAAATAATTTTATAATGGGAAAACTGCCAAAAATTTAAATAAAATTTATAATATCGTAAAATGTTATATAGTTTTCAATTCAATTACTATTCACAAACTAGCATACACCCTAAAATTTGAATAGAATACCAGAGTAAGAAATATATATAGCGTTAAATAAATACATATGTATATAGTATTTATAAATGCAAATATACCAATATCAAATATCAAAGTACATAGTAAAAAATAGGGTTTTGTGCAAATTAACCTTCCAACTAAATTAAATTTGCAAATCAAACCCTGAATTTTATTCTGTGCAAATCAAACCAGTCAAGTCAAAAGTCACCCGCTAAATTGACCATCCCTATATTGTCGACGTCATCCTAACGTTGACTGTCCAAAAAACTAACGGATATTGAAACGCACCGTTTTGAGATTCGAAAACAGGACAATTTTTGCAATGCTTTACAAAAACTACATGCTGTTTTACTAATTAAAGAAAACAAAAAAGAAATTGAAAAAAAAAAATCACGTTCTTCTTCCTCTCCCTCTTCTTCTCTTATCTCTCATCTCTCCTATGATTCTCTCCTACTCTAATTTTCTTCTTCTGTTTTCTTTACTATGAAATCATGGGAAAACAAAGATCAGATCCTGCATAATCCAAGAAGAGATTTGATATCGAGAGAAGAAGAATCAGTCACCTAAATTTGCTCTGCAAAACCAGATTAGCACAAACAGGGAACAATCGATCCTAATTAGTGTTGAAAGTGCAGGTTTTATAATGGGTCAAGAGGGATTTCTAAATTCATTAACAAAATAGTAAGTAAATGGAGTTTCGAGAAAGAGATTGACGGTTTGGTGACGCATAAGAGTTTTGAATTCCAATCTTTTGAGGAAGAGATTATAATTGTCATTGAAGAAGAAGAACAAGACAATGTTTGCAGATTTTGCTCGAAACCGATTTTCAACTTAAACCCTAAATTTTGCTCCAATCGATTTTTTGCAGAAACAACACAAATTTTCAAAGGCCAAAACGACATGTTTTATGTCAACGTTTGAACTTGACGACAATCACACAGAGGGGTTAATTAGCGGGTAACTTTTGACTTGGCTAATTTGATTTGCATAGAAAAAAATTTAGAGTTTGATTTGCAAATTTAATTTAGTTGGAGGATTAATTTGCACAAAACCCTAAAAAATATGAACCATCACTTAAAGATTGGCACAACAATTTCTAAATTTACACACTAATACATTACCGATTTTGACCAAACAAAAAGAAGATATTTCTTTTATTACCGAGACTGGTTTTATTTACAGTCAGTTAAAAAGCCCGAACTCGAAGGTGACGCCACCGTTCCCCTATAAAGTTGGCGCGCAATGGCCTATCTCTGAGCCACGAAAACCACTCTTTCCCCTCTGAATCAGATCCATTTCCAAAAACCCTCTCCGAATTACATTTCCCGACTCGACGTTGTGAATTGATGCAGCAGAGAGGCCGTTCCGTCAACCGTAGATCAAGGAGCTTCTCTAGATCCAGACTCGCCGTCGAAGGCCATTGAACACACTCTCTCTCTCTCTCTCAACAGATCGTCTTCTCAGTTTTTTTTTTTTCCCGGCGAACATCATTTCGAAAATGGCTTCAGTGCACGGTGAGATCTCCGATTACATGCGTCGAATCTTACTCTTTTTCATTGGGCTACTCGGGGATATAATTTTGTATTTTAGATTTAAGCACGCTGTTGGGATCGATTATCGATGATGAAATAATCGGATGTTTAATTGATTGTTTTTTATTGATGAAATGTGGAGTAGAGGAAGAGCGTGATGTCCAGAAGAATTACTGGATAGAGCATTCGGCTGATTTGACTGTTGAAGCTATGATGCTCGACTCTCGAGCTTCTGATCTCGACAAGGAAGAACGTCCTGAGGTACTCATTTTTCCTTGGATCTCTTCTCTCTTCTTAAAAAACGATTTAACCATTGGATGTCATTAGCTCTGGTTTTGGTGAGACACTACTCTTTTGATTTGAATGCTTGTTATCTTCTAAGAATCAGTATGGCCTTAGATATCTATAGGATCTTTATGTGTTGGCTTGATGTTGCAGATACTCTCTTTACTCCCTCCATTTGAAGGCAAATCGGTGCTGGAACTTGGAGCCGGTATTGGTCGATTCACTGGTGAATTGGCTCAAAAAGCTGGTGAACTCATTGCTCTTGACTTCATTGACAGCGTCATTAAGAAGGTTTACTACTTTAATCACCTTCTTAGTTACGAATGTATCTAGCTTCATTGCGCATAGCCTGTAATCTTTGTCTCTTGAATGATGTTTATTTTGTTTCTTTTCTGCAGAATGAAAGTGTGAATGGGCATTACAAGAATGTGAAGTTTATGTGTGCTGATGTTACATCCCCTGACCTGAAGATCACTGATGGATCCATCGACTTGATATTCTCCAACTGGCTGCTCATGTATCTTTCTGACAAAGAGGTATAGTATAAGATGATCCCTTTGATCAAATACACTAAAAAAGGCAGTAGTAATGAGAAGCCGATTAAGTTTCAATGTGTTTATTTGGATGCAGGTGGAGCTTTTGGTAGAAAGGATGGTTGGTTGGATCAAAGTTGGAGGATACATATTCTTCAGAGAATCATGCTTCCACCAATCTGGGGACAGCAAGAGGAAATCCAACCCGACTCACTACCGTGAACCCCGTTTCTATTCCAAGGTTCTTACTCCATTTAATCACATTTTCAATCGTTTAGCGGATCAACAATAGTTAGAATGCCTCTGCCTGAAGGATTGGTTGAGATTTACGAAAGACTCAGAGGGTTTGAAATGGATGATGAGGATACATTACTACTTGAATGCCCTCTTATATGACTGAGATCTCAATGTTATCTTATGCCTTGGTCTTTGTTAGTCTTGGTTTATCGAACCTTGAAGTAGTGCTTTGAAATGTAGTGGAATATGTTGATTAAAATAAACGGTGCAAAAAATGCAGGTCTTTCAAGAATGTCAAACACGTGATGCTGCCGGGAATTCATTTGAGCTCTCTATGATCGGATGCAAGTGCATTGGAGCTTATGTGAAAAGCAAGAAAAATCAGAATCAGGCAAGCCAAAACTCTGTCTACCAATAATGTATATTTTCCTGGTATCTCAAGATCGTAATCATGGTCATGGATAACACTCTTTTTGTTATATGTTGGATGCAGATTTGTTGGATCTGGCAGAAAGTCAGCTCGGAAAATGACAGAGGCTTCCAACGTTTCTTGGACAATGTTCAGTACAAATCCAGTGGGATCCTTCGCTATGAGCGCGTCTTCGGACAAGGGTTTGTGAGCACTGGCGGAATCGGTAAAAACCCAATTCGCATTTGCTTGTGTACACGATGCTCTGATTCTTCAGTACTTATGATTGTTTGTTTCATGTTTCTTGACACAGAAACTACCAAAGAGTTTGTGGAGAAAATGAACCTGAAACCAGGACAGAGAGTGTTGGATGTTGGATGTGGCATTGGTGGAGGTGACTTCTACATGGCTGAGAAATTCGATGTTCATGTTGTTGGCATCGATCTTTCTGTCAACATGATCTCTTTCGCATTGGAACGTGCCATTGGACTCAACTGCTCGGTAGAGTTTGAGGTTGCGGATTGCACCACAAAAGAGTACCCTGACCATTCCTTTGATGTCATTTACAGCCGTGACACTATTCTGCACATCCAAGTACGACCCAACCCTTTATCTCAGTCTTCTCTCTTGGAAGTTTATCATTGTGATTGCTTACTTATTTACTATCTATCTCTCTCTTTCAGGACAAACCAGCTTTGTTCAGGACCTTCTTCAAGTGGCTTAAACCGGGAGGTAAAGTTCTAATCAGCGACTACTGTAGAAGCCCGAAAACTCCGTCTGCTGAGTTTTCTGAGTACATCAAACAGAGAGGATATGATCTCCATGACGTTCAAGCATATGGCCAGGTTTGTTCTCTTAAGTCAATGAAATATTGTTTCTCTCAAAAGTCATCAAAACCCTTTCTATGAACACAAATCGTTAATGCAGATGCTCAAAGACGCGGGCTTTAGCGACGTGATCGCAGAGGACCGTACTGATCAGGTAAATGAATCTAATACATACACATTTTGGAAACCAAAGGATTATGGTTTTTGGACAGAGTTTGTTTTGTATCTACAGTTTGTGCAAGTCCTGAGACGTGAACTAGAGATGGTGGAGAAAGAAAAGGAAAAGTTCATCTCCGACTTCTCCAAAGTCAGTATCTTTCATTTTCGACAAATTCAAGTATTTTTCTTTGTTACATTTGAAATCTGTCTCTTTTGGAATAGCTCACAAATATCGAATTCATAAACGCAGGAGGATTACAATGACATTGTTGGAGGATGGAAGGCGAAGCTGGACAGGACTGCTTCTGGTGAACAGAAATGGGGACTTTTCATCGCCAACAAGAACTAATCAAATTCTCTTCCATCTTTTATGTTTTAAAATGAGTTACTTCTTCACCAATAAAATATCGCATCTGTTTGGCGATGATGTTATGTGGATTGAGTGTTTTTCTAGTTTTCTACCTTCAGTCTTTTCTGTTGTTGAGATATGCAAACCGAGTCTCGTTTGGTTTGAAACTTTGTGTTTTCTATCAGAATGTGTTTTAATTTGAAGAACTATTGAAATGTCGTATTTGATTTTACTTTCAGTCTAGATAACCGTAGCATTGTGTTTGGTTCAACCGTATCTTTCAAATCGAAATGTGTCTATGGTTCGGTTCAACCTAATCGGAATTGGGCATTACTTGATATGGATTGTGTTTGATCGAATTATAAAACCTTTCAATGTCTTAGGCTTCTAGGCCCAAAACTATTGAAGTCAACTGAAACTTCTGAAAAGTAAATTCAAAACACAAGGCTCCAACTCCAAGCAAGCTATTTGTTTTTTTTATGCAGACAACTTTATCAAAATAATTTGTTAATTTTTGTCAGAAAGATAAAATAAAATATTTTACAAAATGTTCGTAGACAAGCTTTTGGTCAAATATAAAAATAAATAAATGTTCGTAGACGAAGCCTGGGAGTAGCCAAAAAAGCAAACAAATCAAAATAAAATAAAAACATTCCATAGGGTAATAGCTATAAGCTAGGACTGAGCAATATAGAGTGTGGTGATAAAAAGGGGCATTGAAATTACACACAAACAAGACTAGATTCGTCAGACTTTTATTTAGGTTTTGACCCAACCCTAGCCTCTCTATCTACTACACACCTACCATTCTATTTCTGCAATCAACAGTGTCAATTTCAATCTCTCTCAGTCAATTTTTTTGCAGTATCTATCAATTTTCCTATAAATTATATCCCAATGATCATCAATTCACACAAAACCCCATGGTGGATATTAAATTATTAATACATCGTTTTAGAAAGAAAAAAACACATCTATGTAGACTATAATAGCTACCTCCCTCAGTAGCTAATCAAGATATTGGTATTATTATATAACAGTGAATTTGATGCAGTCTTACATTGTCAGAATACAGTATTATATAGCAATCAATTGTTATTGTATATATCTGTGTTATACTGTGTAAATATGTATACGTACACATGTGACATATATGTATTATGATGACCTCATGATAGGAGAGATCACTGACAAAAATATTACAAAAAGACTTGAAAATAGGCTTTAATCGTCTATTTTGATAAATTTGGCTGTCTCTCGAGGGAGAAGGAGAAATGAAGAAGAAGAGGAAGAAGAGAATTGAATCACATGAAGGCATTTAAATCGAAATAGGGAAAATAAATGCAGAGAATAAGAGAAGATGGGGAGTCACAGCCAACCAATGGTCCACCTCATGACTGTCACCATTTTTGTCCCTCACAGACACACCCCTCCTTCGGTCTTGTCAATTCCTTCTCTCTCTCTCTCTATCTCCTCATTTCCACACATCTTCTTCTGCTAATTTTGTCTCTTCCATCGTTTTGGTGTTACTAAAAATTTTAGGTTATCAATGCTCACATGTCCACTATTTGGCGATTTTTTTACTAAGATTTTAGCTCTTATAATCTTTTATATTTTATAGAAAAAAGTTATCTATGAAGTTCTAGACTTCTAGTATTTTGGACACGTAATCTCTCAAAGGATTCGATGTTTCTCCCAAGCAAAAGTTGAATTAGGGGTTTTAGGAAGTGCATTCTTTGTAAAGTCATTAAAAGCACCATTAGACCTAGCTAGACCCACTTAATTATTAAAATCGACTGTTCTGAGATTGTTGTTTTATATACAAAGACATTAATATTGTTCTAACTTTTGTATAATTTTGTGTGTTTTGGGACACATGCGTTCGTGTTTTAAAACCTTGATAATTTTTGTTTCCATATATATATCATAGCTAGGGTTTTCTCAAGCTGTAGATAATAAGAAATCATCCAGAGATAAGACCATATTTGCAATATGAAATAATGTCATATGTCTCCTTAGTTAAAAATCTATTTCAACAAGTTATTAGGCAGCTTGATAAAGAGAAACGACTAGAACTTAATGTTGTTATAGATGACTGATTTGAAGTATTATATATTGGAACCTTCTGGCAAGTGAGAGATGTCGTATAATAGATTAATAGTCAAAGCAGAAAACCGACTAAACACTTAGTTTGTAATATGCCATATCAACAAACTATATACTCTTTTAAAGCCCCTAGTTAATTAAAAACACTATACAATATACATAATACATGAATCTGAATAAACCTTTACATGCAATTGATTATATATGAGAATACTTGTACGACCATATATGTGAATTGGCATCGTCTTGAAATCACGTATATTATATTTTTCATGTGAAACTCCACGTGAGTCATACTCATACATACATCACAATTTATTGGAGCCGACACAGATTTGTATGCTGATATACTATGATAAATCAAAGGAGCAGACACAGATTTGTGTGATCCATGGAAATAACCAAAAGATTATACCGTACGATTACACTTTACCATTAATCTTCGTTTCAATTCACGAGAAGATTCATGTTTCTTTATTTCCTAACAACAAAATATATTGTTTATTATAGGATGTACGTGTGTTAAATCTGTTGACCACACCGACGGGTACCCATTAATATATTTCTATTCTTGCTTTTCACTTTTTCGTATTTAATCGATTAAAGCTATGTTTTTGCTTACTTCCATGCTCGCAAGAATCACAAACACACAATCATCATGAAAAAGAAAATAAAAAAGGCAAACACAAAGAGAGGAACAAGGAATGATATTGCATCAAAATAAACAATACAAACGAATAAAACTACTCTCTATCTTTCTTCTAAAATCATTATTAAAGAAAATAGTCTCATTGAATCGTACAAATAGACATAAAAGAATGAATGAATCTTTGGGAAAAGAAAGGAAAGTGTCGGGGCTTCTTCTATGAATAAGCTATTCATTTTTTTTTCTTTTCTTCTAATTTTTCTTTTGCCATGTCTCTTCTCTACTCTAAAAGTCACTCTTCTTTCCTTTTCTCACGTTCTCTCCCTCAATTTTTTGTTTGTCTTTTTTCCCATTTGATAAAATGGTGGATAGGCTTTCCTTTCTCGTTAGTTACTGTAGTCTAATTCAATTTATCAATGCTAATTCAAAATATCAGGTTTCTATGAACATTTGATTGGCACTTGTTCAATCATAAAAAAAAAAATTCCAAATCATCCCAACAATTATAAATTTCTACATTTTCACCAAGATTTTTTAACCAATATACATATATATATATAAATTGATCCGTAAATCTTTAACTTCAAACTGTTGGTACATGATTTGGAATTTTTATGGTTTGATTGTTTATCTATGTTTTCCGGTGATTTTGTATGTTCAGATGTTTAATAAATGCATTTTTTCAGCTGATACAGTAATATCTAGTTTCATCAGAATTATTTGTGAATTGAACCCGGAAACTAAAAAAAAAAAAAAAAACGCAGAGAAAACTAAATGGGATTTTTTATTGACATTATTTGCTTATATATACACAAACATATTTTATAAAAGATTAAAGTGTTCAATTTAAGTGGTTTATATTACATGAATTTTTTATGAATTTTTGGTTTATGATTTAATCGATTGCAAATAATTATGTGTAAACAGAAACACCAAAAATAAAAATATATACACGTTGGAAACAATCAAGAGAACTTAATAATTATTTTGAATATTGGTAATGGACCTAATGGTTGAAGGTTGATTTGTCTTTTTCGTCGAAGTTAGAACTTAGAATACAGTTAGTTTATCACAAGGTTCAAGTGTGTCCTGTATTTTGTTTTCAATTAATTGTCTGCTCAATAGTTAAATAATCCTATTAATAAAAAAGCTTTATAAGAAAAAAAATATTGGTAAAGGTTCTATACTTCTATTCATACACATATTGTCGTATGATGAGTATTGAGGTGAATATAAGGAATCTAATTTATATATAAATAGCAAGTGTAAAGGCATTTTGTTGGTATCCACGTAAAAAGAAACAAAACAAGTCCAAAATCAAAATTTCCCCACTCTCTTAGTCATTTCAACATCAACCCAATTCTTTTTGTCTCTCGCACATTTATAACTCAAAGATACGCATGCCAAAATTGACACATCTACAGTATATATATAGATCATGTGTGTGTAGTAATTACGCCTTTTTAAAAAGATATAGTTAGAACAAGTTCCCATTTTCGTAACACTTGATCTCATCACCAAATACCCACCAAATCAAGCAATGTTCATGATCCAGAACCCTAATTGACCACATCCACACAAATGGAATGATAACTAATGGGCAAATCTCATCACCAATGTTTCTCTATTCTTTTCTTAGGTTTATCTTGCTCATTTTAACATTTAAAGAGAGTGGTCCAAAGTGCATTTTAAGGCAAACCCTTATGAAATGTTACCATCAACACCATAAAGACACGCCTGCCCCCACTCCCAAACAAAACCCTAAGTAATTAACCTCTTGCAAGAATTAACCTCTTGCAAGAATTAAACAAAACCCTAAACAATTGTGATTTAAAAAAAAAAAAAAAAAAACTTCTTGTTTTTTTTGGTCTCGCTCTAACTTGTGATTGATTAATCTAATTATCTAATAATACAAAAGGCCATTAACAAATAATAAAAAAACACAAAAGCTGTTGCTCTTGAAAAAATCCAATTAAGGTTAGTTCTTCAGTGGAAGAAACTCATAGAAACAGTGAATGCCACTATTTTTCTCTTTCTCACCATCTCCACCACTGTTACAAAACCCTTCTTTTCTCAATGGAAATAGCTCAAGTGTCTGTTCTTGATGATCCGATTCACCGTTAGAGGGAGCTTCATGTTGTTCTTGATCTTTATTATCATCACAACTCTCGGTGTTCGTCGCTACTCTTGTCCTCAGAAATAAAGGTGAAACTGCGACTGTATCTTTAGCAGCGGAGAAAATACTGTTGCTAGTGGACTTGTTGGACGAAACAGAAGTTGAACTGAGGATCTGGTGAGGATGATAATGATGTTGTGGAGAAGGGTAGAGTCCAGGTGGCAGCTGCATCATCTGCCACGTGGAATTTGTCCCATGGAAGCTTTGTCTCTCTTCTCCTCCATGACGACCATTGCGCTTCGTTGCTACCATTGTTATTGAGACAGGCTCCTCCTGATGATGATTGTCATGAGGTTTCTAATACACAAAAAGAAAATTCAAGATTTTTAATTTAAAATTAGTGGATTAGTCAAAAGTCAATTAGCATTGGAAAATGTAAAACTTGGTAACAAATAAGTCAAAAACTTAGCAAAGCGACAAACTTTATGCGTTAAAAACCAATCACACAGACCCAAAAATAATCAATCTGTGACAAAAATGAAAATTCCAGAAAGGGACAGGGGTGAAGGAGAATGAGACCGTTAAAGGGAAGGGTCAAAACGGTCTTTTCAAGCATGCATTGGAGTAAAAAAGCACACTAATTCATGTAAATTCAGCAAAAAAACAAGAAAACACAGCTAAAAGATCGATCGTACGTAGCAGCTGTCCCGACAGAAAGGAAAGTCTCTGCAGCTTTTCGGATCAATCCATTAATTTTATTAGAATGATATGCTAAAAATAAAATACACATATATTTGCCGATAAAACAAACTCTTTTGGTATTTTCTACTGCCTCATCTTCTCTTACCATCATTTCTTTACCTTTGGTTTTATATCAAAGTGACCCAAACTTCCAAAAAACAATTCACTTATCCTTAAGAGAATCTCTTTGTAATCATATGCTAATTATATAAAAAAAAAACCTAAATTACATTCCCTTTCATGCCCCAAAAGAATATACTACCTCGATCATAATTAAACACATAATATGAGCAATACATATAAAAACATAACACCATAAAATATAACGAGGGAAATTAATATACCTCTGCTTGTGTGTCACATCCAACCGAACATATCCAGTTCTTGGTCTGTTCATACTTGTAACCTATAAAATTCAAATAAAAAATTAAATAAAAACCAAATCAAATAAAATTAAATAAAAACTATACGTTAGTCGTCTCTAATTACCAGGTGAATCTTTCTTGTCAAATCCGTGGTTTGAGTCAAGACTCGTTGTTGTAATGACCGATTCCTCGAGGCCATTTTCCATCTGTCGTCGCCGTTTCTGGCGTTCACGGGCTTTGTGGTTTTGGAACCAGTAGAAAACGTTCTTGCCTTCTATCTTCCCGTACCGCCTTAGCTGCGCCGTGATTTGTTGAATATGGTCGGCGGAAGGAGTTCTAGTTCCTTGTCGGTAAAGCTCTTCAAGAACCCGTAACTGATCCGGTGTCGGATTCCACCGTGAGCTCACCATTACTGGGGGATGTTGAGGTTCTGAGTTTAGCATTATCAGCTCTCTCTTGTTCTGCTCCGCCGTCATCGTCACTAATGCTTTATAAAATCATACCAACCAAGGAAAATGAGTATCAGAAACCAGAGAGAGAGAGAGAGAGAGAGAGTTTGTGTTATGCGAGAGGGAGAGAGAGAGCTCTACCCATATTAAAGCGGTGGTCGGAGTTGGTGTGTGCAGCGGCGGGGCAAGAAGAGAGGCGTGGGATGAGAGGACGAAGCTTTCTTCCTCCGTTGAAGGAATCTGCGCCTCCTTCGTTATAACCCATCATCCACATTTTGATCTAATTATATTTGTATATGAGAGAGGGGAGAGAGCAAGTATATATTAGGGCTTTGTTTATTTTGCTGAAATTAAGGAGATTTGAGTGATATGGTGGAAGGAAGAAATGGACAAATAGTGGAAAGTGTTATTGGCTGTTTTTGGTATATGTGGGTTTGAAGTAGATGAAAAAGTTGCATGTGAATGCGAGAATGGGAGCATGCAAATGTGTATATATATAGACTATAGAGAGATGCTGTATATCCTAACGCATTTCTATTTATATGACTTTTAGAAATTATGGATGGAATCTATATATATAAAACACAGTTGGGGTCTCTTCTGGGAGCGCCACGTCAGCAAACTCTCTTTTAAACAATGCTCTTCCAATTCTCTTTTAAGACTAATAATTTATTACATCTATCACTTAATCATAATAGAATTTGAAAAGTCATTTTGTATAAGAAAATATTTTATATATTGATCTAAATAAATTCTAATTTAATAATTTTAGTTTTATCAAATAGATTTTAATAATTTAACAATAATAATAATAATAATAAAATGAACGGAATGACGCAAAACTGTATGATAACGAGACGGGAAGAAACAAGACGAGTCATCGAAAATGAATTTGACGAGGCAAAACGGGATAGAAAAGAAAGGGACATGGTGGAACAAGACATGAAGAAACAAGATAAGGCAGAATGGAAAGAAATGAACGAGACAAGGCAAAACGGTATGTGAATGAATAGGACGGGAAGGAACGAGACGGAAAGGAAATGTACATGATGAGGAAAAATGAGATGAGAATGAATGAGACGGTGCAAAATGGGACAAGGCGGAAACGAGAAGGAATAAACAGGACGGGACATAACGAGGCCAAAATTATACCCGACAAGGCAGAACGAGACGGGAAGAAAGGGATGGGGCAATACGAGACGGGAAAAAACAGAACGAGGAGGAACGGGGAGGGAAATAGGACGGGAGGAACGAGATGGGAAATAGAACGGGATAGGAGGTAAATTTTGCCTACCTCTTATTATATTTAGAGACGGGACAAGAAGAAACAAAAAGACCAAGATGGGACAAGACAAGACATAATGAGACAGGATGGGACTAGACGGGATGGATATGACGGAAAGGACGGGATGAAAAGAAACATAATGGAACGGAAAAAAGTGAATTTAGCATATCCCTAATTATATTTAGGGACATGACGGAAAAAAACGGAAAGAACGGGATGAGACTGGACAAAACGGGATGGAACAGTCTCAGACATGATGGGATTGCACGTGACGATACGGACATGGCGAATGGGACGGGAAAGAACGGACATGATAAAAGGAACAAAATGGGAGGAATGAGAAATGATGGTTCAAAATTTTTGCGTAAACTTAATTATATTTAATTTTCGGAAATTTTTGAGTAACCCTAATTATATTTGATTAATATGTGTATGACATTTTTAAAATAATAATAAATCATAGAATTAAATTAAATTTATGAAAAATAATAAAATCAACACAACAATTTCAATTCCCGCGCGAAGCGCGGGTCACGCCTAGTTGTATATTATTTTTGACTTTTTTTCATTCCATTTAGTTTCTAAATTCTCCACCCAACGATTCAAGCCAACAAATATATTTTTATATAAAAAAGTATAGCATAATAGAATCTTTGATTAGCTAAACGACCTATAACTTGTCCATGCAGACTGTACTGTATTATATTAACATTGAAGTGAGGAATATTAATTCGATGTGGGCTTGTTTATTTGCATATTGCTTAATACGATTATTGGAGCCTGTATACATTCCTCATAGACAAGTAGGTATTAGTGCAGGATTTATCTATTAACTTACATGAAAAAGTTTTCTGCTCCAAGTTATTCACAAATCTAAGAAGTTGTGGTTTATGAGTGCTTATATATGTACTAAAATACTACTTAGACCTCTTTAATTTGCAGATGAGTAACTTAAAGGAAGTATACAACTTGAAGTACCATAAAAAATCTCAGAAACACTAATTTTTTTTTAGTTATTAATGATATTTCCAGTTATTTATTTTCAATGCAAAATACTTACGTTTTTGTTCTTTAACTGCATTATACCATTTATTTTGATATATTGGTTGAATTGTAAAATAACAAGTTTTCAATTTATGTGAAAAACGTAAATATTACACTAATCAAGTTGTGATATATAAAGTACTAATTAGCGAATCAACAAATGCATTATTGATTTTTTTTTTGGGGTTAAAATTTTAAGAACAGATTTACATTGATTTTATCTCTATGGCAACAATCGATAATTAAATTTTAACCCTTTTACAATTGAAGAGGACCAGCATGGTGACTACAAAAGAATGTAATCAGTTCATATAAGATTTCACTAAGCGATTTTTGGGAAGACATATGTATATATATATCAAACATTTCATATATGATAATAGGCCAGCAAATACAAGATTATTTGATGAAAGATATTTTGGAGGGAGATGAGGTTGACTAGTAAGAGGAGAGAGAGGGAGGTGGGGGGTAGAGAGAGAAAGAGCGTGGAATTCTGGGGATATGAATGATATGGGGAAATGCGAAGGAGCTTATAACGACGTGACATTCCTCCCATCTCTCCCCATCACTCCTTTTCTTTCATTCTTTTTTTTTTCCCTCTTGTTTTTCTCTTCTTCAATTCTTACTTCAATATTATCAGTATTATTGTTTTTGTTTCTACGCAGATATGAGAGATTAAATGTGTATGTGTGTGGTGGCTTTCACTATTATTCTTGTTCTCAACTGCCCCATAGCTTTGTCTCCTTTACACTCTTCACCTCTATCTCCTTTGTCTCTCTCAAACCCACTTTTCCATATATCCCTTTCCTTCCCTTCTTCTCTTTGGGATCTTAAATCCCCCTTTTCTGTCTTTTCCCAAGCCCTAATCTTTTTTGTTTTTTCTCCTTTTTTGGATATTTGCGAAATACATGTTAATCCTCAGTTTGTCAAAGATGTACTAATTAATTAATACATATGTCTTTCTTATTTGTTTTAATGATCTTGTGGTGAAACAATGTAACAATGTGCTTCGTTTGATGAGACATAGCTATAGCTTAAAACAATACTATATTTTCTGATTTTTCTTGTTTGGAAATTGATGAAACATGCGCCGACTAATGTGTATATATATAGTATATACTACTAATGCGTATATACTACTTTAATCATATACATGATCAAATTTGTAAAACAATTCTTTTTGGCTTTCTTCAGACTTCTTCTAGTATCTGTTACGAAGCAAACTAGTTATCATACGTGAACACGCACGTGTAAATCATTACATTAGCTTTTTCATAGCAGAGATATTTTCAAATTAAATGATAGATGAACGTAGTTTGTACCTATATAAAACTCATATATATGCATAAAAGGTTTTTGTAGATATTTTTTTTCGTTTTGTTAAATCATTTGTTCATAGTTCTTACTTCCACTGTGTACCCCTTTCTCATTTATAGAAAAATCATTGATGTCAAAAGTGAAAACAACACAGAAAATCTGTATTAAACAATCTAAGGAGGGCATTTATGTTCTTTAAGCCTGCTTAGAAATGGTTGTGAAGTTTATGTTATTCCAGTCTTCATTTACAAGTCAATCATTTCAAATATAATTGAATCAATTGGCTAAAGCATCTTTTTAACAAGCTTGTGGCCATGTATAATTTATTCTTAAGGCCATAAGGAAAATGCTTTTGTCAGGGGACCAAAAGATTATTAATTTTCATTTACTTTGCAGAAAAATTATTAATTACTAAACTACTATGGAGAAAACAAAATTTACCCTCTGCAGTAAATGGGCTAGGCTTACATAAATTTGACTATTAGGCCCAATGAAATCGGATTAGCCCCGTAGGCCCAATAATAATGTAATTTGATAAAATTTGTCATATAAAACCCGGTTTGAGAGGCAAAAACAGACAGACTTCAAAAAGTTATGCTCTTCGTCTCTCGCTTGCGAGCCAGAGAAAATGGCTTCTACAGTACCTTCGTCTTCTCTAAACCCCTCTCTTTCTATTCTTCCTCCGTATCCCAGTTGCAGAGAGCTGATTCTACTGAAGCTCGAATACCCTGCGAAAAAGAAGACGATGCAATAGAAGCAGAAGATCGTAGACGCAATGTAACCGATAGAGCTTACTGGAGAAGACGGATACACAGTATCTGCGCCATTAAGAGAAATCCCGACGAAGCGCTTCGGATTCTCGACGGCCTCTGCCTCCGTGGATATCGTCCCGATTCGCTTAACCTGAGCAGTGTGATCCACGCTCTTTGCGTCGCCGGACGATTCGACGAAGCTCACCGCCGGTGTCTCCTCTTCGCCTCTTCAGGTTTTATCCCAGACGAGCGAACCTGCAACGTCCTCATCGCGAGGCTTCTGGATTCAGGATCTCCGGTGAGTACCTTGGGAGTTATACACCGTTTGATCGGTGCCAAGAGAGAGTTCGTGCCGTCGTTGACGAATTACAACCGTTTGATCAATCAGCTGTGTTTGATTGATAGGGTTATCGACGCGCATAAGCTTCTCTTCGATATGAGGAACAGAGGGCATCTCCCGAATGTTGTGACTTACACCACATTAATCGGTGGCTACTGCAAAATCCGAGAGCTCGATATTGCCCACAAAGTGTTCGACGAAATGCGTGCTCGTGGCGTGAGGCCTAATTCCCTCACGCTGAGTGTTCTCATTGGTGGTTTTTTGAAAGAGAGAGATGTTGAAACCGGAAGGAAGCTGATGAAGGAGCTCTGGGAACACATGAAGGATGAGACTGATAATACATCAACGAAATCAGCAGCTTTTGCGAATCTCATTGATTCAATGTGCAGGGAAGGTTATTTCAATGAAGTTTTCGAGATTGCTGAGTTTATGCCACAGTGTGAGTCAGTGAATGTTGAGTTTGCTTACGGGCATATGATGGATTCCTTGTGTAGACACAGGAGAAACCATGGAGCTGCGAGGATTGTTTATATAATGAAGAGTAAAAGGTTAAAACCGAGAGAAACATCTTTCAATGCTATAATCCATGGTTTGTGCAAAGATGGTGGGTGCATGAGGGCTTATCAGTTGCTAGAAGAGGGATCAGAATTTGGGTTTTTTCCGTCTGAGTATACTTATAAGCTCCTAGTGGAGAGTCTATGCAAGGAAATGGAAACTGGTAAAGCGAAGAATGTTTTAGAGCTGATGTTGAGAAAAGAAGGAACAGATAGAACTAGAATCTATAACATCTACCTTCGAGCTCTCTGCGTAGTAGATAACCCGACTGAGATCTTGAATGTGCTGGTGAGTATGCTTCAGGGAGACTGTAGGCCAGATGAGTATACACTTAACACAGTTATTGATGGATTTTGCAAGATGGGGAGGGTGGATGACGCCATGAAAGTTCTTGGCGATATGATGACAGGGAAGTTCTGTGCACCAGATGCTGTGACATTGACTTCTGTGATGTGTGGCTTGCTTGCTCAGGGAAGAGCAGAGGAAGCTCTTGACGTGTTGAACCGGGTTATGCCAGAGAACGGGTTTAAGCCAGGTGTTGTTACATACAACGCTGTGATGCGTGGGTTGTTCAAGCTACATAAGGGAGGTGAAGCTATGTGTGTGTTTGATCAGATGGGGAAAGCCGGTGTGAGTGCAGATAACACTACCTATGCTATTGTTATTGACGGGTTGTGTGTGACTGGTCAGGTGGATACGGCGAAGAGGTTATGGGACGATGTGATATGGCCGTCAGGGAGACATGATGCGTTTGTGTATTCAGCGTTTCTGAAAGGGCTTTGCCGGTTTGGTGATCTAGGTGATGCTTGCCATTTCCTATACGAGTTGGCGGATTCTGGAGCGGTTCCCAATGTTGTGTGCTATAACATTGTGATTGATGAGTGTTGTAGAAGTGGGTTGAAGAGAGAAGCGTACCAGATTTTGGAGGAGATGAGGAAGAACGGCCAGGCTCCTCATGCTGTGACCTGGCGGATACTTGATAAACTACATGATTCTAGGTCTCTAGCTGTGGAAGAATAGAGTAGTAATCTTTAAACTCTACAACCTCACAATCAACTGTTTCAAAAGTTCATAAACTTCATGTTCTTGGTGGGCTTAAACAAGCATCTTGGCTTTTTATTTCATGATCAAGATTTGGCAAAGCTCAGTCAAAGTAAAAACAAGAGGCCTTGTTTCTCTGTGACTTCTTTGTTGGCGAATTCAAAATTTCAGAGAGGTGAAAAATCAACTGAATTGAAGAGAAGACCAAAAAGAGAGGAAACGAGCATAAATATTTCTACAGCAACATGAGTGGGAGCTAGTGCAAATGGTCCTCAAGAGACATCCATCCAGAGAGATATATAAAGATGTACAAGAGAAGCATAAAGACTGATGAATCTCTAATCTACGATAGTGAAAACAGAAGCAACGAAGAAGAGTCTTGACAGTGGAAAGCATGGTTTAGCTTGTTCCACCACTTTGCTGATGAGCCTGTGACTCCCAGAAGAGCCTGACAGTGGAATAGATGAGAGAAGGCTCAGCCATTGCGCCGTTACCGTAGTCTCCACAGGCGAGTCTCTTCTTGATCGGAGGGATAAGCGTGATTCCCAGTTCATCGAGCGACAAAAGATGCCTCTCTGTGAAAGGATTGTTCCACATCAAAGTGTTCATCGACGGTGCAACGAAAAGCGGTTTGCTATAATCCCAAGCTCGTATGATGCAAGTCAGGAGATTATCACAGAGCCCACCAGCGATCTATACAGAAATTGAATTGGTTTCAGATTGGGAATTCAAACAATTGAAGCGGTTTTGCGAAAGGGGAATTGAGATTTTTTTTTGTACCTTGCCTAATGTGTTAGCAGACAAAGGAGCAATGACTAAAACATCAGCCCAACGTCTAAGCTCAATGTGAAGGACGGGATCGCCGATTTTGTTCCAGCTTGACCATTCGTCTTCGTCGGTGTACAGAGTCACTTCCTGTGGGAGAGAGAGTCTGTCGACGAAATGCAGAGATGATTTGGAAACGACGGCTCTCACTTCCGCCCATTCGGTGAAGCAATGGCAGAGATTGCCGAATTTGATAGCAGCGACGCTTCCACTCGCAGCAAGTAGTACACGTGGCTTCCTCGGTGCGGTCTTCACTTCCATGTCTTCTCTGTCTCTTTTCCCGTTCTCCATGGCTCTTTAAAAACACCCTGGAGATCTAAGAATTAGCGAGTTGAGGAAGATGATGGTTCGTTCGGCGAGGAAGCGGAACCCTAAACCGAAAAATTGATCTGTTCGAGAAATGTCAAAAGGTTTTTAGAGGGAAGAGAGAGAGAGAGAGAGAGAAAAGATGACAATCATTTACTCATTTGTCGCTGGTCAAATGGGCCGTTGACTCACTCTTTTTGGGCCTCGGTTTTCTTTGCATGGGCTGGATATCGGCATTTTCGATTTCTTTTGTTTTATCTACAGTTTACATACTATTGACTTTAAATCATGGTTATTGACTTATTAATTGTACATCGGTTACAAAACATTAGGCTACATGCCTTTTGTAGTTCTTAAATCAGTTTAAAACAGTTGTATTGACAAATGGAAGATGGTTTTCAAATGAATCTCCTCAACTTTGAATCGTGTCGATGAATGAGACAACATGATGCACAAGGCCTACGCGTTTCACTATGGCAGTATGGGTCGTAATTCCATACTTACCAAAACATGTGAAAATAATGAAGTAAGCTTAAGCAAAACATGTGATTAGCTAGAGTATGTTTCTCTAGCTAATCTAACCATAATTTTCATTAATCTAACCATTAATTAATTGCCACTTTTCTTCTCAGCCAAATTTTAACTTTAAGGGTTCTTTTAGTTGGACTGTGAAGCTTAATTATCGTAAGTAAGCTTTAATGACGGCTACATGACATGTGATGATTATGATTACTTTTTTAAGGTCGTTATAAATTATGTTGAAAGTCCAATTTGCTTTGCTATTACTATTGTGCTTGCGTGGGAGAAATAATTGTTGTTTGCACATGTATTAATGCGAAATTCTCTGACTGCACATGTATTAATGCGAAATTCTCTGACTACACTTTACTCCATAAACACATTTCTTCAACTTGGTGATAAAAGACGAAGTATTCGTGACCAACAACCCGCACATCATGTCAATCTAAGATCATCATGATAACGGTGACCACAACATCCGTATACAAAACCATTCGATATCATCAGCCTGGACGTCACTGTCACCCATGTCTCTCTCATTTCTCCCTGAATTTGGTATCTATGAGAATTTGCTTCAAAGCGAGAAAAAACGAAGAAGAAGTCTTTCTAGCTTGTGACTGGTGCAGCCAGAGGATGTAGCACCACACTCAACTCTTGTCAAAGGGTGAGTGTGTTTCCATTTCACATACTGTATTGAACGCTGAGTATGTTTATAAAAATTGGGCTTTTCATA